TTCGAAAAACTCAATGTCGTAATTTTTTTTCATGCATTGAAATCTTAATAGTCCAAGAATCTCATGAACGCTGCGTATTATCGAAAAATACCAAGAGACCTTTTAGATTGCTTTTGTATGGTAGTATTTAAATTTACTTTACATTCTTCGAAAAACTCAATGGCGTACTTTTTTTTTGAAAAAGGGGCCACGCATCCCCCCTTTGAACGCCACTGGCTAATGCGATAGGACTAATATTCTGTCAATTATGAGAACCCCCAATACACATAATGTGTACCAAGTTTAAATCAAATCTACTCGTGGATAGCCGAGATATGTCAAAAAGTGTTTATTTTTTTTTAAGCTTCAACGCCCTGTATCTCCAAAACAAAGGCTTTTATAAAAAAAATTTATAGAGTAAACTACACTTAATTTTTGATAGGGAATACATTCCTGCGTTTTCCAAATTTAAAGTGAAAACACCCTGTATACATTAATAAACTTTATTGTACTTAAATTCTCAAGTTTTTACTAAATTATTTTATTAAAAAATTTTCAAAAAAAATCTTATTTTTTGTTTTCTTTAAAATTGTTTATTAACGATTTTTTGCAAGAAATTTTCCTTTTACATTTTTTAAATAAGCCATTTCGATGAGAAATTCAATTCTCTACAAAATTTTTCCTATTAACTATATCGAAATTTTGCTTCGTTGTCGTGCTATATTTAAAAAACTGCAAAAGTGCATTTTCACCCCTATCTTCAGTTTCAACCCTCTAATTTAATAGCACCCCGCTGATTTTTCATTTAATGGCCCTGGTCATGTGATGAAAATCCTTGAATGTCTTATTTCCTTCCTGTTTTGCAAAAAATGAGAATTAAAATGTATAAGGGTAAACGCGACGAAAATCGAAAAATTCGCTAAGTTTGAGCGGCCATATACAGTCAATTTTCATCCAAAAATACTTTCTTGTCTCTCTTGTTTTGAAGAAAATTTTATTTACTTTTTTTTCTATTAAACAATGCCTACACCTATCTTTACTCAAAAAAAAACTAGAGGCAAAAAAGTAAAAAAATCAGAAAATCGAATTTTTTTGTTTTTTTTTCAAATTGTTTATTAACGATTTTTTTGCATAAAATTTTCCTTTTAATTTTTTTTAAATAAGCCATTTTGATGAAAAATTCGAATCTTTAAATAATTTTTCCTGTGAACTGCAGCAAAATTTTGCTTCGTTTTTGAGCTACAATTAAAAAACTGAAAGGGGTGCATTTTCACCAATTTCCACCCTCTAATTTAACAGCACTCCGCGATTTTTTCATCTAAAATGACCATTTGAACGATGCATGTAATAAAATATCTTGAATGTCATAGTTCCTTTTAAAATCGTCTATTCAATAGCCTAAAACTCCATCCATTAATTCCATTTTAAAAAGAAGGCCACTTGAAATAGAAATATATAAAATGCAGAAATAAGTAATCTCTTCTACGTTGAATTTTGTCCAAAGCCATTTTATAGGAAGAAAATAGCAGATATATTCTTTGAAAGAGTATTTATTTAAATATGTCAGAATTTTTCATTTTGGCCCTGGGATTTTTTATTTTAGATAATAATGATTACTAAATTACCTTAATATTTAATATCAAAAAACATATATGACTTCATTTGACGAGAATTTTAAGAAAAGTTAGTTAGTAAAAAGAATTAGTATGGACGTTTTTATACTTTTTGAAGTTAAACAAATTCACCCTGTTGTAAGGTAAATTTGAGTCAAGATTAAATTTTTTTAAAAATAGATGACTAAATTATAAAAAGTTTAATTTAAAATGCAAAACCTACATTATTAAAAAAAAATAAAAATAGACTTCTATATGATTAGATTTTGGAATTACTTTGAACATAAAATAATATTTTAAAATCACTTACTTCGCCATCCTCTCCGCTTGGTACAAACCAACCATATTAGGCATCAAATTGGTTCTTACCGTATCGACGACTATTATGTGGGCTTTTTTAAGTGGATTTAAAAACAAAGCGAACATATGCTGCGACTTTGAGGGATGTTTGTGGTGGTAGAAATAAAGGTGCCTCAGTGAATCTTTCGGCAAATACGGCTGCCGACCCACACTAATCATATCCAATTCGTCCAGCATAAACCTATCTGGATTTTGCACCCTCGGTAGCGCTTTACATACACAACCGATATGCAATAGGGCTCTAAATAGTGGCGTTACTTGTGTCTCGTAGACTCCTTCCACGTTGGAATCCGTTTGATCGAGGTAGACCTTTCTAAAATGAGAAGAGACAAAATGTACCTACAAGTTGTTGATTGGGATACTTCTATAAAATCTTTGATGTAGAAATCAAGAAGTTGCGAAAACATACAAGGATCTTTCTGCTTTAACTTTTGAAGAGATAAACCAAATTAATCAACTAAATACTGATAGAATTGAGTCACATCTAACGTAATACGAACTTTGTATTCAAAATTTTGGTCACTTATATCACTGTAATCAGAAATTGTACAAAAGTGAATTAAATTTCATTCCTATATATAAAACTTTGGTTAATAATGGATACAATTAACAAAAAGAAGACTTACTTTCCATACTCTTGAAACACTTCCTCTGGAACCGAATACAAATACAAATTATGCACAGGCCTAGACCTAGGCAACATTCGGTTGCACTTTTTAAATAACGCCCCTTCCTCCGCAACTTTAGGAGTCCGTAGATTGGCATAGAACATTCTGGGAACTATTAATTTTACCAAATGTAACTCTGACTGTACCTACGAGTATAATTTTTGAAGTCAAATACATTTAGTTTTCATGATAATAATTACCAGTGCCCAAACTCGAAATTCTCCCGGAGTCCCAGTGGCTGCGACTTGTAGGACTTGCCAGGGAGTGTTTAGGAGAGTTCTTTGAGCTCTCTGAATAAAACCGCCTATCGTTACTGGTCCGCTTAGAGAAACACCCTTTTTCTTTTTATTTGGATGGCCGACGTTCCTTTGTAATAGCTGAAACCTCCACTTCTTCTTCTGGAATTTAATCCAAGCAAGATGCTCCTCCTAAAGTAATAAGAATAGAATTTTTAGAATATTTAAAATGGTTTATATTCTTATAATGAAACGAGGGACCCATATCTTCTTTTTAACTTTAATTTTTGTCAATTGTCACTGTAGAGTAAGCCTTTCTACATTAACAGGATTTTTTGATAAGTGGAAATCTATATAAATAACTACAAAATACTATTATACTAAAAAGTGTTTTAATTATGACATTTTTTACTAGATGCTTCTAAGTTAGACACAAACATACATTACTTATGTTACTAAACAGTACCAACAATGGCCAATAGTAGCAGCGAGACAATTAAATGGTAGTCTCCAACTCCAATACATTGGTTTTATCGCAACAAATGGCCACCAATATATGTCTTTCCATTAATAAATCATAATCAGAAATAGTTTATGAAGAATATTTGTGTTTACAGTCGCTAGAAAATGCACAAACTTCCACTAAATAAGTGATCCAGTAATTCAAAGTAAAGTATTTAGTACTTATTTTTTGCTTCAAATAGTCAAAAATAAAAAAATTTTGTTATACAGGGTGGAACTTTAAATGGGGGTCGTATTTGTTTTCTCAAATTCCATCATGAAAACTCAATTTTTGTATTCGACCTTTTTTCATAATTTTTATACCCTGCTGGTTACATAACCTAAAAAAAACAGCGTGCACACCCCTTCTTGATTCGTAAATATATCTTTTTATATCACACAGAAATTCCCTTTTCAACGACATTAATATGCTCACGTAAATCACACACCAGCAGACTATGCATCATTTCTTATCATTAATGTTCTCTAAAAGGCAAGCAGGCTTATGCACATTGTTTTTGGAATTAAGTTTGACAGTCAACGAAAGTTTTCACCCGATAACAATGCCGTTAACTGTTGCTGACGCTTGTCAAGTTGTTGCATTCATTGAAGATGGACGTAGTCAGCGTTATGTGTCTCCTTCATTGGAAATATCTCGTACTACCGTTCAGGGTGCGTGGAATCAGTATCTGGAGACTGGCAGAATCACGAGACGACCAAGATCCGGAAGAAAAAGAGTAACAACGGCGTTTGATGATCGTTTCGTTGTGCTCAACATACCGAGGGATCGCAGATCAACAGCAGTTCAACTTCAGCACCGTCTTCTAACAATGCGAGGGGTTCAAGTAAGCGAAAGGACGATTAGGAGGAAGCTTGTAGAAAATGGTTTATCCCGCCACAGGAACACAATTGCTACTTAGGCATCGAAGGGTACATCTTCAATTTGCTCGATTACATGTAAATTGGATTCCTCAGCAATAGAGTGATGTTCTTTTTAGTGACGAGTCTTGTTTTTGTCTGCGATCACCTGATGGTCGGGAAAGGGTGTGAAGAAGACAAAATGAACGATATTCAGATTGCACTATCTCTGAACGAGTATCTTTTAAAGGAGGTTCTGTTATGGTGTGGGCGGTCATTTCTAAGGAAGCACATACCGATTTCATATTTGTGGATAATGGAGCTTTGAACGCCCGCAGATATGTGGAAGATATTCTTCAAGAAGCTATCGTTCTATTTTCGTATTTTATCAGAGATAGCTTCGTGTTAATGCACAACAACGCCAGACCACACACTGCATGAATCGTAACTGAATACTTAAACGAGGTCGGTATTCGTAGACTTAATTGGCCCGCATTCAGCCCGGACCTTAACCCAATTGAACATCTTTGGGATGAACTTCAGAGAGCTATTCGTCGTCGACCAGTCATGCTACAGACTGTTCAAGAGCTAAGACTGGCCCTTCATGAAGAATATGAAGCAATTCCCCAGATAAGCTTAAGAAATTTGGTTGACTCAATGTCACGACGGTTGAATGCTGCAATTCAGGCTCGAGGAGGACATACACGCTATTAACAATAACCAAGAGGTCCATTAAAAAGACCAACCAAAATTTTTTAGACATAAGAAAAAAGTGTATTTTCATTCCATTTCTGTTACTGTTTTAATTAAATTAAATTTTGTCTTTAACATTTTTTTCTTAGTTATTCGTTGCAACCTAAATCGATAATGAATGGTTCTGCAACCAAATATCAATTCTAAGTTACATTAATTCATATTTAGGTGCTTTTATGAAATATTTTCCGGTGTCCGGTTTTTTTGCCGGTGGGTGTATATAAATTCTATTTTGATTCCAATAAAAACTAGTATTTCACGCAGAAAGTCACGAACTGTATTACAAATATCTTGTAAACTGATAGCGCTGACATATCCAGCCATTCTGTTGTCCAACCATATTACATCAGGTGGATTGATAATATTGGTTAATATTTAACAAATAATTTTTAGTAAATTTGGTTTAAAAAGGTAAACTGGCAAGCATGCAACAATTCCAAACGAATATTCTGGGAAATACATACTATTACCCGTAAAAAAAACTGACCCCCATTAAAAGTTACGTGTACAAAAAGATGAGACAACATACCTCTGTTGTTCCATACGATGGTGGATTTCCAAGAACTTCCTTCCAATATTTATTCAGTTCTTCCTCAGAAAACTCAGCTTCCGAATCTTTACGTCGTTTTCGTTTATTAACAGTAACTACGGGCACCTTATGTGACGAAGAAGGTTTGTTATTGGAAATATCTTCTATATCCTTTATGCTGCTACTGACTTGATTTATTTCAGTTGACGGATCAGTATTAACTTTTTTGGAAAACATATCAGTTATACGTCTTTGTTTAAAATTATCATTTTTCTCCAATATTTTTTTATGTAACCAATCCGGATGTCTCACTCTAGGTACTGGATTGGGAACCTAAAAGGAAAATCATAATCCTCTCCATAAAATCTGATGTAAACCAAAATACTTATAAAATAAAGTCGGTAAGTAGCATAATTATTTTTCTTGTAAGTGTTCTATTGAAATTCCTCAAAATAATATATAAATAGTAAAATGATAACATCTTTATAGCTCCAGATTAGGAAGCTTTTATTACATTCATATTGGTAATTCTATATTGTCTTATTATGTTGCTAAGTTGTAAGTACCAACAATGGCCAATAATAACGGCTAGTCACTTAAGTGTGAATGATCTTAAGCTTAAGTGTGTATGAGCTACGAGCTCTATGAACTACATTCCCCAACCAGCATTGAATTACATCCTCAATTAAACAGTTAAAAGCTGTTTTACATTCACAATTTATTCACCAATTAATTCACCAAGAAATAGGACAAGTGTAATGTCAAATAACTCCATGAATTTATTCATCAAGTTCTTGACGAACTAGAACATGTTCCAATTTTCGTCAATTTCTTAGTGAAGTTCAGAAGTACCAACCCAACAAATTTCCAGTCTCAGATCAGTAATGAGGTTATAATAATTGTGTGGCGTCATACTAGTTTTGTATTGTTTTTACTGATTTCTTACTTACAAAAACTAATATTTATATAGTACCACTACAATTATGAGTGGAAAGGTGACATTTTTTAAATTTATTTGCTTCGATTTATTGGTAGAGCTGATTCGTGTGTTAAAAGAATTCACGAAGTCTGTAAAACCAAACCATTTACAAATAAATTCGTGAATTAATTATTCATGAAGAACTTCGTGAATTTATTCATGAAGAACTTTGTGAATTTTTCATGAATAAATAGTTCATGTAAAACAGCTATAAGATCATGTATCAGGAGCATCACCAGACATACCAGTTTCAAACTTATTGGTTCTCATCAGCATACCATCGGTGTGTCAACCGACAATGAATTTAGCTATGTGGATATCTATCTACCTACTGGTTTTGAGTGTGGGTGAGATATAACCTACAAAGTATATGTCATATCTTAAACGTCGTTACTGCTTAAAGAATACTAGCAAAAAGTACATTGTACCTTTTAGCAAGAACATACTAATCTCTAGGTACTATGAAAGTATGATTTTCTATTAGGAATAATTAAGTAGCAATGACATTTAAGATGTTATATACTTTGTAGGTTATATCTCACTCACACTGGATTTAATTGAAATGAAACAAACAATACAAAAATCTCACTCTACTGATGAATCTCCATCAGATCTAGGGCCTGTTTTTTGAAATTACTTTTCAACTTTTCACTTTTCATTTTAAAAATGTAGAAAAGCGAAGTCTCTGTAAATTAACAACTGTTTTTTGAATATTAATTTTGAAAACAGAAAATAGCAAGAAAAGTGGAAAGTTGAAAAGTACATACTTGCAAAAACACCGGTTATTCAAAATTAAATATTTTGTAGTTCTTTTTGCACAAAAGGAACCAAAAATAGCTAAATACATTTTAAATACTTTATAACAATCTTAAACAAACAAAAAAATTAAATAACTGTAATTTACTTACCCCTTGCATAGCAGCTGGTATAGTAATTATTTTTTGTATAGCTCCGCCTAAGCGTTCTATATAATAACTCCAGTCTAAAATATCCCTGATTTCAACTTCGGAAATGGAAGAATCTTTTAACCACTTCCTCAGGTAGTGCCTTTGAATGGTTTCTTCGGCTTGGAAAATTGCTAACGGAATGGCTCTTAAAAAAATTAATCTTTTAATATGCATGACTTCAAAGTACACTTCTATTTTCAGAAAAATTCTTTTGTAACATTTTACTAATGGGTCTCCAAAATAATCCTCAACTTGTTTACATTCATACAAATAATCTAAACGTACCTCTCAGTTACTGGTGCTCCTTCCGGCTTCCTGGAAATGACATATTTACAAGCCAATCCGGCGTCCTTAACCATCTGATCGCCCAGAAATTCAGCGAGCCGCTTAGCGGTACTGATGGAGGTGCTCTTCTGAGCACCGTACTCTTCTAATTTCTTCGACATCGATCTGTTTTCGGAAATAAGATCGAACAATTCGGAATCTGGCATGTTGCGACCGTGTGAATAAAGTACGTCGAGCCAGTAATCCGCAACTTGAGCGACGGCTGCGTAACAGGTTTCCAGAGTATCGCCTTTTAAAAACGATTCGAAGACGGACGATTGGAAATTTTTTATTAATTGCAGCTCTCCTCTTCGTTTTACCTCGAATCTAAGAGAAATAAAAAATTGTATGTGACTGAATAACGAGATTTTTCGAACTAACCCTTTTAATTCAGCTAGAGAGCCATCGAAATTAAACACCGCATATCTTTTTTTCAATTTTTTACCTTCTTCTTTACTGGCAGGCAGAACCATGGCTTTATAAGGGCCATCCACTTCAAAAAATATAGAATTCTCGTTTTTAACTCTATATTCTAACTTTTCCGGATTCACAAGTTCATGATACTGATCGTTCGTGAAATGTTCTTTAACCATAGCGTTGAGTATGGTGTTGGGATAGGAAATATTAAACTTCTTCTTCTTGTGATTTGCTAGTACCGTGAAGTTTTCTGGAAACGAGGCGGGTAAAATGCACCAAATCCCGTCGGTGTCCAGTTCTAGGGGACGCCCAATCTGTTCTATTATCTCTCGCGCCTTCATGATTATATTCGCACCTGTGAAGCACACGATTCCAGCCATCTCCATGCTATGCCATCGCGCTCTACAATTAAGTAAAATTTTTATGCCATTGCTCAAAATTGAGTTGTTTACTTACCCTCTTCGCATAACGTAACCGTAGAAAGAGTTCAAGATACACTTATGGGCTAGTTGCAGGGAATCATATAAAACCTCTCGGTTTTTGGCAGACTTTATTTCGGACGCGTCGCCACCTTTAATAGCATCGGTGACGGCTTGCTTGGCTTTCTTGGACATTCCCTTATACTCATACCTAAGCATAAAAATATTGAAGTAAATATAAAACATGGGATGTTTGAAAACTTGCAGATTTATTTTTAATGGAACGTAGATCTTCAACAAAGAGGCTGATGGTTAAAAATTGACCTTAGGAAAAGTTGCCTATAAGTATTTTTTGATAATACATACACCTTGTTTGACTACCGCTGACTATTAAAAATTTTATTTAGCCGAGTGACACAATTTCTTGTCATTTGTTACTATTTAGAACAATATCTGAAGAAAAGTCCATTCTGACTAATAATTTTTTTTTAATACGAAATATTACGTACTTTTCTTTCAACCCCACTAGTCTGTTCTTGAAGGAGAAAAGTTATATATTAGTATTGATTTATAAGTTGTGAAAGAAATTAGTTAGTATAGAAAGTGTAGAGGTGAAAGAAAAACAATTTGTTGACTGTATTTTTTTTACTCCTCACTTCAAAATGTGTTGTTTCTTAACTGTCATCCTTGTGTTTTCGGTATTGGGCCAGTATGAGTAAAATTTAGTAATCAAATGTTATTGTTATTAGTGGTTTATTACTTTTAGTTCAGTTGTATACTATTACTATTATTTCTCAGTACAAAACAATAACTGTATTCATCAAAGGCTCTATGTACTGCTACAATAAGATCATCCTTTATACCTATGAACCTATGTAATGTTTTACAAAATTCCCTTGCTGCAATTTTATTCTCAGATAAAGCTATCTTTAAAAGTGGCGGCTCCCAGGTGACGCAAGTGACGCACCGCTCCATCTAAAATTTCCGTTTGGTTGTGCAATTTAAAAATATTTTTAATTTTATATAAATTTTATAATTTAGGTATAATTCTATATTGAAATTGTATTGTATGTTTGTTTTATACGCAGAAATAAACAGAATAGTTCTGCGGTGAACGCCTTTTAAAAAAACATTGCCTTCGTTGAGTACAAACATCAACCTCGTATGTACCATACAACGCATAGCATAAGCAAGTGAAGCGGATCGAAATCAGTTTATATTCCGCTTCACTTTGTAGGGTTATTTACGGCGATTGTCATGGCAACGAGGCGGCCAACACATGAGTAAATTACGGCGTGGAGGAACGAGTGATGCCAAAATTGAAGCAGCATCGCCTGCCTTTAAACAGTTTATACAATACGTCGCCCAGTGCACGATTACCATATAATGGTTCTTTGTTAATATTTGGTTTGTATCAATAATTGTAGAAATGTTTCCATTTTCCAGATGGAAAATTAAGGACAAAAAGGATTTTTTTAATTGCAAGAGACCTGTGCCTTCTCTCGATGTAGAGAAAAGGGGGAATTCAAAAAACAAAGTGTACGTTAAGTTTCGGAATGAATGGTAATAATAATAATAATAATATTCGGAGTAAAAGTGGTTGTGTGGAAATGTTTATTTAAAATAACTTTTCTGTATGTCGTGTTTAATTGTGGGTGTAAAGACGGGCGTGTGGAATAAGGGGGATTTAACAATTTTGGGAACGTCACGCGCTGCTGTCGTAAATGAATATCCTTCTCGCCAACGTCAGTTTTTTGGTAATATTACAAATGCAACTAAAAAATTTCCAGATTCATTTAAAGCCGTTTGACCTTGAAATTTTGAAAACTTTTGCCTGCGGCCCTTTTTTTAGTCAGTCAATGAATATGCGTCACTTATTCTCATTGTCACGAGCCGCCACTAATCTTTAACCGCAACAGAAATTTTAATTTGCACAATACGAATTCGTAGTTTTGTAAAATGCTTTAGAAATTACGTTTGGAGAATTTTCATCACTTGTAAATGAGAATAAATGTGCATAAAGACGAAAGAACCTGCAAATTTATGTTCTATTTGATATAAATTGCCATAGAATTAAGAAACACGAGATATTTATTTTATTTTTATTGTTTTAATGAAAATTTAAATTTTTCTTGAACATGTTTGTGAAATACTAAACATTCTCCAAATTTCTTGAAAGTGCTCTATATTTTTCAATATTTATAAAAGTAATATTTCAAAAAGCTGTTATTAAATTGTGGCATGCTGCTTGGGCAGCACTTAAAGATAATTTAGGAAAAAGTTTCCCTTTTGTATTTCCAAAGAGAATGTTTACACATGATTTTTTTTTGTGTACAAACATTACGAATATTCTCAAGCACACATCACAAACAATTTTTTAAGGCCTTTTGTATTGCAAACAGTCTGACTGAACATTATATGAACTGTTCAAAAATAATTTACCAGCAATATGGTATTTACATAAATACTGAATTTCCTGATAGGTGGCCTCCTCATTCTCCAGACTTATATCCTTTAGATTTCTGGAGTGTTTAAACAATTAAGAGTATAACAGGAGTTAATAATGTTGAAGAATATCATTTCGCATTGAAGGTGACAACAGCAGGACATTTTGTAAATACGAATCATTCTATAATTTGATGAGTTCACTTATGTATTGACAAGGGAGGTGACAACGTTGACCGAGTATAATTTCGTCTTGTACCATCAACCTAAACTGGATGCGAATATGTATTTTCAGTACATATTTAGTGCAAAAGTGCAAATAAATGAAAACACTGTAAGCATATCATGCGAGAAAGTGACATGTCATTCCCCCGTGCCTCGTGTGATCCTCAATATGACTGTTAATTTATTTATATATTTTCTGTTGCTCTTGTGTGATATGGTTTAATATAATAACAGACAGTTATCCTTAAAAAATAATTGCCAAATTTTTTAAGAACCCTGTATAATGTAAATATAATAAATATTTACCTTCTATCTCTGAAAGCCCTAACTGTGTCGACATAAAAAGAGTTCTCCCTTTGACAGATTGTTGTATTACGCTCTTCAACTCTGGTAATCTTTAATTTCTTATACACCTTTCTACAGTAAATCGACAATCTCTTCTTTTCTAAATCCGCTTGTTCTTGCCGAGACAACTGGTGGAAGGCTCTTGGAGGACCCCCCGGATATAACGGGGGAAACTTTTCTGTCTCAAGTTGTTGCTGTATCCTCTGATACTCGTTTCGACTAGCAGGCACTATTGTTTGTTTAAAAATAAAATTCAACTTGCGTCCACGATAAACTTCTTAAATATTATTTGAAAAATAAAATTTCAAATATTACTTACTGTACTCCTCTCTCATCATCCAAGGCATGCTTCTTTGGCACAAAGCCCCAGGTCTGTTAAAATCGCAAGCCGCACAAATCGTTTCGTCTACCATTGCGCACGGTTGCAGCCGATTTGTCAGGATTAAATTTGGGTACATAGCTCCTACATCCAGATGATAAATAAGAGGTCTCTCTAATCTCAGTGGCTGTTCCTGCAAAGAAACATCATGATAAGAAAAATTTTAAAAATAAATCAATTTACCTTTAGAGCCGTTAACTTCTGTTTAATTTCCTCAGCTACTTCCTGCAAATTTGTCACACAATCCAAAGGAACACCCTCTTCAACAACGATGGCGTGCTCCAAAGCTTTAGGAATTTGTTCGATGAGAACGTCTACAGCCTCCACCGCAATTCTGAAGCGACAAGGAATGTCGGCTCGGAAGACCCCAGACTCTAACGCTTCAACGTGGCCCCCTACATATGTTTCCTGCTGCAGAACGTGTCCGTCGTGAGTAAGTTTATTTAACACCGTTTCTTCCTTGTTAGGAAAAATTATGTTGGCGTGAAACGCTTCCACCATCAGTAAGGATTCACAAAGTGTTCCTGGAAAAGAAACGGTCGTCCAAATGGCATAAAACGAAACGTGTTAATATGTTACTTTATGACGTACCCGAACCCTTTCTTAATACTTCGTCCGGCTCACAAGGAATGATTGTACACAAAGCGAAAATAAAAGGATGCACATATTGCATGTACAAGTAATAAGTAGCTACTGCATCGGAAACTGAATAATTAGATAAAACTTGCGGTTGAGATGCAGCTAACGGGCACATTTCTTCCGGATCCAATTCTACCGGGTCGTATCTGAAGAAATCAGAAAAAAATATATATTTTTTTTACTACGGTAAACTCTCATATATCACCTTAATTTGGCTTTAGCGACAGCTTTCAAATTATGCGAACCGACAGGTAAATACGAATCCCTCTTTACCCAACACAAACAATCCATGTGCATGGCAGGTCTACAAGAGTAAACTCCGTCTTTGCTCCGGGAAAAGCCTATTTCTTGCTTCATGTCCATATCGTAAGATGCCGCTCTGGTCTCCACGAAAGGCCAATCGAAGAAGTCGCCATTGTACGTGACAAAAATGTGAGGACGAACTTCCATTATATGGTCAAAAAATCTCTGTAATAACGCCATTTCGTTCGGTTCATTGAAAATTGTAAATTTTCCCTCGAATTCGGGCTTAGGCGTATATTCGAAATCATCGATATCAGATGACAAAATCTCTCGGTTTGTTATCAAATAACCTAACAAATAACCACAATTAAGATACATTCTGAAATTAACGGTTTACTATTTTACCTTGCCCATCTATCATATACGATATCATCATAATTTGATCTGTCGCTGCGTCAGGAAATTTTAAAGGTAACTTTGTAGTTTCTATGTCAAACGCTAAAACTATGGGCTCTGGTCGTTCTATCAGATCATTTCGAAGAGTTATAATAGGTGACCTGTTTGCTCCTGTACTTTTTACAGTGTACCAAGATCCACAGAAAATCTTCAAGTCTATTGAAACCCTCACATGATACGGAACATCGTATTCTCTAAAAAATTACCGTGACACAATACAGTTCTCTGATTTTGAATTATTTTTGTAAACTACCTAATATCCATTATATTTTCCATTTGATCACTGTTTCCTTTATTTGAAATGACAGAATCCTCTATATCATTAGCCAATGCATTGGCCAACATTTCGGTATAATACGAGTTTTTATTTTCTTTTTCTCTATTTTTACGTACAACTTTCAATATCTCCTTTCTTACTTTAATTAAGTCTGTCTGATTAGCAAAAGACAATTTGATATATTTTTGCTTTAAACCAATCAAATGATTTGGCTGAAAAATTTGTATTAAATTATTCTAAGTAATTAATTTTTTCAATTACACATTTACCATATAACTACCCTTAAATAGCAATAAAATAAAAGTTAATATTTCTAAAAATATACAGAATATATTCGAAACTAATTTTTTTAAATATCTTTAAATATTAAGTGAGCAAACAGTTTATTATCTAATGAGTAGGTAACTTATCCAAGTCTTTCCTCTGTAACAAAATTATAATAAATACTACTTCCATATAAATTGCTAAAATCTATTTAAAAAGGCTGCATACCAAATCTAAGTCTTCTTTAGTCACAGTTTCTATTTTTCCTATTACACCAGAAAATTTCTTGATCAAAAATTCTGTAACCTCTTGAATTAGTTCTCGTTTTGTAAGAACATAAAAGTATGGCATAAAGGGATAAGAAACTTTAAATCGAGTACCATCTTCTTCCATAAAATAATAATCCACAGCAGCACATAATCTTTTATCTTCATCTAATATTTCTGTCTAAAATGTTGCATTGAAGACAGTTTCTATATACGACTATAAATTTTAACTTACAGCATGCATATTTAACAAAAATCCGGTTCTTTCCTGGTTATTTTTTATTCTCTCAAACCCATATTTGATATCTATATTCTCGTTTTCTCTGACTAGCCGCAACCTAAATTCAGAACTCTCTTCCCTAAAAACGCAATACAGATATCAAGTTTTGTAAACTAAACCTAATTACACTTTTAAGTCTTTCATAAACAATACTTTACAGTCATCTATTACTGTTTAATTTTTTTTTTTTATTCAAATAGATCATTATAGTATTTTAAATTTTAATATACCTGTTGGTAGTTTCTGGTTTTGTTACAGTATCAGGCTTCTCTGATCTTTCAGGTCTATATTTTCCAGAATTTTGTAAAACCATTTTATAAATTTCTGTTTCAAAACTTTCACAAATAAAAATTATTACTGTTTGTTAACCTTACTTTTCAGATACACTTAAATATTTTCCCGCTATTTTAAGTATCTTCTTCTTCTCCTTCAAGTTACCTATTGTCCATCAACTACAACTGCTTATGTATTGCTTCTTTCTATTCTCATCTACAAGCATATGTTTAGAGCATATTATTCTACTAGAAGCAGCGTCTCAGTGGCCGAGAGTGTAGAGGGGGTTTAGAGAGAGAGAGAGAGCAAGAGGGTGGTATTTGCATCCTCGCTCTAGCATCATGCAATCGTGTGCTTCCAGAGAGAGATAGCAAATACACTCCTGTACCCCTCTCTCTCTAAACCTCCGCTACACTCTCGGCCACTGGGACGCTGCCTCCAGCCTCCAGTAGTATATGCTCTAGGGCTGGTAAATTTTACATACAGTGTAGGAAAATACCGATGGTCTATCAGAAGTTACGTGAGAGCGATAAAGTAAGCCATAGAAATCCATGTGATAGACAAGGATGGCTATAATGAAGGCGTTTAATAGTCAACGCCCATTTCGCCCTTCCACAAATAAGAAGTGGATCTTATTTGTGGAAGGGCGAAATGGGCGTTGACTATTAGACGCCTTCATTATAGCCATCCTTCTCTATCGCATGGATTTCTATGGATTACTTTATCGCTCACACGTAACTTCAGATAGACCATCGGTACTTTCCTACCCTGTATAAATAGTACTTGTTTTTCCTGCCCTTTCAAGCACGCCCTTTACAAAAGAGTGTTATACTCTCAAACCATTCGCACACAATATTAGATCTCTGAATATGTTTTTATTAAGAACAGTTTCAGCCATGGATTATTTCATTGTGGTAATTATTTGTGATACTTTGCTTTAATAAATTGAATCACAGGAGGAAGCGTCCCAGTGGCCGAGAGTGTAGCGGAGGTTTAGAAAGAGAGAGGTATAGGAGGATATATGCTATTTCTCTCTAGCAGCACACGATTGCATGTTGCTAGAGAGAGATAACAAATACACTTCTATACCTCTCTCAACCTCCGCACACTCTCGGCCACTGGGATGCTGCCTCCAGTAGTATATGCTCTAAGCTTCAATTCGAGATGAGAGCGATATGATCCGAAAAGGAAAGCAGCTCAGATATGCTTGTAGTTGCTTGTAGTCATCCAGGTTCCAACTTTTCTGTTGCTGTTCCGTCTTTTATTTTAAACTTAATTCGTTGAAATCATTTTTAAAGTAGTTAACTCAAACAAGCATTATACATTATACAGCAAAATAAAAATATTAAAATATAATGTTCAGGAGCACTACATGAATACAATATTTTGTCATGTTGGTACTCCTAATCAATAGACACCTTTTTGAATTTGAGATTGTACCGTTCTTTTAACGGACGTTGAGTTTGTGTTCGTTCAAGTAGTTACTGAAAATTTTATTCTATTAAAAAAAAATCAGATCGCAGTTTTAATGTGTTAATTCTTTCACGAAAATTGTTTACAGACGTTGAATTGTGCAACGTCTGTCGTCTAAGAAGAGTGCAGCTAGTGCAGCATCTTCAGAAGTGAAAAGTATACCTACGATTTCCAATTCGTTAGGTGTTGTACCTATTTTTTGTTAGGACTGTGAGGTAAATTTGCAAACAAAATTGCATTTAATCAGATTGAGCTAACCATATTTTCAAAATTTCTCTAATCTTAATGTCCCACTTTAAGAGTTTTCTTATAGAATATTCGTCATGGAGGTAGATACTTTACAGTGTGAGAGTACATAAAGTATAAACCTGCCAACAAAAAGTTGGATATGAAAATAAAATGAAAAAACTGTAGAGCCTTGTATATGGTTTCTGACACATTTTTTTTGTCATTATTAAATTTTTATGTTTAAATGATCACGGTAGAAACTGTACATAATTTTATTTTTTATCAATAAGTAGATATAAAAAAAATGTAATTGTATTATCATTTTTTAATTTGGTAAAATTATCTACAGATTGGTGGAATTATAGCAGAGTCTTATTAATTATAGCAGAGTCTTATTATGTAATAATCTTTTAACATTTACAGAGGTTCTATGTATTTATAAAATTTAAAAAATTGGAGGACAAATAATAAAATATAATTTAAAGTAAAACAAAGAAAAATTTAAGACAAATGTACTAAAAAAGAGAATAAACCTACTTCATTGCAAAAACAACTTAAAATTTCTTCAGAAAATGTATTGCAAATGAATAAATAGTAGTAAATTTTGTGTTACAGCACCCGTGTCATTAAAAATGAGTGATAATACATCTGTTAAAGTCGCTGTCAGAATAAGACCGTTGGTACCTAGTGAGATATCGAAAGGATGCAGAGAAATACTTGACGTCGTAGAGGAAAATGAACAAATTATTGTCAGAAGCACTGACAAAGATAAACCCTTTACTTTCAATTATGTCTTACCAAGCTCTACACCGCAGGAGGAATTGTATAAAAGATGCGTCCAACCTCTAATTGGGAATCTGTTTAAGGTAATTTATTTTAATTAAAAGAACAAAGAAAGTAAGCCTTTAGATTTTTAGGGCTACAACGTCACAATATTAGCCTATGGCCAGACAGGATCGGGAAAGACCCACTCGATGGGCACAGCTTTTAAAGGCGAAGACGACATGGGTGTAATACCCAGAGCAGTTGCGGAAATCTTCGAATTTATAAAGGATAATTTTGCTTTAGATTTTACAGTAACAGTATCGTTCATGGAATTGTACCAGGAAGTCCTTTACGATTTGTTGTCGAACAAAGCACGAGATCAATGTACACTGGAAATCAGAGAAGATACTGTAAAAGGTAAGAAAGCAACTATTCGTGTAATGCAAAATTGATTTTGTTTTATTAATTTTTGTGAAATAAACAGTCCACATGTTGTCGTTAATATTTCAGGTATACATATTCCAAATTTAACAGAAGTTCCAGTGCAATCGGCAATTGAGGTACTAGATTCTTTAACAAGAGGCTCTATAGGTAGGGTGACCGGATCAACTGCCATGAATGCCCAGAGTTCAAGAAGCCATGCAATCTTCACCGTAAACATATCGATTAATAATAAGAATAATTGGTATGTATTTGCTAAATAATTATAAAGTTTATAATTTTTTGCTGCTATTCTGTGATCGTTCTAATTTTATCCTTATTATTTATCGACTTAAGGAAAGAGGTAAATTTCATTACGGTATTTTTCGTTGATGATTTAAAATTGTTTAATTGTCCGCACAATAAATGATTGCATACGTATTTAGAAGAATTTGACAAACATTTATTCTTGGTGTCACTTCAACTGCCTCTAGTTAAATATTAGGAATAATTGATTATGAAATTAACAACAATTTATTAGAAAAAGTATCTACCATCTCAGAATCTGTTAGATATTCTGTCTATATGCATTTAATCATTAATAAATCTCTAAAAATTTGTGATTTTCTGGTGAATCCCAGCCTTTTAAATTCAAACAAATGTAGATATCTTTTGCACTTGCATCATATCTATACATTTTTTTTGCATATTTTGTATTTTTGTCATTCCATGTTTGTTTATTTATATTTATACACAGTCCGGCTATTAAATTTTAAGACTGATTCTATGGCAGCGAAGCGCATGGCGCTATATATGTGTGGTCAACGGAACTACGTAGTGGGAAGCCTTCTGAGCGACCAAACAGAATCTCATCAGCATATGTGTATCTACCACGAAGTTATAACGTTTTGCTTGAAGCGAGTTTGTGATAGTCACAGCATGCACCATGACGAGAGGACGGGGCATCCCCGCACAAGGCGAACGAACTAAAACATCGAAACTATGCGTTCTACACTGAAGTCTGATCGTTGATTAACCATCAGAATGTTGGCTGACCGTGTACGATTGATCGACGTTCCGACTTCAGGGCAGAGAACACAGCTTTGACATTTTTGTTTGTTCGGTTTGTGTGGAGTCGCCCCGTTCTCTCGTCATCGTGCACGCTGTCTCGGCCATTACAAAACCTGGTATACTGATGAAATTTTGTTCGATCCCAAAGAAAGCTTACCACTGCATGAGTACATTACCGAGAGATTATTTGACATTGTTAGATAGCAGCCTACTTATAGGTCCATTGACAAGGTACAAGAACTACACTTAAATAAACTAAATTTGTCATGAAACGGTGACAAATATGAGAAAAACCCAAAGGACGATTTTTGACGGGAATAAAATGTTACATTCAAAATTGGTTCCGGTTATCATTTTTTACAGGATATAACTACTTTAATTGTTGAATTAATAGGACCGCCTACCCGTATCTCCTCGTCTGGTGGCTGGTAATACTTGTTTCTAATCTAATTTCTAGTCTAATCAAAAGTTACACACAAGTTTTACTTAAATATTTCTATTGGCTTTCAAGATATTAAAAAATGTTGTTATTGGTACAGAATCCTTAACACTCTGTATCTAAAAAACGAAGCGTTTTCGACCCTATATTTATACAATTTCTTTTAATTATTTTTACCTGGGAACATGTCCTCACAGTTTGTCGACTTAATCCTGAAACACCCTGTATATACTATCCTCTACGAATCTTACATTTGTTCATTTCTTTTAATCTGCTCCAATTTTATGTATTTTAATTTAATACAGTTTTTATGTATTTTATGCATTAACTTTAATTTTATTCATTAACTTCTTTGTATTATAGTCTTTCCGAAGTTAGTTGAACATGTAAAAAAACGCCAGGCAATAAAATTTAATGAGTCATAGGCGTCCTTAAAAAAGTTTTCTGATGAGGGTAAAAAATTATAATAACTGGTACATAATGTGCAGAAAATTTCTATTATATGTTTATTTGGCCAACAACATATTTTAATTATTTATGTCCTCAAACAATTATATTATATTGATGGTAAATTTCATTTTGTACCGTTACTAAAGGTCTCCAAAATGCCATGTTGTAATAATATTTCTCCCTTTCGCAATTGTAATAGGAATGATTGATAGAAGGTGCCTATAATAAATTAAAATTACCTGAATCACGCCAAATTCCACATTGCTGCACTGCACTGCTGGGCAATTTGTCAACCACTTGTCAACGGCTGAGATTTATTGCCCACTAGCCCAATGCAACTGTATTGTATTTTGTTTGCCCGCGCTCGCATTCTTCAACTGGGCGTATATATTTCTACCACCTCCACGTTTAGTTCGACCAGACCTCTATATGGGTATGGCTAAATAAATATGGGAACAAGTTTTTCAAATATTTCAATGCCGTGTTGCTGCGTCAGCGACCGAACCTGGTACATACTGTCATCCTCGTGGTTCTTCAATTGATAGCCTATAATGTTTGAGTTTTAGCAGTTACTTACTTACTTACTAGATAAATAATTCAAAGCAATCATTTTTTAGTCGAGAGAATAAACAGGCAAAACTGCATTTGGTCGATCTGGCCGGTTCAGAGAGACCGAAAAAGACTGGCGCTGCCGGAAACACATTTAAAGAAGGAGTGCACATAAATAAAGGATTGTTTGTACTTGGTAACGTGATCAGCTGCCTGGGCGACGAAAAAGCCCAACATGGATTTATTCCGTACAGAGATAGTAATCTCACAAGGCTCCTAAAAGGTAACCGCTCGCATACGTTGTAATAATTTCCACAGTGGTTCCGGTATTTTTAGACTCGTTGGGTGGCAACAGCATCACATTAATGATTGCCTGTGTCAGTCCCGCGGATTACAACTTTGAGGAAACGTTATCTACACTGCGATACGCCGATAGGGCCCGAAAGATTAAAAACAAACCTATCGTGAACCAGGATGCTAAAGTTGCCGAAATAAATGACCTTAAGAAGACGATTCAGCATTTAAGGCTTCAAATTGTAGGACAAGGTAATTACGGAAATAAATTATACTTTGTGGTTAATAATACTGTGGTCGTTTATTTATTATCGCAGGAGGTCCCATCATATGCCCAGCAGAGATCGAATTACTTAAGAAGGAGATTGTCGATTTAAAGCTGAAAATTCGAGATCTCACTGTACAGCTGTCTGCGGCTCTTATCGATAAGACTGGATTACATGAGAAAATAATGATCCTACAAAACGCCAACGAGGGCCTGAACAAGAAAATATTAGATTTAAAATGCCAGTACGATATAACCTTCCACAACATAAGTACCGGATTGGAGACGAACGATACCAACTTAATCAAAGAAAATTTGACAAAGATGCAACAAATCCAAAGCCAGTTCCTCGAGATTAATTCTGAACAAAAGAAGACTGAAGCTGAAATAAGGTATAAATGTATTTTATTTATTTTTAACTTTTTTTTTGTAATTTTTCTGCATGCTAGCAGCAATCTCATTCCCTATTGGGATATACGGCACGCAAACTTGTCGAATTTTCCTTAATTTAAATACAATAAAATGAAGTTGTGGACTATTTGGGCATTCTCACTTTACTGAATTAACTCTGACCCGAGGTAAATAACGTCCCCAGTGCCCTATTGTCATATCACATCAGGTGGATTGATATTATGTAGTTCACCTAAACTAGATCGACACAATGCTATAAATAAATAGTAACAAATATTTAGTAATAAACACTTGCAATTGATTTTAATAAATATTTCAAATCTACCAGATCAGCAATAGTCCAACCAAATTACAGTTGGAGAAAAAGAAATTGTTACCTGGACTTTTATAAGTGGAAATGGTAAAGGGCTTATAATAAACCTAAAAAAAAAAAAATGCGTGAGCAGAGGGTCGATTTGGGGGGTTGAAATGTTGTGGAAAATTGTATCATTGGGATTTCTGACGAAAGTTGATGACAAACTAAAACGTATCTAATACAAAAGTTGTAGATCATGCAAAAATCTACAACTTTTGTAGAGGTGACTTTTTAAGATAACCTCAAAATTTCCGAGAAAAATGTGAAAAACCGTTTTTTTTATTTTTCTTTTTTATTTCTCATTTCAGCAAAAATAATTTAATTTTGACGAAACTTGGTGAAAGTATACCTTTCTGTGTCTTAAATAACCACAAATTTTTTTAGATAAAAAAATCAAGAAATTTCTGAGATTCATTTTTCGGCCTGAAACACTTTTTTTTCAAAGAAAAATTCTACTTAGAAAAATCATCGTACAGAGTTCTGCCGGTGATCATTTTTTTTTGTTTTGACATACTTTTTGGTGAAATAAAAAAATCTGTAATCACAGTTCAAAAACATACTCAAAAATGCAAAAAAATATTAAAAATTACTTGCAACAATAAATTTTTCAGTAATTGCTGTTAATTTGTTTAAATTAAAAAAAAAAATAAAAAACTGATTACAGATTACATGAATAATTTAAAAAGTTGTACCTAATAAAAAAATAATATGAATTTATGAAATGTTTTTATTATTTCTAATTAATATTGCTAATAGTATTAAAAAAAATTGTTGGATATTTTGTGCGGTATTGACTTTTATACTGTTATGACTTTATCCAATAGATATTTTGAAAGCGTTCAGAGCTGTACCTACTCAGGAAAAATTTTAAATGATAGCTAAAACAGGCTAAAAACTTTTTAAGCGACTACAATATAATCTATATACTATATAATCTAATTCAGAATTTAAAATGACTAGATTTTGTCATAAACAGCGACATATTTAAAAAAATTAACCTGATGATGGCCTTTCGAAGACGAAACGTCGGATTGCAAAAATATTGACCCCATTGTATAGAGCGAAAAAAGTGGCATTGTAAATATGCAATTTATTTTAAAATTCGTTTTTAAATAAAGCCGGAAAAAAATTTAACAATTTTGCAAAATTTCGGGTTTTTCCGGGTACCTACCTATCTCCGCAACTACCCGGAGTTGTAAAACTTTCTAAATGGCATATTGTTAGGTAAAAAAAAACACAACTTTTTTCTAATCTGAGCCACCCGGTATCTATGAATTTATCAAAATTTAAAAAAATAAGTACACTAATCGATCCTTTGGAAAAAAAATTATTATTTATTTTATTTATTCACTATTCGACTTATGTTTATAGCAATACTGTACAAAAATAAAGTTTTGGGTCAAACAATGAGTTTTTTTTGTATTTTTTCCGTATAATTGAATGGTGTAATAATTTTTTGAATTTTTTTAAATTTAAAGAAATTTCAACAATTACTGAAAAATTCATTGTTGCAAGTCATTTTTTATTTCACAAAAAAGTATGTTAAAAAAAAAAAATTAATANAAATTACTTGCAACAATAAATTTTTCAGTAATTGCTGTTAATTTGTTTAAATTAAAAAAAAAAATAAAAAACTGATTACAGATTACATGAATAATTTAAAAAGTTGTTCCTAATAAAAAAATAATACGAATTTATGAAATGTTTTTATTATTTCTAATTAATATTGCTAATAGTATTAAAAAAAATTGTTGGATATTTTGTGCGGTATTGACTTTTATACCGTTATGACTTTATCCAATAGATATTTTTAAAGCGTTCAGAGCTGTACCTACTCAGGAAAAATTTTAAATGATAGCTAAAACAGGCTAAAAACTTTTTAAACGATTACAATATAATCTATATACTATATAATCTAATTCAGAATTTAAAATGACTAGATTTTGTCATAAACAGCGACGTATTTAAAAAAATTAACCTGATGATGGCCCTTCAAAGACGAAACGTCGGATTGTAAAAATATTGACCCCATTGTATAGAGCGAAAAAAGTGGCATTGTAAATATGCAATTTATTTTAAAATTCGTTTTTAAATAAAGCCAGAAAAAATTTAACAATTTTGCAAAATTTCGGGTTTTTCCGGGTACCTACCTATCTCCGGAGTTGTAAAACTTTCTAAACGGCATATTGTTAGGTAAAACAAAACACAACTTTTTTCTAATCTGAGCCACCCGGTATCTATGAATTTATCAAAATTTAAAAAAATAAGTACACTAATCGATCCTTTGGAAAAAAAATTATTATTTATTTTATTTATTCACTATTCGACTTATGTTTATAGCAATACTGTACAAAAATAAAGTTTTGGGTCAAACAATGAGTTTTTTTTGTATTTTTTCCGTATAATTGAATGGTGTAATAATTTTTTGAATTTTTTTAAATTTAAAGAAATTTCAACAATTACTGAAAAATTCATTGTTGCAAGTCATTTTTTATTTCACAAAAAAGTATGTTAAAAAAAAAAAATTAATACCGGTAGACCTCTGTATGATGATTTTTCTAAGTAGAATATTTCTTTGAAGAAAAAGTGTTTCAGACCAGAAAAAATGAATATCTCGGAAGCTTCTTAATTTTTTTATCTAAAAAAAAAAAATTGTGGTTATTTAAGTTACAGAAAGGTATACTATCACCAAGTTTCGTCAAAATTAAATTATTTTTCCGGAAATGAGAAATAAAAAACGAAAAATTAGAAAAAAAACTGGTTTTTCGCATTTTTCTCGGAAATTTTGAGGTCACCTCTACAAAAATTGTAGATTTTTGTATGATCTGCAACTTTTGTATTGGATACTTTTTTGTTTGACATCAACTTTCGCCAGAAATCCCAATGATACAATTTTTCACAACTTCTCAACCCCCCAAATCATCCCTCCGCCACCCCTGCTCACGCATATAATTTTATTTTTTTTCGTTTATTATAAGCTCCTTTACCATTTCCACTTATAAAAGTCCAGGTAACAATTTTTTTTTCCCTCTAAATGAGTTATTTCGATCGGTTTATAAGTTTATTTATTTTTTTATTATTATCCTTATACATTTGTTTTAAATAAAAAATAAAAAATACTCTTTAATATATAAAATGTAAAAAATGATCCTATTCATGCATGTGTCTAGTTTAAAAAGTCTGGTTTTGTCGTCCCTTATTAAAGATACAATAAAAACTAGGTTAGTGACCGAATGTGGTAGGTCAAGATTCACCCAGCGGTCACGAACGGTCCGAAAAGTGCTTTAAATAATGATTTTAAAATTTTTTGTTTGCAATGCATTTTAAAATTTCTTTAATCGGGTATTCGTATTCTACTCTTTTTTCATCATCTTCCCTTAAAATTAATAACATCATTAGCAACCCTGTATATAAAAAATTTTATGTAATATTTTAGAAACCACGAGGAATCCTTGAACAAACATTTAATGTCTCCTCCAACGAACCACGCGGACAGCGAAATCCAAGAGAAAGAAGAAAGCCATACCACTCGACAGATGGCACTAAATTCCGAACTGCTGGAAATCCAGAAACAACTGATACTGAAAGAGAGTTTGGCGGTACAACTCGCCAGTAATAACCAGTACATGGTCGACTACAAAGCGATGGCCGATAACGAAGCAAAGATCGCTCTTTTGCAGAAAGAGAAAGAGGAATTGTTGCAGCAGGTGAAGAACGTCCAGGCTCAAGGTGCTTCGAGTAAAATCGCAGAACAGAGAAGGAAAAGAGTTCAGGAGCTGGAGGCGCAGCTGCAGGACTTGCATAAAAAGGTAATTTTGATAACAGAAATTGAACTTTCATCTTTACCGATAATCGACATTCTTACACTTTATAAATAGGTACACGAGCAAGCCCGCCTCATTAAGCTGAAAGAGAAGGACGAGCTGCGGATCGGCAAACTAAACCAAGAAATATTCCAAATGAAACAGAACAAAGTGAAGTTGGTGCGAACGATGCGTGAAGAGAGCGAGAAATTTCGGCAGTGGAAGCTGGAGAAGGAGAAGGAGTGCCAGCGGCTAAAGCAGCAAGACAGAAAGAAGGAGAACGAAATAGTCAAGATGAAAGCTATGCACACTAAGCAACAGAACGTTTTTAAGAGGAGGGTCGAAGAAGCGGAGGCATTGAACAAACGTCTGAAAAACATCCTAGCCGTGAGAAAACAAACGCAGGACTCTAAGCTCAGCGGGAAGGCCGAACGGATCGGTCCCTGGGTGAGTTTTTATTTCTCTTAAGTATCATATTCCATTTTATCGAGACGTTTTCAGGTCAAACAAGAGTTCGATATTTACGTCAATCTCGTTGAGGCAGAAGTTACACTGTCGGCTCTGTTAGAAGACCGGGCTACACTTCAGCAACAGTTGGACGAGCTCAGAGCAGACCCGGAAACTGCGGAAGGTGCCGAGTGTAACACCATCGCGGAAGATATAGAACTGAGATCCGTGCAAATACAGGATTTACAACAGAAACTTTTATACTCGGACGAAGGTAAGTTATTCGAACGGAAATACGAGGTATTTCGTAATTTACAGTATGTACAGTAAAAAAATACCAAATGAGCGATGATTCCAGGTCAAAATTTTCATAAAAAACTCATTTCACGTCAGCTAAACTAGGCCAGTGTCAGAGGTTATGGGAATTGATATTCACAAACTAAACACAGTGCTTTAAAAAAAATACTTTTTATTAAAAAGTGTTGCCTAGTCACAGACGAATTATAAGTGGACTATTTATGTGATTTCAAAGAAATGTATATAAAAAATTGACCCTCGGTTATGTAAAACAATGGATTTTCAAAGTTCTATTGCTACCTTTTCAGAAATTTTTTTCTTTCCGCGGTAATACAATAAAATTCAATAAAAACAAATTAAACACAAAACTTTTCTTTTGCGACAATTGGTGTCTTCCATTTCATTCTTAAAATATGAAACGAAAGTAATAAAACCAACACACTTTCTAAATGCGAAATTTTAGTATACAGGGTGTTTCCTAAGTACGGTTCGTAACTTTAGGACACAATTTTTTATTGTATTTAATGAAAAAATGTTCCTATAAACCTGTGGCTGGAAACGCTTACATTCCGAGATACAGGGTGTTCAAAATTTAAAAAAATATATTAATACTTGAAATAAAGCTTGGCCAGCTCGCAGTCCCGATATGAATCCTTGCGACTTTTATGTATGGGGTCACCTCAAGTCTCTTATGTATAAGACGCCTGTACTAGATGAAAACGAGTTACGAAATTGATTAATTCAAAGTTGTGATGTTTTATCAGAAGGTTATTTCTATGATTGTTGTTTGTAGTTGCCGGCGATTTTTCTAAAAATAGGTTAGTATTAGGCAAAAATTCGAGACACCTTTTTTTTGTTGTGTTATGACGAAAACGTCAACTGACTCATAGTCTAATCAGTTGGCGCTCAAGAAGGGGGTTGCCTGTGAAGTTTTAGGGGAGTTTTGAAAAGTAGTATATTTATAGATTTTGACGCGCTCTTTCCGAATTTTTACTTTGCCACTTTTTTTCCGGAAGTAGCCGCCATATTGGAAAAATGGCGCTCCAAAACAGTTTTTCAACGATATTTCCTTTCCGACTCACTTTATTGTGAAAATAGTTGTATAATAAATTAAACTAGAGAACATTTCCTATAATTTACGTATGAACCTTTTTTCTGTGAAATGAATAGTTTCGGCGTACGAACACCGCAAAGTCTACTCCAAACTCCAACATGTGTATTTCGTATATCAACGAAAAATATTTTACTACGCCTATTAGGGCCTCAATATGGCAATCAGCATTTCATCTACATTTGATGCCGTTATAGTTATCGGCCAAGATGTAGATCTTATTCTTTTGACGGCTCTATCTACACGTTGAAACATATACGTTCTGAAACCAGAAAAAGGAACGATTTCGCAACGAATATATTCAACAGAAAGTATCATAGATAAAACAGCCGCAGATAACATCCTATTCTTACACGCCTTCAGTGGCTGTGATACAGCAACATCAGCACTCTTCGATCAAGGGAAAATAAAATATGCCAATATACTCCGAAAGAACCGAGCTCATCCAGGTATTTAAAAACCCAAATGCTGACCCGGAAAGCATTGCTGAAGTTGGAGAATGCTTCCCCCTTGCATTGTACGGTTACAGTGGCGTAAAAAGTATGTCGTTAAACACCTACACATGCTTCACGAAGTCACCATTTAAAAATAAATTTAACATTGCATCGCTGCCATCGACAGAAATAGCAGGTTCAGCAGTGGCATGGAGTTGGAAAAAAGCAAGAATGGGCTAATTTCTTGCAAATGTAATAAAGTACGTCGGTGACCCTGTGGATGCAGAAAGGCTGGACTAAAGTGCTCCGTTATCTGCACGAACTGCAATGGTACTTGCGATAATTCGATTGTTGATCTGCAAGACAGTGATGAAGAGAAAGATACGGAGACAGTTCTTCAGCAAACCTTCGACGAAATCGAGAATGAAGTCGAAGAAGAGAACCCTATCGCGGATAACTTGGAAGAACGTCCTATCCGTGAGGTTTTGCTCAGTTCTGAAGATGAAGAACTCACAAAACCTGGTCCATCAGGGATAGCGAATAAGTGAAGGAGAATGCACTAAATTTAGTCAACAGTGCATCACATGTGGATTAGGCCTACTGGGGATACCACTAAAAAAAACATGCCAGGAACTCTATCTCGTGGTGGTGTGGAAATGAATTTGTTGGCCAATACACGTGTTGGAGTAGACTTTGCGGCGCTCGTATGCCGAAACTATTAATTTCACAGAAAAAAGGTTGATACATAAATTATAGGAAATGTTTTCTAGTTTAATTTACTACATAACTATTTTCACCGTAAATTAAGTCGGAAAGGAAATATCGTTGAAAAACTGTTTTGGAGCGCCATTTTTCCAATATGGCGGCTACTTCCGGAAAAAAAAAGAGNAAAACGAGTTACGAAATTGATTAATTCAAAGTTGTGATGTTTTATCAGAAGGTTATTTCTATGATTGTTGTTTGTAGTTGCCGGCGATTTTTCTAAAAATAGGTTAGTGTTAGGCAAGAAATTCGAGACACCTTTTTTTTGTTGTGTTATGACGAAAACGTCAACTGACTCATAGTCTAATCAATTGGCGCTCAAGAAGGGGGTTGCCTGTGAAGTTTTAGGGGAGTTTTGAAAATTGGTATATCTATAGATTTTGACATACTCTTTCCGAATTTTTACTTTGCCACTTTTTTTTCCGGAAGTAGCCGCCATATTGGAAAAATGGCGCTCCAAAACAGTTTTTCGACGATATTTCCTTTCGGACTCACTTTACAGTGAAAATAGTTGTATAATATTAATTAAACTAGAGAATATTTCCTATAATTTACTTATGAACCTTTTTTCTTCTACTCCAAACTCCAACATGTGTATTTCGTATATCAACGAAAAATATTTTATTACGCGTTGAAAACCCGGCCTATTAGGGCCTCAATATGGCAATCAGCATTTCATGTACATTTGATGCCGTTATAGTTATCTGCCAAGATGTAGATCTTATTCTTTTGACGGCTCTATCTACACGTTGAAACATATATGTTCTGAAACCAGGAAAAGGAAGGATTTCGCAACGAATATATTCAACAGAAAGTATCATTTAAAAATAAATTTAATATTGCATCGCTGCCACCGACAGAAATAGCAGGTTCAGCAGTGGCATGGAGTTGGAAAAAATGCAGAGCGGTGGGAATGGAAAAAGCAAGAATGGGCTAATGTAATAAAGTATGTCGGTGACCCTGTGGATGCAGAAAGGCTGGACTAAAGTGCTCCGTTATCTGCGCGAACTGCAATGGTACCTTCGATAATTCGATTGTTGATCTACAAGACAGTGATGAAGAGAAAGATACGGAGACAGTTCTTCAGCAAACCTTCGACGAAATCGAGGATGAAGGTGATGAAGTCGAAGAAGAGAACCCTATCGCGGATAACTTGGAAGAACTTTATCCGTGAGGTTTTGCTCAGTTCTGAAGATGAAGAACTCGCAAAACCTGGTCCATCAGGGATAGCGAATAAGCGAAGGAGAATGCACTAAATTTAGTCAACAGTGCATCACATGTGGATTAGGCCTACTAAAAAAAACACGCCAGGAACTCTATCTCATGGTGGTGTGGAAATGAATTTGTTGGCCAATACACGTGTTGGAGTAGACTTTGCGGCGCTCGTACGCCGAAACTATTAATTTCGCAGAAAAAAGGTTGATACATAAATTATAGGAAATGTTCTCTAGTTTAATTTACTACATAACTATTTTCACCGTAAATTGAGTCGGAAAGGAAATATCGTTGAAAAACTGTTTTGTAGCGCCATTTTTCCAATATGGCGGCTACTTCCGAAAAAAAAAAGAGGTGGCAAAGTAAAAATTCGGAAAGAGCACGTCAAAATCTATAAATATACCAATTTTCAAAACTCCCCTAAAACTCCACAGGTAAAACTTCCAGCTGATTGGACTATCACGCCTAACTACGCCACTGGCGGCAAATAAGAATTGCCTTTATACTAAACCAACATACAATAACTGCCAAACCTAACAGTCACTGTTCCAAATTTATTTAAAATATATTTTTTTAAATTTTCAACACCCTGTTTCCCGAAATCTAAGTGTTTCCGGAAACATGTTTATAGGAACTTTTTCTTTTTTAAATACCATAAGAAATCGTGTTCTGAAGTTACGGACCGTACTTAGGAAACACCCTGTATATAACAACATTGTCCTACCTCTTAATAGCTCTTATTTAGATCGATCAACTCACCAAAACTTTTAGATGGACTTTAGATTGTCCCATTCGGTACATACAGTTGCTTATGAAACACCCTGTAAATACTAAGAGGTTTACATGAAATGAGAATTGTTTTAACAGTCGCTAACGGTTTATTTTGTGTTACTTTTAGAAAACAGGTCAAAAACGAGGTTCGATAAGTTCCAATCAATCGGGGAGGCAAAGTTTGCTTTAAAGCTGGTATTTGAACAAGCAGCTGAAATGCAGAAAGAAAAAGTACATACCCAGTTGAAACTAAACGAGCTGCAGGAATCGTTCAATGAGGTACAATAAAAACGACCGTTAAATAATAGGGGCGCAGTTAAATTGCTATTTCGTTAATTAGTTGCAGGAAAAATTGAAAACCTCCGACGCTAACTACAAACTTAGGGAGGAAAAAAACTTAGAGCATCTGGCTCAGCTGCAAAAAGGTTATGAAGAGAAGGTGTCTATTTTGTTGCGGCAATTGAGAGGCGTGAAAGTAGAAGGTAAGGAATAAGTAATTCGTTTCGAACGTTTATATTTTTGACGTTTATTTTTAGATGTGAGCGAAGAAGACGAATTAAGACAAATGTGTAAGATACAACAAGAGAAAATACAAGAACTGGAAGAGAAAATAAAAACGATCCAGGTTAGTATCCTTAATAATAAATTGTTACTTAGGGAAGCCAGTTTTTGGGATTGAGATAAAAAATTGCGCGATTCGGGAATTGGATCGCGATTCCGAAAATTAATTAAAAATTCGCAACCTAACATACCTTTGCTCAGAAAACATTTTTGATACGAGTAATCCTGCTGAAGAAAAATCTTAGCGCGTACGAGGCATATCCACGAAGTAACAGTACTCAATTTTTTTAAAATCTAAACGGCAGTATATTTATGAAAAATTTAAATATTCGTTAACATACCCCTTCTTTTGTTCTGTATCGCCCTCAGTAGTGTTTTCACAGTACCGGCAAAACGTCAATGAGGAGAATCCCTTTACGGTCCTAAAACACAATTGCCATAATTTTTGAGCCGAAACAACTGTTTTGAATTTTTTCTCTAATGGTTCAGACGGATGTCGCCACTGCATTGATTGTCTTTTCGTCTCAGGAGTGTGACTGTGGTGCAACATCCACGCTTTGTTGCCAGTCACACTACAGTCTAAGAAAAATTCTCATGAAAATGTGATTTTGTTGGCTTTGTGTTGATCCATGAGCTGTTTTGGTACCCAACTCGCACACCATTTTCGATAACCAAACGTTTCAGTAATAATTTCATGCAGAAGAGGTGTGGAAACACTGCGTTCATCTCGACCAAAGTCAACCGACGGTCACCATAAAGCATTTCTCCGATTTCGTTCACCATCTCATTAGTCACGATTGAGGAACGCCCACTCCTTTGTTCATCATGAATATTCATTCTGCGAGGTTTACACTCACGACACCACTTGTACACATTAGTACGATTCATCACACCACCCCCATAACAGTTTTGATTTCACTAAAAATCTGGACGGGTGCCTTTCCCCTTGCAAGAAGAAGCCGTATTGCACTGCTCACCTCGCAGCTGACAGGATTCGGGACAGTGGCACTGATTTTAACATGTCACTACAAAAACAGTTCCCAACTGACTGATACAAATGAGCGTACGTTCTGCTCCCAACGCCTTGGCCTTAAGTGCAGTGTTGCCAACTTTGTCGAAAACAAAAACCACAGTGTCGGAGGCTTGGTACTTTTACTTTGTAGATAAACGTCGTATACGTTGCTAAGCTGTTTAATTGCTTGGTTCAACGTAGTAAATAAGAAAATTAAATGTAAACAATTTGATTCCGGGATTATTTTGGAAATTTTGGGCCTTTCAGGATTCGAAAACCGTAAAATCTCAGAAATCTGCGGATTTTGAAATCTCGAGATCCCAGAATTGGGCGCACGACAAGTACTCGCATGTAAAATTTCTTGTATGAAGTAGAACGATGTTAGTACACTGCAATGATGTGAAACTTCGTGAATGATGTGAAGTATTCAATATTTACTTCCATCTAGCGCAGCGCAGTAAAATGTTAATTCGTCTTCCAAATTTTTTTTTAAATAAAAAAGTTTTCTCGGCTTCAAAACGTTTTTGTTTTTTAAATTACTGAAAAATTGTCTGCAACTTCTTCCGTTAAAAGTCATTTTCATAAAATAAAAATTGAAATAGTTATTTGTAAAAAACGTCTCCAAAAAAAGCGCAATTTTTTCAAATTCACTTTTTGATCCCTAAAATTAATAAAATCGTTTTATAATAGCCAGCGTGTTAATACAACTCTTTGCGAAGAAAATAAACCAAAAATCGTTACTGTAGGGTCATCCACCGAGAAGATCTAGCCAATTTTGGAGAGCGCTTTTTTTAAATTGACCCCGAAAAATAATTAATATTTTTAAATTTTTCAAATATTCACTTTTTTGGCTTGCCGTGGGCTATGCTTGCAGTAAATAGTAAGTATGAGAATGTAAATGTACACGAGTTACAGAAGAAGAGAAAAGAGAAGATTTTTAACGGTTTTTTCAATATATCTCGAAAAGTAACAAAGCAATTGATACTTAAAAAAAATCAAACGATAGATTTTTAAAACCTACAATTTTCTTAAAATTTTCGTAGTTATTTTAGAAAAATCGTTTTTTGCAACTTTGCTATTTTTTTTTAGCCATATCCGCCATTTTAGATCGAGTTTAAAAAGAAAAAGAAGAAACTCAATTTAAAATTTAATTTCCTATATGGTCATATTTTTTTTAAAGTAATTTCCATTACAATCACTTAGTTTTTTTGTATCCCCTTCTACTTTTGTTAGACAGTTTTTGTTGTTATTTTATAATTTTATTTTGTCACACTCATTTCTTTTATTATTTGCATCCACTTGTTTAATTAGCTGTATAGTAGTTTTCTTCGAAAAAATAAGCCAATAAATAATTTATTTTAAAATGTTTGTACATGTAAGGATATTCGACCAAAGTCCGACGAAATAATGAAGTTACTAGCAGTGCCACACATTGTTGTACACGGGGCGGATAGGTTGACTGTTATCATTCTCTGCAAGCCACAGTTTGAATCAAAGCAGGCGACAGTTTCGCATCATCGTATTTATAATCGTTTTTAGAAGTCTTATCGTTACCCTTGTTATAATATGACGTATCCTACAAAATTTGACAATTTTACTTTTTTTGAAAAATGGATTCATAATAATATACCTACAGTAAAAATTTTGGAGGTCAAATTGTTTTTGTTTATTTAAGTACTATTTTCAAATATTCTAATATGTCACATCTGATTTTCACGTATTCTAATATGTCGTATCCCACATACTAAGGTTAAGTTAAGAAGATAATTAAAAATGTATTTTTTTATATATACAGGGTGGGTCATTAATGTGAGAAAGTAAAATAACTCCCTTGTTATTCATAATACAGAAAAAAAGTCCATATAAAAGTTATACAGAATCAAAAAACCTAAAGGACAAAATTAATTTGAAACATACAGGGTGATGAGTAAAAACGGGACACACCAAATATTACATTTTTTAAATGGAAGACCCTGTATACCTTGAAACATGAATTTCTGAGAAAATTCTATATATGGCAGTATAAACAGTTTAATATTTTAGTGCGGGATTATCAAGTTATGAAGAAAATTCTTTGAATTTTGGATCGATTTTGGATCGATATTAGCTAATATAGGAGCCTTTGTCTAACATTTGCTTGTAACTCTGTCTAAGTATGTATTTTATTCCAAGTGTTAGTAGCTGACAGTTAATACAACTTTGTCGAGGTCATTTTTTCCAAAATTCGAAGAATTTTCTTCATAACTTGGAACCCCGCACTAAAATGATAAACTGTTTATAATGCCATATACACAATTTTCTCGGAAATTCATGTTTAAAAATCTGTTCCATTTGAAAATGTAATATTCGGCGTGTCCCGTTTTTACTCATCGCCTTGTATGTTTCAAAATAATTTTATAGTTTAGGTTTCTTCATTCTGTACAACTTTTATATAATTTTTTTTTTCTGAATCATGAGTAACAAGCGAGTTATTTTCTTTTTCAATGCCCACCCTGTATAATTATACAATTTATTTAATTGTTTTTTTTGCGTCAATTATTAATACTTGTACATTTTAATTGATATGACTGAGACGCAGGGCCGGTGCCAAGGTATTTGGCACCTGAAGCAAATATTTGCTTGCCGCCCGTTGGCACAATAAATTTATTAATAAAAAGTTTTAGAAAATAAAAAAAACATTTCAATAGACAAAAATAAATAAAAAAATATTTTAGCAAAAAAACAAAGGGAAATTATAAAAAACATATTCTAATAAAACCAAAAATAAAAAATTTTCAATAAAAACAAAAAAGAAACTAAATAATGTCAAAACGGGATCTTTACACATATCACATCACATATCAACTTTTCTACATTTTTCGTTAACAATGTCTTCTATAATATCAGCGTAAACCTAATTATTTGTTATATCTTTCTCGATAGCAAGATTGGCTAAGTCTGTTAACCGTTCCTGTGCCATGGTTGACCGTAAATAATTATTTATAATTTTTAATTTTGAAAAAGAACATTCTCCACTGGCCACAGACACAGGAATGGTTCAAAAAATCCTTAAAGATACTACGACGTTAGGGAAATTTTCGCTCAACTTGTTGATTTCTAATTAATTAATAAAAGCACAAAGCACGCATTCGGGGTCAAAAAATGCTTTTTTCAGATTTTTGTGCAATTTTCTATTTCTGAAATTTATCAAAAGTTAATAATCAAGTCTTAAAATGCCGTCTGAAACATCTGCTTCGCTATTTCACCCCTTCTACCGGCCCTGCTGAGACGTTTTTATGGTCTCCTGGAAAGTTTTCTCAATGTGGGATACGTCATATTAGAACGAGGGTATCGGTATATTAGAGTAATTTATTTGTATGAAGCTGTTATTACAGAATCGACAAGAATTTCATACGCCAATTCTGAGCAGTAAGAAGAGAACGGTACCAAATGTGATAGTAACCGAAGGGACCTTTATTATGGATGACAAGGTACGAATATGACATAAATTCAATTGTGGTCCTGTATAAACCTTTTCAGTATGGTTACGAAAACCGATTCGTGCTGGACATACATTAATATATCGATAACATTTTAGGAGAACGGAGCAGTAAGTGAAACTGATTCTGACGATGACGTTGAAAACGATCCGGACTGGAGGAAGACACCGCTGGGGAAGCGCATCCTCGAAGAAAAGAGAAAACTCACGTTAGTGAGGAATGCTCCGAGTAAGTTTTATCAATAAATTTTTTCTGATCTTAGCCAAAAAAATGTCCTCAAGTTTTAATTCTGTCATTTTTTGGCTCCAAACAACAAAAGTTTAGCGTTAATTGCTCTAAATATGTTGCATACTAACACTTAGTATATATATTTTTTCCAACATTTTCCTTAATGACACATTTCTCAATTTTCATTTTTTTAATAATATTTACAGTGAAATCTCCCTTAACGGACACACCCTATGAACTGAGTTTTGCTTAGCCTCGACGGTTTTCCATAACAATAGCATTATCCCTCTCCTTTAGGCGGCCGACTCTTTTTTGAGCAAATGCAGACACAGATTTTCTGGTACTTTTTCCGGAATGTACACAAAAATAAATAAGAGCGAATATCATTATTAAAGCAAGCGCTTAACTCTTTATGGCAGAATTGTCTGCTGAGAAATCGCGATATCAGCCACTGTATGCTTTTAATTTGTGCTGTTTCTTTAGTTTATTCATTTACGTCTTTACGTGGTACGCGACATTTGTTCAACGTTGTTGAAAATAGCAACAGAAAGAAAAATTTTAATTTTTGTTTTTCTCATATTTTTGATATTGATGAATATTTTCTTATCCAATTTTCGGTTATGACACCTCCTTTGGATGGAAAAGTTTTTGTGGTTCCATTATTGGTGTCTGTCCAACATAGTCGGAGAGCTGACGACAAATTTATGGAATATATTTTAGGCAAGTTGAAATAATGAAAAAATCAGTATTTTATCAATGGGTGAATCTAGAATCGTGAGTCAGGCAGAGCGTTTGCGGTTATTTCGCTACTGCGCAGCATGTGACATTTGCAAAAAAATAAAACAAAAAAATATCTTTTAGGCAACTTGGAATTTTTTCAGTCTTTTATTTTAGCATTTATATAACACAGAAATAAAAATCTGAGACTATTTTGTCCCTTTGAAAGTAAGACCTAAAATACATTCCCTAAATTCGTCATCAGCTCTTGGACTAACAGAGATTCCATTAGACTTTTCACAATACATACAAAAAAAAACTTTATTTATTTTTATGATTCGCAAGCAAAATATTAGAAAAAAAGGAGAAATTTATAGAATATTGAAATAATGTACTTGTTAAAATATTTTTCGTATATATTTTGTAGGAAAACTCCTCAAACAGTACAAAAAAAATATTTTAAGTGTATGTATTAGTATATGAGTATTTTTGTGTCGTTTTTGCTTTGGATGCAATGATCGTGTCGTCTCAACTATTAACTGAAACAGCTCAATGTTCAATAATTATTGGCTTTATACGGGGTCAAAAAAAATGTCTTCATAAATTCAACCGAAATTTTCATTTATAGATTGCAGCATTTTTTACAAGTCGTCCATTAATAATTCTGTTTGTATTGTTGAAATTAGACCATAAATTACGAAACACCCACTATAAATTTCGAAAATTTAGAATACAAAATTCTTCCGCTCATTTTCGAATAAATTACAGTTGGTATCCATAAATATTCTAAGTAAAACGTTGTATTAGGTTTCAACCGCAATGTCCCAGTAAAACGATCCTCCGAGGGTGGATGTACCTGTAAAACGAATTGCCAGAGTTCCAGGTGTGGTTGTAGAAAAACTCTCACGGTCTGTGGTGATTCCTGCAAATGTTCCGCCGGTACATGTGAAAACAGGAATAATGTAAGTTTTTTTGTAATGTTTATTGTCATAATTTTTTCAGTACAGGAAAATGTGTCTTTTTGCTTTTAAAGTGGCTTGCTTCATATTAATTAAAAATTTTTTGGAAGTTCCGAAGTTACTTGGCTCAAGTTGATTAATTTATATTGTTTGTGGATGGTTTCTGCGGTCTTTTAATTTTCATGCCATCGAATTAGAAAATGTTACTCTACATCGCAAACAAAAAAAGTTCCTACAAAAAAAATGCTTTATTTTCTAAAAGGTGTTAAATTTTTGTAACAAAAAACTTAATGAAGGAAAAAACAGCTGGAGTGGTTTTATCAGGATGTATCTTTTTAGGGATTACATTTTTTTATGTAGGTTAGACCAAGTTGGGGTAATTAATGCTAAAAGTGTCTCAAATATTTGTTTAGATAAAAAAAAATATTGTTGTTTAAAATATAGCATTAACTACATTAAAAATCAAGTACTACCTGATTCATAAAAGTACTCGCTGTTCTCCGATACTTGCTGAAAGTACTCAAATACTTTAGTTCTCTATAGTTATCGGGCTACCTAGGAAATATCATGCGAGATGTGAATTCTGGAGTGTGAAAAATATTATAATGAATTTAAATCAATTACTGATTAGCGTATCGAATGAATCGGAAGAATTTGAATACCTAAGTTCTTGGTGGTTATCAAAAAACGTTGAATCAACGGTTGACTCATAAACAGAAAGAATTTCAAATATTCTATACAGGGTGTTTGTAAATAAGTGCAAAATGTGGCAGGTGGTTGCCCAAGTTATTTTGTGAAAAATAAGTTCTCGTAGGTCGAAATATGCTTTGTTTTAAAGATACGGAGTGTTTAAATTTTAATTTTTATTTATTTTTATTAATTATTTCAGAGTTTTAAAGATATTGACTCGAAATTTGATGGTTGTATTTTATTTAGATATATTGACAGCAACCTACTAGATAATGTTTCACTAGAAATTAAAAATACACAACTTGCAATAAAATATATTTTATTTTTTTCCTCTTATGAAAAAAATTGAAGAGACCAATTTCATTCAGAATTGATGACTTGACTGAAATCCATGCCGGATTTCTAAAAAAATATCAAAACGGGAAAAGTCAGTGGCATACCATTTTTTTTTTATTAAAGAAGGTTGTGGCGTTCTCGCTCAAACGCCACTGGTGCAAGTAGAAATATTCGGATCGCCCCAAAAAATGCACATTTATCCCTCTAAAGCGTTTTTCAAATTTCGAGTCAATATCTTTAAAACTGAAATAATTAATAAAAATAAATAAAAAATTAAAATTTAAACACTCTGTATCTCGGAAACGAAGCATATTTCGACCTACGTTTATATGAACTTTTTTTCACAAAATAACGTCGGCAACCACCCCCTAAAATATTACGCACTTATTTACAAACACCCTGTATATCTACACACATTATGATTTTAAAAATAATTATTGGAAATAAAAGAATATATTGAAATAACAAGTATTTTAGGAAATCTGAAGTAGTTAGCGGCTACGTCCTTCAGTATCTCTGCCACTGTTAAAAGTTTAAACTAAAAAATATTTTCTTTAAAATTATTCAAATTATCACTGAAATTTTTTTATGTACTTGCGTATTTCCTATCTTAATTTTTTTGCATATTAATAGAAACGATTATATCTCTATTATCTTTAGTGTTTAGTATTTTATCTTATTGTACGCAGGCAATTGATAATAAAATGTGTTTTAGGAGAAAGACACATCGGCAAATTCAGAGTCGGAAGATGCATTTAAGAAGCCAAGGTATTCGAATATTTTTACATAAAACGTACCGTAGATATATTATTTATTTTCTGCAGGTACTTTGATGAGGACGAACAACCCAGAAAATCAAAGGTCAAGTCCAGGCAGCTGTTTAAGATGCAAATATAATGTACATTTTTTTTAATATGTGATGTTAATGTAACTTATTTTTTAATGTGTGTGTGGTGTGTATATATTTCGTAATAAGAATGTTGTATATAATATTTATTTTAACAGGAACTGACTGAAATCCATGTCACGTCTTTAATTAATTAAGAATATAATTGTCATCAACCTCTGCTTATGCTATGTGGATATGGAATATATTTTTTTACCTATTTATGAAACTTACGAATCGATTAAAAACTTTCATCTTAACCGTATTTTTTATAGCATTCCTCCATCCTTACCAAAGAAATGCCCGGCAAGAATGTTCACAATTTTTTTTACTTAATTGTGAATGTACGACGTATGAATAAGCGTAAGTTGGTCTAAATTTAAAAAATACACGGTGTTTCCTAAGTACGATCCGAAACTGCAGGAAAAAGAAAAGAGTTTCTATAAACATGTCACCGGAAACCCTTAGATTTCGAGATACAGGGTGTTAAAAATTTAAAAAATTCAGTGTCATTTTTTGAAAACCTGACCAAGGCCAACTTTTTTATTTGAAGTGATAGACTAGTACTTTCAAATCCGGAGTTGTAGGAAATAATTGACTAGGAAAAATTTACAAATAATGTTTTCTGGCATTGCCAGGTTTCTTCAGTAGCTACTAAAACAATATTTCTTTAAATGACAACACTATTTTTTTAGCATAACTTGACAAATCTTCAAATTCTGAATAAAAAGTGTTTATTTATTGGAGTGGCCATTTTAAAACAATCGACAAAAACAAGGAAAATAATTCGGCATGAATTAAAAGAAGCCAACATAACAATAGTAGGCCTTGGAAATTAAACAAAAATTGGATTGTTTGAAAGGAGCCATCATTATTGTGCTGTCATTGTGTTATTTGAAAGCTGTTGTATTTGAATGTGTATAAAAATAACGTTTTAATTTGGTTGCCAAGATGAATCAGTTATTTAATCCGAAAGAGAAAGTTGAATTAATTTTTCTTCATGTTGGTGGCTTAAGTATACGCAATGCCTGCCCTGAATTCCACGCAAGACATCCCCATAAGCCTTTTCCAAATCTGGAGTTTTTAAGAATAACTCTAACCTGGTAGTGTGTGCCCAAGGATCTGCAAAAGGCTGAAAATCATCTTATAAACTGAATTAAACACAACAGCTTTCAAATAACACAATGACAGCACAATAATGATGGCCCCTGTCAAACAGCACAATTTTTGTTTAATATCCAAGGCCTGCTATTGTTATGTTTAGTTCCTGGCGACTGCAGATTATTTTCGTTGTTTTTGCTGATTGTTCGAAAATGGCTACTCCATTAAAGAAATGTGACATAACATTTTTATTTAGAATTTGAAGATTTGTCACATTGTGTTAAAAAATATCGTGTTGCTATTTAAAAATACAGGCTGTTACAAGTTCGCTTCTCACTACAGGGATCTCAAATTTTAGAAGTCCGTTTTTGTTTCATTTAAGTCTTGTTTGAGGTGATATTGAAAAATGAAGAACACTTTCTCAGGGCCACTTTTTGTCCTCTATTGAATGGCATAATAAATTTTATATGTAACATTTCGTCTCTCCAGGACCATCATCAACTTCATTTTTTTAAATACGACCCTGGAAATTTTATTACATTTTTTGAAAGCCTTCATGACCTCCAGTATTGTACTACCTCAGTCCAAACCAGATTCAGACAATTTGTCTTGAAGAATTTATTTTCAGTGTATTCGTTCCAAATTTAATAATTACGGACCGTACTTAGGAAACACCTTGTATATAAACTCGAATTAGTAGAGCACCTCCAAGTCTTGACTGTCTGAAACTGATAAATGCAGAAAAATAACAAATCCGTTCTCAGAGACTGTGTATTTTGGTAATAGGCAACAAATATACCAATTTTTTGCAGTAATGAATGTAAACTTTCAAAAAATGCCTGTTTTCTCAAAATCTGTGGAAACGATATAAAAAAAAACGGAAGACTAAGGTTTTCAGAATGACCCCTAAGGTTATAAATATAACTATAAGGAAGATGTTTTTATGGGTAATTTTTGGTGAATTTATAGCACTTTTTTGTCGAGTTTTAGAAAATCTAAGCAAGTTAGAAAGAATATTTCTTCACTGTACCAGTTATTGAAGTTTTCTCCAGACTCCAGTGTATAAAAGCATATTTTTAACTGTTATGTTTACCATTGCGTTGCCTGAACTTAGTGGCTGCTATTGACTTCCATACAGGGAGGGCAGAAAAATTTAGTTACAAAATATTGCAAAAAAAATCAAATATAATTGGGTAGTTTAAAAAATATTGAAATATAGAGAAAATTTACTCAACATTATTCTTCTTTTGTCCAAAATAAATTTTTCAATTACTTTTTTACTAAAGTTTAGTATTTCTCGCACCATTTTTTTGCAAGTACTACAATCAATTTAAACATTTACAATTTTTTTAAAAACACATAATAAACGACATGTAAGTAACAAAATTTTACACCACACCTGAATAGATTACATTTATTAAGAAAAAAAAGCGGTGAATAACTACTATGTGGTTACGGTCGGACTAACCAGACTTCAGACTGCATAGTAAATCCACTACTCTCACTCCGTCTTTCACGGTTACTATGACCACCGCTGTAAACACTTTACAGATCTAGAGGCGAGCTAAAATAGTGACATTTCCTGATAGCTATGTTTTCATAATGAAAAATTAAAGGAATTCTTGAATTTCAACATGTCTATGATTTGGATAATGTTTCCTTTTTCTATTACTGTCTCATTAAAAGTGCAATTTCTTGTCTATAAAATGCCAACCTTAAGCTTGTGCGTTAACTTTGAAAAAACCATAAAATTACATATTTCGAGCAATTTATATAAATTTAACATTAATAAATTACAGTTTTCCTTTCATTAACGAACACATAATTTTTGTTGTATCTGCCTTAAGTTACATATGTATTAAATAAAAGATAAAAAGAAAAAGAAATATCTCCATATTATCACAGGACTGGCCAAATTACACAGTATAAAAGTACTGCACTATACAAATTTATTTAAAAAAAAATTGATAAAACATAAAAATGCATTTAATATTCATAGACTAGATTTTTTATCACTACCCTTTAGTAAGTTAAAATATCATTAAATGCCATTTCAAAGCTTCCAGTACGCTTAATTAAATCGGTTTTTGAAATTTCTTTTAAAGACCGATCACTAAAGTCACTTTTTTACAAAAGAACTAGCCAAATAATAATTTTTAGGTCACTTTTTAAGGGTTGCATTATAGATGTAAATAAAGAACCGTTATCGTATAAGATATCGGAAAATTTTATTGGGAAAAGTTTTTAACAATTGAACATGTGCATGTGCCAAATTTGTTGCTGAATTGTATTCAGATTTGTTATATGAGCATAAACTGAGCAACTTTTCCTAATTGGAAAACTTATATGTATTTACTTTACATTGATCTAAACCGGTTTATTTTCACCTAAGCTGACTATAAGGTTATGGCTCCTTCTTTACCAGCCACTTTGTATAAGGAATATGAGGAATTAAAAAAAATAATCCAAACCAATTTTTGTCGAATCCATTTTTTATATTTTAAAAATAATACTGAGGCGTCATGAAAAAATTAATTTTAATATAAGTTCTTACAGTTTTCTCAAATATACACAAAACTTAAATTAAAGTTTCTCACTGGCCCATACAGTTCAACAGGTTTAATATATAACTGCCTAAATCTTCGTCTTGATTAGTCCATGAAACGTACACATTTTTGTTTTCATCATCGTCCCCTTCCACTTTCACCAACACAGATTCGACGGAAATTTCTCCCTCCGAAAAAGTTACTGACCATTGTGGTAATTTTTCTTTCATAAATCCATGCAATTTATGTGCCGTAGCTAACGAAGGACCGGAATCGTTTAAATGAACTGTGGATGTGAATCGGATCACGTGGCGGTTTATCCCAGCTTCCTTACAAGCCTCTTCTACGTCCATTAAACAAATATTATTGTCCTTCATCACCAACACTCCATGTAAAGTCCGCCTACGTTTTGGATCTGGGGGCAAGGAACTAAATTTTTTCGCTTCGGTTTTCAGCAGTGAAAGAGACACGTCTATTGGTATCTTTACTGGTGTAGTTATAACTGAAGTTTCCCCATTTGCTGGATTGTAACATTTGATGTTAAATTCTTGCTGTATTTTTTCTTTAAGAAATTCCATTTTTGCCGCTTCTCCGTGTACCAACAATACATTCGATGGCTCGCAATGCTGAATAAGCTGCATAATCCCTTTAGCATCGGCATGTGCAGAGAAACTCATATATTCCACAGCCATTTTAACCTCTACGACTTGCCGATTTTCAAATTCCACAACTTTTGCACCATTGAGGATTTTGTGACCGACGGTTCCTTGAACACAAAACCCTGGCATAATGATCATATTATTTTCGTTTGGTGCCCATTTTTTAAATATTTGTAAACTTAAACCTGCGTGTAACATCCCAGGAGTAGCGAATACCACCATTGGTCCCGGATTATCTATAAACTGTCTGTCGAATGCCTTAATGTGTTTAAAATCAAACATATTACGTTGTACAAATGTTTTTCTAATTTTCTGATTTGTCCATGTAATAAACATTTTATAATAATTATTAGCTTTTTCCGTAAGACCTAATGCAAAATAAATTGGAGCTTTTAAATTCATACGTTCCCAGTATGTTTCCAATAATATGCATAACTCCTGAGCTCTACCTAGAGCAAACACTGGTATTAATACTTTACCCCCTCTGTCAACACATTCGTGTACTTTTTTTAAGAAATCTTTTTCTCTGCATCTCTTGGAGTCTCTGATGGTTGTAGCATAAGTTGATTCAGAAATTAGTAAGTCTGGTTTACATTTGTCTATCCAAGCTGCTCCAAGATGTCTATCTGGAGTCATATTATAATCGCCAGTATAAACAATGGATTGAGATCTGATTTTAATCCAAAACATTGCAGCACCTAAAACATGGCCCGCATAATACGCTTTTATTTCAATATCATTATCAACCATAACGGACTGATGTAAAGTCACGGCGATAACCTTCTTCATACAATCTTTGATCATTTGTGAAGTGAAAAAGTTCTGGTCTCCTTTCTTTTCAACTGAAACTTTTCTCATATCTTCTAGTAAAATGGGAGCTATAGCTTTAGTCGGATGTGTCATGTAAATAGGCCCAGTATACCCCACCATTTCAGACATATAAGGTAAGGCACCGCAATGATCTAAATGAAAGTGAGAAATTATCACACAATCTATCAAAGGCGACAAGGACCCATCCGATATATACGAAAAATCCGGAAACCTTCGTTCATCATTATATCCCATATGCATTCCACAATCTAACATGATATTTTTGCCGCCTATAGATAAGAGAATGCAGCTTCTTCCTACATCTTGTCCGGCCCCCAGTGGAGTTACTTTTATTTCCGGCATTTTAAATGGTTTAGTTTATTCTTCTGTACTTTGAAATGTAGTAGAGTAGAGGTTATGTTTGGAGTTTGGATAATGTCATTAATGTCCATAGAAAAATATTTATTTGTCATGTCATAGACTTTATAATCCATGAAGATTGAAGGATAACAACATGGATACTATACATCTAGTCTCCATGGATAACAAGGTCAATAGAAGCAAGGAGTCCGGACTCCATATAAACAAATATCTTACCAGATTAGAGGGCGATAGTGTCCCACATCCCACATACCTCGAAATAGTGAAGGGGAAATAAAGAAAGCTGCAGTTTGAATCTTTGAATCAACCTTGACGTTTTTGTGATGCGTTAAAAGTTTTAAAATAAATAATGTAGGGTGCTTTGAAGTAGATAATATAAATAAATCAATAAATACTGAAAATATCTCGGTGTACAAGGAATACTAACGACTGTAGCGGTAAAAACTATAAGTAATTTCTACCATTACATTAACAAATTTTGTCAATTTTCCTGTATGAATTCGGGTTCCTTGTTTATTCTTCCTGTTATAATTGTAATTACTTTTTTTAATACCTGTGGTATTATAAATAACTGCTTACAAAATAAATTGAGACATTATGTAGTAATTGTTTATTTAAATAATTATTTTAGAATGTATGTTCAAACGGGTACAATTCTATTAGAACATTATGGAAAATAAATTTGAAATGAATAAATATTTTGTGAGACGGATCTGTTATACTGTTATAATAAACACTTCTAATAAAAATAGCAAAAAACAAATTCCATAAATGTCTCACCTAATTTTACTTTTTATACACCCCCCATATTAATATAATTCTCTAAAAATAAATTACAGACTTGCTCTTATTTCTCGAATTGTATGTTAATTTAAATCTCTAATTAAATAATAAAAATAACGAGCGTTCAAATAAAAACGTGATCGAAGTTGGCTCTGACACATTGGACGTAGGGCGTAGTTTATAGCGACCAACTTCACCTCATTTCTCAACGAGCTGTTTAGCAGCTGTCAGTTTCAATAACAAAGCGGCGATACAGCGCTTTGACAGATGACGGGTAAGTTCATTTGCTATACGCTACGCCCTACGTCCAAATTTTCAGAACCAACTTGACCACGTTTTTATTTGAACGCTCGTTATTTTTATAACTTAACTTATTTTAACTGCATCCATAGATTTGACCGAAAACAAGAAACTAAAACTTTTCCACAATTTTATAACTTTATTTCACTTTTAATGTAATTAAATGAATTGGTAAATCGAACAGTAAACATATTTCCGACAATGGCACTATTTATAAATGGTTCTTAGATGGCACTGTAACTTTTCAATGAAATACATATTATATGAATAGTAGCTCATCTTATATGTTTTGTTAATGGGTAAATCTCATTAGTGACCCAATTGTTAGTTAGTTGACACACTATACATCGATGATTTGCTGTTTGCTTAACTCTCCTTTCTTCTACATCCTACACCCTACACAAAACATACTGTATAAGATCTCTATTTATATATACATGCATACATACATATACGTATTTATCGAAAACAGTAGCAGAACTTTAGCACCAATTTTATTTTTAATTGGCAAAATTAATCACGAAACAAAAATATATATATATATATAGGTATACAAAAACGAAATTCATAATACAGGGTGTTCCATATCCATGTGAATCTCTGTTTTAAGCATGAGTATTAGAATCTATTTGTACAGCCACTGATTTTTTTTGAAGTTAAATTATTTATTATAAATTCAATTGTAGAAAGATACACTTCATCTAAATAATTTCATACAAGTAGGTATATTGTAAAAATAAATTTGTGTACCTATCTAAGGTACAATTAATATAGGTATGATTTTATGTATGTAGTAGTATGATGCACTTATGCCCAAAAATTAATTTTTAGGGTTTCTGAAACTTAATAATAAAAAACACCTTTCCATTACTCATATCATCAACGTTTCTTTTTCTATTTATATTTTCAGCATTTCTGTATGTTGACAAACAAAATAAGTAATAAGTGTGTATACAATATTATAATAAATGTAAATAGTTAAATAGAAGGAAGGGTTGGGTTGGGCGTTGGATGGACTCATTCTTCTTTCCCCTCCCGTAGTGATTTCAGAGGGGGTCGATTGCAGCGCGCCTAGGGAAAAACAATAAAACTGAACTGAACAGAAAATGGCGATTTCGACGAAGTTGTGTACATTTCATCGTCAGTTATTTCGCGGAGTGTTTCCTGATAAGACACCATAGTGCGTATATATTATTGATATTTGAGGAAAATCAAACAACATCTGTTAAAATGAGTGAATCTTGTGCAACATTTGAGGACATAAAAACTGATATAAAAGTGAATGAAACAATTCCAAGTGGCGACGTCGTCCAAGAGAAAGATGCGCGCGCCTCTTTAAAAACCGAACATCGACCGAAGCTAAACGATGGAGAAATTCCTCCCAAGAAAAGAAAAACGAGACGCGGGAAATCCAAACGTAGACAACAGTTTATTAAAAACAGTCGAAAGTCCAATAAGCTGATAAAACCTGAAGCTCCTCATAACAGTAATCAGTTTCTTCTCGAAGATCATGGGCTTATCGAAGATTTAGATGAAAACTTGAAATCATTCGATCAAGTTTCAACATCAACACTTGGCAGAACTAGAGACTCGAGTTTTAGTGTTGATTCAGATGGAGAATTTTATTCTTCACCAGACGATGAGGAACAATTCTTAATTAAAGACTTTGATGATCAATATGAAAGCCTTCATGCCGAAAGATTACAAGCCATGTCGAAAACTCAGTTAATAGAAGAATACATTATGCTCGAAAATAAATTAGAACAGCTGTCAAAGCGTTTACAAAAGAATAAAGACAAGGAGGATGAAGAATCTGAAGATAACATACCAGAGCTGAAGAGAGAAGTAGAAAGGCTGATGATTGAAAATGAACGTTTGCGGAGAGAGAACGATGTACTACGTAGTAAAGTAAATGCTTCAGATTCCGAGGATTCTGAAACGGACTCCAGTGATTCTTGTAGCAGTTCATCAAGCAGTAGTAGCAGCAGCGCTTCCAGCAGATCTGGCAGTCCAATTTCCACGATAGATTATAGTCAGACTAATGGACGTGCCTCCACATCCCCTACAAGTGTCGATCCGGTGTAGTGACGGAACAAAAACTAAACTTTTCTTAGTGTTATTAATTCACTTCTTAGAGTTTGAATAATTAGATCACCAGTGAAATAAAAGTGTTGAATATATCCCTAGCATTAGTTTTTTTACAAAAAGGTCAATTTTACTATCTTCATTTTGTTAAATTTAATTATTTCCTGTGTAAGAATTGTTCAACACGAAACATACCCAATATCAACCGGCTATTTTAATGTATCAGTATTTTCGCTTTTTTAATTATCAGTGTGCATTAGGATTTCACATTTTACTTAGTTTAAATAATACAAGAATAGCAGTGATTGAAATGTATAAATAATCAGAAACTTATCTGACAATTTCATTAATTATGTATTTTTTTATTGGGTATGAATAACTGTAATACTTACGAAACATTTATAGACTGCTCTTCTTGTACCATGTAATAATGTAAGTACAATTTTTTCGAAAATGCGTTGCTTTTTTTTGGATGTTAAGTATATGTGCATGTTTTTATATAAGTAAATATTTTGTAGATATATATGAAAGTTTATCGTAGTTATAATTTATTATAATAAAATTTAAATAGAATAATTTTAAATCTACTTTTTTTTAAATCCAATACACTAATGAAAAATATATAATAATTAAAAATAATATTAATTTGATATTAAAATATTAAGAAATGGTTTGAAGCATTGGTAAAGAAATATTGTATCTTCAAAAAAATTCATCAAATGCTTTCATATACAATGTCCAGAAGCGAATGGTCCATACCACAAGACCAGCTGTCTTGGTAGAAACTAGACCTATTTTAGATTAAATTGTTATAATTTTGCTAGCTACAAAATTACCAAACGCATGAAATTTAATTAGATTATTAGCATATCGTCAAATACTCTGCTCTACATATTTGATAACTGCTGCAAAAAAATTAAATACATTTTTACTATATAACCATGCATTTTAACAACATGTATCAAATATATATTTTTTTAAATCATAGTTGTTGACCCGAAGAAATATTTCAAATAACGAAGAAAAGTCAAAAAGATAAAAAATATTAATATTAAAATAATTTTATACAAGGTGTCTCATTCATGTTTCAAAAAAACTTGTGTTCAAGTGCTTCATCAAAGTAGTTCATATAACGTTTTTTTCTTAGATGCCCTGTTTTCGAGATACAGTGTGTTGAAGTTGTTACTTTCCAAATGGTTTTCCTTAATTATCTTTAAATCGACTGAAGATAAAAATGTCAAAATTTATACACGAGTATCGTCAACTGTGCGTTAAGAATAGTGGTTTTTTTCTGAAAAGCAGTGTCGCCGATACAGGTAATAGGAGGGGTACAATTGAAAAAAATATATTAAGTCAAAATTTGTTACATTTCTAAACGGTTGTGTAAAATCTAAAGCATACTACAAAAAAAAGGTATATCTGTCGAAATTCGGTAGCATGTACCATTTTCGAGAAAAATGAAGTTGCATACAAACAAATGAGTGATTGTAGAGATATTTGGTTGAAATTTGGCACATATTTTTATTTATCCTAAGTAGGCACACTTTCTGTGTAATTTTGATGTAAAATATCAAAGCACTAACGGATTTCTCTTCCCTCAATTTTTCTTTTAGTAGTTTTTAAAATTTAGATTTTGATACCCTGTATTTTGAAAATGGGGCTCCGAAATAAAAAGTGGCATAAGAAAAGTCCCATTTTTCTAGTCCAAAGTATATATGGTTAACGGTTTGACTTACTGATTTGTAACACTCTGTATAAATTTATTAAACATCAAACTTTTGCTGCTTTACAAAATATAATAAAAAATAAATAAAACTTTAAAATATTGTTTAAAATTATTTCAAGTTTGTTTACTATTTTTTTTAAGCTAATTTAGGTGAACTAAATAATATCACTACAGAGCACTAGACGGGCAAACAGTCAATATTGATTTGACAAAATAAGAATTGCTGAATATGTCTCAGCTAGCTTGCCAGTGGCGGCTCTCGACTTCCATATCACGGAGGGTGAAAAAATTTAGATAGGTACAAAGCCCAGCAAAAAGAAATCAGATATAATTGGGTAGTTTTATTTTAAGTACAATTAAAATATAGGGAAAATTATTTTTTATAGTGTAAGCCCATTCTTCCGCTTTTGTCTGTAATATACTTTTCAATTACTTTCTCATTAAAGTTTGGTATTTCTCGTATCATAGATTTTCCAATAGGTAGCATTGCAAGTGCTGTTAGTCTGTCTTTACAATCTTTTAAGAACACAAGAAACAATACATAGGTTACAAAATTTTATACCACAAGTAAACAAGTTACGTTTAATAAGAAAAAAAAAGCAGTGAATAGTTATTATTTGGTTACGGTCGGACTAAACAGAGCCCAAACTGCATAGTAAATATGCGCTACTCTGAGCGTCAGTAACCATGACCACCACTGTAAACACTTTACAGTAGAGATGAGAAATCCGGTTCATTTTGTTGACCCGGTTCACCGGTTCCGGTTCCTCATACGGAGCCGGTTCAGTGAGCCGGCTCAATTGAGCCGAATTTGTCATGACTAACACTCGGCTACACGGGTCGCAGTAGCCCTTCTTTTCTTTCTAGTACACTGCGACCCGATACATTAAACATATACATAAAATAGATTGTTTAATAGAATTATGTATTATTTTTATACAAATATATTAGAATCAATATTTTGTTGATTATTAACTAGCAATTTAGAAAGCATGTAAGGAAAAAAAAAAGAAAATTTTGGAATTAATTTTTATTAAATAATTATTTTTTGGTGAATTTATTTTTTTTTGTATTTGAATGAAAATTTGTTTTCACTACTTATTTATTATTTGAAAAAGTAGCGAATAATACAAATAATACACCTGATACCTGCACTGTATGAATTGTGCGAGTGCGGGTGCACTACTCTTGATTTCGGTTCACCTCTTCCGACATTCGATGCACAAATCCGAGAGCCGGGACAGATCTCTGAGAAGGAACCAGTTCACTCGGCTCCGTACAAAGAGCCGAATCAGTCATGTTCCGCCCATCTCTACTTTACAGATTTAGGGATGAGCTATGAGGAGCCCACGTATCCAATTTTGCAAGTCAAGTTAAATTTATAGGAAAAATCATTTCTATTCATTAAAACTTTATTATATATAATGTAACAAAACTTCGAACAAAACGTAAAATATATAAAAAATAAAACAAAGAAAACACTCATAAATTTCATTTAGTTTTTCCCTTTAATTTGACCTTAGAAATAGGAGCACTCGGGTTAGTGCCTTTGTAAAACTCTTTCAACAAGTGCATTGCCTCATCAGCCCTATACCCGCCTTTCACAGTGGTCACCGGTTTCAAAACTTTACCCACATCAAAAACACTTTGCCCGCCGAAACGGTCATTCCTACATCCGAATATGACACTTTTAACTTTCAAATCGTATAGCGCAGCTGAACACATTATACAAGGTTCTACAGTTACATACACACATATTTCCGAGAAAACGGGATGCAGGTCCAAATTGTTTAGTTTGCAATAGTCTTGCACTTGGTCGATGCAGTTCATTTCCGCGTGGCGAGTTGCGTTATGTGTTTCGTTAACAGTATTACGTCCCAACGCTACAATTTCCCTGTTAAAAACAAATATGCAACCCACCGGAACCTCCTGCGATTCTAGAGCTTGTCGCGCGTAAAAAAAAGCCTTTTCCATAAATTCCTGTTCTGTTTTAGATAACTGAAGGTCACTTGCTTGGTCTTTTGTAACAGCTTCAGGGTTATTTGACATGTTATTGATCGTTTTGAAAATATTGGATAAGATTATGATCTCGGAGAAAATTTTCAGCCTTTTCTTGCCAATTTTGATTTTTAACGGCCCTCGGGCTAGGGTGGGGCATACGAATAACCTGCACGTTGACGTCACTGTTTTTACACAATTGTTTTGTCCTCCTTTCCATATATTCGCCTAGGGGTATAATGAATTCAGGATTCAACAGACGGACCAAGTTTAAGTACGATGACTCACAAACTGATTCTAAATCCTTACGATCCTAAAAGATATTGAACGAATTTAGAAAATGACATAAATTAAAATCATATAGGGTGTAACAGGTCAAATTTAAAATTGAAATTTGGGTGGTCAAAATAAGAAAAAACTTATGGATGTTCAAAAATGCTTTGTTTTCGAGATACAGTGCTAAAATCTAAAAAACGGAATCTTATGTTAATGACTTAACAAATTAAACGTAAAATTCCAATGAAATCATATCTACCTCAACCAGTGGCGAAGATACGGAGTGTCACTTTTACTCTGAACCCCAGAAATTCGATGCAAATGTATATTTTGGAAATTAGATTCTTTTTCTAGTGATATTTCTAGGAAAAAGGATGTCTTTCATGTTAGTTTTATGTTTGGAGCAATGTTCTTTGCTATATGTAGTAAAATATAAAATTATGTAAATGATTTCTTCGACATTAAGTATATCGTATCATCGCATTTCTAGTGACAAAAAACATTATATAAACTTTTTGTTTTAACTATGTTTTATAATTATTAATTTCATTGTGTTGAAATATGCCATAAGATTATTTCAAGCTAAATAAAATACAAACTAGAAAAATACTAACTTTGCGCATAAAGGAGAGACCTATTTTCTTAGAAATACAATCGCAAATCAAATGAACTTACAAAATTTCCGTCAGAAATTTTTCAGTTCGTAATGAGAAAGTCTCCTACTACTTCTGCCACTGATTGATGTAATTGTACTCAAATGAAGTTAATTTTTACCTCGACTTAGACATTTCCAGCCCAAATTTAATTAAACTACGTCAAACATCTTTTGAGATATTTGCATATTTGTGATGCTTTTCAAATAACTTGCAAATGAAGCAAAACTTTGTGCTAAGGTATATTTGGTATATTAAATATCATATCAAGATTGTCAAGATTATTTCAAGATTATCTGATGGCATTTATGCACCTTCATTTAAACACTCTGTATATATTTTTAATGCAAGTAAAACATATAGCAGTACTCATCAGTTGATGCTTTTGTGTGGTCAAGTATACATATTATATCCAGCTTTATAACTCCCATAAATTTATCTACTTTACGACCTTTCAGACTATTGAGATGTTTTCAAATCAGCTATCATTTATATCATTTTATGTCCCATAATTTAAAAGTAACTTTAATACAATTATTGTTACTTTTGCTAAGTATCAAATTATTAAAATATATTTAATTGTAAATATGTTACTACTTTGAAATTTTAGTGTAAATCATAATCGCAAATTTCTTTAATTGAAAATTGATACGAAATCAAATATAAAGTGCGACTTCATTTCAGTAAGATGTCTACATTATTCTGATTGTTTCACATCTTACATATTTTATCTCTAATCAATACCTCAATAAAGAAAAATATTTATTTATACCTGAATATTTTTAATTTCTCCTGGAGTTATATTACGTCCATTACTTTCCAAAAAAGTTAAAGGACAGAAGTTGCTTACGAAAGAGTGTTTAAAAAAGTTCTCTGGAGTACCACAAAGTTTACAAAACAAGCCCCAGAATCTATGCCCACTTTGTTCTTTTCTTTGGGACGAGAACCCTAGTATTTTTCTATCGGGGCATTCTATCTGAGGTTTCTTCACTTCTCCTTCGACTTTTAACCACTCACGAACCCATTTTGGATCGCCAAAAGGAACGCCCGTTTGACACATTCCAAAAGCGCCTGGATTCATACCAACAAACAGTATTTTTTTGGGGGTTGTACAGTACTTTTTTATATACACTTCATTTGGTCCAAATGCATATTCGAGAGGATTATAAATGAACGAAATTGGTGGTTTAATCAGGTCTAAAGCTCTTAAATCCTCGTTCAATTTGATTTGCAGTTGTAATATTTTATTTTCAATTGTCATCATAATTTGATTTACTTGCACATTAGGAAAATATTTTGATACATTAGTGGAGAGAGTGTTATCTTCATATAAATTAAGCTGATCATTTTGTGTGTTATCTGTCTTCAGTTTTTTATTTTTCTTTGACGAATTTTCAGAAATCTTTTTTCGCAGCATGTTTTTAGTTTAGTATTTTGTACTGAGAACAAATTATTAATCGATATTTACCTCCTATTTAAAATTGTTGGAACACTTTAAAACAAAAAAACTGCCATTTGCGACTCATCAATTTGCCTGGATAAAAGCATAATTGCATAAAACATAAATAAAAAAAATAAACAAACAAAGAACGTCATAAAACACGACTTCTCAGCTAAATTCTTTCGCATATGATTAGCAGGTTCAGATTCGAATCTGAAATCAAGACGGCTGAATGGTTGAATTTAAAATTCCGCCAAAATCAACCAACCAGCTACTCTGCATTTGATAACTCATCATCTGTCAAATTTCAGAGGGGCCAACATAAATTTTTTAAAATCATTTTGACATATCTAGAGACACTAAATCCACCACGTTGCTGTGAGGCTCTAGGTATGGCGCAAGTACATACATACATAGATAATTTTATTGAACGTATTTGTATTTGTATTCTCGTTCACTAAAGCAAGAGAGGCAAGTTCAGTTCTGGTTACTTTGGATATTTTTGTCCTTTTTTAATTAAAACAAATGAAAAGTGACACAAAACACAAAACAAAATGACACATATAATAAAAAATAGAATAGAAAGAGATATTTGTAAAGCATAAATATGTTAATATCGTAATCGTAATCCCTATTATATAAAAAAAACTAATTTAACCTCGCATTATAAACGTCTGTCTACACATAGATGTAAGATAAAAATTATTTTTTTTCATAAAAATTTGTGTGCATGACAGGAACCTCAAAGCAAAGTGGATTCGTGGTCGCTAGATACTATTTTCATTTTAAATTTTATTGCATATTTGTCTTTATGCATAGCAAATATAGTATATTTTCTATGTCTTTATGAGACATGAGAGGCTAAGAAATAAATAAATATTAAATATCTGTGTATTTTGAATATTACAAACTTCATAATTTTTCAAAATGATGCAACAGTACATGAAGGAGTTAGAGCAAGTCTGTAATTAATTTCATTAAAGAAACATTTATTAATTTTTATATTATAGGAACCTTTTGATGCTGAAGAATTTGTAGAACGACTAGCTTGGAGAACTATTGCAGAAACAAAAAATGGTGGAGATGAAGGCGATTTTAATCCCACATTGTTACACGAATCATTTGTACAAGCCATTAAGTATGAAAAAACTTTTACTTTTAATATTTCGGGATTTTGCTTTCCGAATAAAGTTCTGGAAGTGTATATATTGACTTTTGTATTAGTTATAGTGATACTAATTATTTCAAATACTTTTAGAGATTTGACACTGTTACAAGAACGCCAGCAAAAGAAATGTGAAAAATTGGAAGCAGCAGTGCGAGAAGACGAAGCCATGTTTTTTCAGGAAATATATAATTTATTAGAGCAAAATAAGGTAGTAATATTATTATATTATTATTATTATTATATATTAATGTATTTCATAACTTTCAGCAAGCTATTGACACTTTTCAAGAACTAGATGGAAAAATAAACCATGTTGCAACAAAAGTACTGCACTTAGGAGACCAATTAGATAACGTCAATGGTCCACGAGCAAGAGTTGTAGACGCACAGCGCTTAATGATACATTTAAGCGAATTCTTGTCAACTGGTCCACTTTCTTCGTCCATTTTCACTGACCCATATAGAGTGAGTATAAATAGGTAGCCGAATACATACAAATTTCTTTCTAATTGGAAGTAGAAGTTTTACTCAAGTCTTTTACACTTCTAGATTGATGAAGCTGCAGAAATTATTCAAAAATTATATCTGATAGCACAAGATCTTCCGTCTCCTAAGTAAGTAGATTACTTTCATCACAACTACAAATAATTATTGTTCTTTCTCAATTTATTGCATTAATAACATTTTTGTTACAGATTTGAAAGTGTGAAACGTAAAATTGAAAGGAAGTATTGCGATATAGAAAAACAGTTAATCGAGGAATTTGCTAGTGCTATAAAAAATGAAGACCTAAAAAGGATGAAGCAAATAGCTTCAGTTCTGTCGCAATTTAAAGGATATTCGCAGTGTGTCGACGCTTATATAGACCAAAGTCAAGCAGTGAGTATTGAACACTAAAATATAAAAATGTATTGAGTTGTACTTTATTGAAATCGCCTCTTATTTTAAAACAATTAGTTTGTTTCGTAAATATTGATTTTATTTTTAGGGATGTCTTTTAAGTAAGGACGTTTTTGGTCATTTGCTACCTTTATGCAAATATAACTACGAAGTTATAAAAAAGGTGTTCAGCAATCCGGAACAAGTCATGGCTAAATTCGTATTAAACATTTATCAGTTGAAAATTGCAGAATATATCGACCAACAGCTGAGTACGAAATTGGGGAGTTACGGTTATTTGCAAACTTTGTTCGAGCTCTATTCGAAGTAATTACCATATTTTACGTTTGTTTATTACGAACCCAGTTCATTTTATGAGTTTTAGGACCAATCAGTTATCGAACGATCTTAGTATTTTCAACATGGGAAATGATAAAAATTACCTCAATAAATTGACAACAAATATATTTCACAAATATATCAATGATTATATAACGTAAGTAATAAACTTTTCAGTTTTGCTTTTTGGCATTGGTCTGTCTAACTTGTTTATAATTTTAGAATGGAACTAAAATGCCTTAAAGAAAGGTGTTCGATAAATTTACAGAGATACTACGAATCGAAAAATCACCAAAAGAAACAGATCCAGTCAGGAGGGTAAGTTATTCGAGATCTCACATTAACACACGGATATTAGAAAAACGGTCTCTGAGTCGTCAAATTTTTCCAGCTTTCAAGACCTCCGAAGAGATCTACAAGCCGTCATTGGCACGAGAGCCAACATTAACATAGCGCAAATAGAAAATTACGGAGGAGAAACATTCCTGTCGGAAGAAGTAGTCATTATGATTTTGCAAGATACCAAACACGCCTTCCAGAGATGTCAACTGGTAGTTTTTTTTTCATCTGTCAATTTATTCTTGCGTAATTTTTCTAATTTCAGTTGTCGAAACCCGAAGAACGTGCCTCAAACGCCAGTCAGATCCTAGACAAATTAATAAACAGCGTTTTGATCGAACACGTCGATTATGCCGTCGAATTAGGCTTGCAAGCCGTACCCGTAGTGGAGGGGGCGAAAAGCCCACCGTCGATATATTTTTTCACTGTCGTGCATCAAAGTAACAACATTACCCATTTGTTGGAGAAGCAGTTTACCAATCTGGTAGTTCCGCTAATTGTGTGAGTTATAAAACGTGATATTCGTATATTTTAAGTACAGAGAAAAATTACGTTTGCTTCAGGAACACTCCCAAGTACAACGATTGTGTACAAAAAAAGAAGTTTGTATTAGAAGACATTGAGAGAAAAATCAATACGGGGCTGGACAGGTATGTATAAATATTATAAAGTTAATGAACAGTGTCCCAATATTCTTGGGGTGAAAATGAGATGATTTAACTAAGCTTATGTTTTTTCTAAATTTTTTCCTCAAATTTATGGTATTTCTAATGATTTTACTGTAATAAATTTTTTATTAACCTTGTCGTAGAAGCTGTCTCCATATGAATGAAAATTAAATTATTATTTTTTATTATTTCAATAAATTAGTCTTATAATCACTGCCCAACCCAAACCCAAACTAACTCAAGCTCCGTCAGGTTCACTTTTTAATGAAGCTGTAAACCCGCTAAATAGCAGCCAAAGGTTCTTTTAGCATCTCTGTGACGGTTGAAGAGATGATTACATTTCATTGCTTCTCGTCTCTCCCATTAATTTAGATCTGAAGCAGTTAGTTTAAATAAAAATTGAATTTAAATTGGGTGAAACTAAATCCCACAAACCCAGTTATCACAATATATTAAAGAAACATTTATGACTGAACTGGATTTGAGCAGTGGCGGCTCGTTAGAGGAGGCTAAGCCTCCTCTGCAGTTTTTGATAGTACTGCAAAAGTTTTCTTTTAGTTTTTTCTATTTTACATCATGCATCATATACTTAATTAATGTTATTTAAGAAATTTGTTGAAAAATCTATTTTCAAATGCAACTAATTAGGTACCTACTAACGGAGATCTCAAGTACGTAACGAGCATGGAGGCTTGTTGCCACCTTCCATCTCTTTTTAACAAGCGAATCTTTCAATATAGCCCTCCTTCTCTACCACCTCGGCGATCGCAGTTGTATGTTGCAATGTTGCATTTCATAATAAAAACATTGGTCGTCTGTCGTCTGTGAGTACGCGAGTTTTTGTTTTTAACTGGTGTTCATGTGAAGTTTTTGTTAAGAATTCGCTCATAATTAATTGGTAAAAACAATCATTTACATTTTACTCTGGTACGTACTTGACTTTATTAAAATAAAATGAGCACGGAAAACGAACATAACCTCAACCACTTCTTTAGTTGCATGGACATTGTAGATTATTTATTATTAAAATGATTTAGTAATCTCAGTTTTGATGAGAAGCTCGTAATTAAACAGAAATCGAGACCAACACCTTCTTTGCCGTCTTTAGTTGCAGTGAGTAAAAAACAAAATAGGAGATTTAACGATAATTATTATAGAAAAACTGCATCAACTATTAGAAATAAATTATGCTGTTGGCAATGTTTATTTTTCACTAATGATAATTTATCAGTTTGGAACAGGGGAATCGATGTAGTAATATTTTTATCGTCTCAAGAAATTTCTTTTTGCGGACATGATGAGAAAGTGGATTCTGCTAATCGAACACTTTAAAGAGTTAATAAATTTATTAAAAACATATGATTCAAAATTGCAGAATTTCTTAGATAATACTACTGTTTTTTCGGGAACCTCTAAAACCATTCAAAACGATTTAATTGAGAGTATTAGTTTAATTATCAAAAGCAAAATTTATGACAAATTAAATAATTGCAAATTTTTCTCCTGGCAAGTTGAAACCACAGATGTTACCTGTAAGTCTCCATTATAGGTAATTTTTAAATGTGTAATGCATGGAGAAGTTGTTGAAAGATTTGTTAGATTTTTTGACATAACAAGTGGGAGAGTTTGTTTAATTATTAATTAATGAATTTGGAAAATTTTGCTTAAAAAAATAAATTAATTGCTCAAACCTATGCGTGCTGCGGTTATGTAAGGTCATGTTAATGGACTTCAAAGAAAAATAAAAGACGTCGCTCCTCAAGCTTATTTTAATCATTCATTCATCACATAAATTAAATTTAGTTTTAAGTAAAGCTTGCAATGGCATTAAAGAAGTGAGAATTTTTTTTTAAATCTCCGGATTTTCCTAATTTTTTTCCAAATATACTAAAACATCTGACGTATTACATAAAATAATGCAACACAGGATTCCAAGTAATGCCCGCCACTCGTTGGAATTTTTCTTCTACAGCTGTTTTTACGGTTAAAACTTATAGAAAGAAACTTATTGAGGTTTTTGATTTCATATCGGATAGTGAGGATTTTTTAAATGATCAACAAACTTTAGGATCCGCTTATGGATTAAAACAATTGTTGGCCAAAAATTTCATTTTTTTCTTGAAAACCTTGACAATGTTTTTTGAACAAACCGATGTTGTAATTTTGCAGAATAAATTAACTGACGTAACATTTTCTAAAAAAGGAATTCACTTTTATCAAAATTAAAAGAATTCCCTAATAATGAGATACATTTCAACACGTTATATGCAATTTTCTTAGAAGATACTGACGAAACCTTTAACAATGACCCACCCTCAAAGAAAAGAAAGACAAGTTTAAAGTTTTTTATTTCAAGCCTCCTCTGCCAAGCATACCACGAGCCGCCACTGGATTTGAGCTTGTTCCATGTGTGTTGTCGGTGATGATAACGAGATTATTTGAAAGGAAAAGAAGGAAGATAAAAATGCATGAAAATAGTACAACCCGTATTAGCAACCAGGTGTGATGCGCATTAGGTATTTGCCAATGTCAACATATAGGCTCAATTTGATTTTGTTTATTGGATAAACAATTTACAATTCGTTGTATATCGTTTCACTGTCCTTAACGTTATTTTTATCAATTTAAATATTTTACATTTTATTGGCTGGAAAGTTTGAATTTTCTGCCAATTTTCTCCTAACTGAAAAATAATGCTAGCACCGCCACAAATATTGGGCACATTCCATATTTTTAATTTGCTGGCGCCTAAAAAAAAATTGCGACTTATTACTCAATTGCAATGTATCTTTTAGATCTCTCAATGCAATAGGCACTTGGGTGAAATTATATTTGCAAGCCGAACAGAAAAAAAGTGACTTTAAACCTGAGTCAGATGATTTTGATACCGTGGCATCACATGTAAGTATTTTTTATACAGGATGTAACTTTGAGTCGGGGTCATTTTTATACAGAAGCTTCCTTTGACCTTTAAAGACACGTATCAATAGTTTATTTTTTCAAATGCGCAATTTCAAACCACTTTTGTTGAGTGGATGTTTGCCACACAAACAGTACTTAACATGTAACCTAGCAAAAAACTCGAGTAGTAATCAATAATGATAAATGAAATACACAAAAATAAATAGTCTGTTGATGGCTTCCAGCGATGAAAAACGTTCATATTCACAGTTAGATGTGCTGTCTCCAAATGTGAAACAACAACTGATCCCCTAGGCTTCGGCAACATTGACCCACACTATCTCCCTTCACATGCACTGTAAGTTGCCTACAATTCATGTAATTGTAATACATGAATATTACAGTGGCAGCGTACACAAGAATTAAAGTGCATTTTAAAAAACTAATTATAACTCGATTATTTATTTGATTAAAAAAAAGAATTTCAGATTCGTGTTCAGGGGGACACACACAACCCCTAAAAAACTGACCCCCAATTAATATTACGCCCTGTATATGGGACAAAATGAAAGTGTCTTCTTCGTTCAAATTCAAGAATATTTTCTTATACCAACATTTTCAGTTATAACACTAATTTTCGAAGTACAAGTTGTATAAAACTTATAGCACACCACTACTATCGAAATAAATGAAGTAGACCCTTGAGTTTGGAAACCGATATTAAGAAAATGTAGGGGTAAAAAAATTTGAAATTTGGACCATATATAGCCTCACTATTACTCTATTGTGTGCTAAAATTTCAGTTAGTTTCGTTATCCCATTTTTCAGTTTTTAATGAAAATGCTGAAAAAATCACGGTTTTCTGCCTACAAAATTGATACCTCACACTTTAACTCGTCGTAATTTTTTTGTTAATTGATAAAAAAATTCCAAATTTTTACGGACGATAAGTCTAACTATCGTCTTTAGTACTGTGAAGGTCATTTGTCTCAAAAGTTCTTCTTTTTTTATTTTTAAGCAAAACGAAGGGAGTGCTATATTCGTAAATATTGCGTTTTTTTTTTAAAGAAAAAAACTGACATTGGTAGTAAATAACTGTAAAAAGCAATCTGAAAATTTTTTTAAAAATAATACAGTTATAAATATGATAGTCTTAAAAACAGCATCAGAATGGTCAATTACGTTCAATGTCCGATGCAGGATATACAGTATAGCCTTTATAACTATTATTTTAACAAATTTTTTCAGATTGTTGTTTACAATTATTTACGACTTGAGTCGGTTTTTTTCTTTTTTTAAAGAATGCAATATTTACGGAGATAGCGCTCCCTTCTGTTTTACTTAAAATTAAAAAAAAGAGAGCTTTTGAGACAAATGACATTCACAGTACTAAAGACAATAGTTCTACCTATCATCAGTATAAAATTGGAATTTTTTCCAATCAATTAACAAAACAATTACGACGAGTTAAAGTGAGAGGTATCAATTTTTTAGGTACAAAACCGTGATTTTTTCAACATTAATAAGTAAAAAATGGGATAACGAAACTAATTGAAATTTTAGCACACAATAGTGAGACTATATATGGTCCAAATTTCAAATTCTTTTGCCCCTACATTTTCTTAATTATCGCTTCCAAACTCAGGGGTCTATTTCATTTATTTCGATAATAGAAAATAAAAATGTTGCATTTTTGAAATCAAAAATCGTGTTCTCTGTTTATTAAGATATTTTGTCATTTGTAGAAAAAATAATAATTAAATAAATAAAGCCCCTAATGAGAAGGATCAGGCAAGTTATTTTTATGTAACTATCTTGCCTAGGGTAACCCAAAAAAAACTTTTTTTTTCATGTCTTATGAAAATATGTTAGTTTATCATGTTTTAATAGCCCCCTNATGTAACCTAGCAAAAAACTCGAGTAGTAATCAATAATGATAAATGAAATACACAAAAATAAATAGTCTGTTGATGGCTTCCAGCGATGAAAAACATTCAAATACACAGTTAGATGTGCTGTCTCCAAATGTGCAACAACAACTGATCCCCTTCGCTTCGGTAACGTTGACCCACACTATCTCCCTTCACATGCACTGTAAGTTGCCTACAATTCATGTAATTGTAATGCATGAATATTACAGTGGCGACGTACATAAGAATTAAAGTGCGTTTTAAAAAATTAATTATAACTCGATTATTGATTAAAAAAAAGAATTTCAGATTTGTGTTTGGGGGACACATACAACCCCTACAAAACTGATCCCCACTTAAAATTACGCCCTGTATATGGGACAAAATGAAAAAGTGTCTTCTTCGTTCAAATTCAAGAATATTTTCAGTTATAACACTAATTTTCAAAGTACAAGTTGTATAAAACTTATAGCACACCACTACTATCGAAATAAATGAAATAGACCTCTGAGTTTGGAAACCGATATTAAGAAAATGTAGGAGCAAAAAAAATTGAAATTTGGACCATATATAGCCTCACTATTACTCTATTGTGTGCTCAAATTTCAGTTAATTTCGTTATCCCATTTTTCAGTTATTAATGAAAATGTTGAAAAAGTCACGGTTTTCTACAAAATTGATACCTCTCACTTTAACTCGTAATTTTTTTGTTAATTGATAAAAAAATTCCAAATTTTTACTGACGATAAGTCAAACTATTGTCTTTAGTACTGTGAAGGTCATTTTTCTCAAAAGCTCTTTTTTTTCATTTTTAAGCAAAACAGAAGGAAGTGCTATCTCTGTAAATATTGCGTTATTTAAAATAACAAAAAAACTGACATAGGTAGTAAATAATTGTAAACAACAATCTGAAAAAATTTGTTAAAATAATACAGTTATAAATATGATATTCTTAAAAACAATATAGGAATGGTCAATTACGTTCACGGTCCAATACAGGATATACAGTATAGCCTTTATAACTGTATTATTTTAACAAATTTTTTCAGATTGTTGTATACAATTATTTACGACTTGAGTCGGTTTTTTTCTTTTTTTAAAGAATGCAATATTTACGGAGATAGCGCTCCCTTCTCTTTTGCTTAAAATTAAAAAAAGAGGGCTTTTGAGACAAATGACCTTCACAGTATTAAAGACAATAGTTCGACTTATCATCAGTATAAAATTGGAATTTTTTTATCAATTAACAAAACAATTACGAGTTAAAGTGAGAGGTATCAATTTTGTAGGTACAAAACCGTGATTTTTTCAACATTAATAAGTAAAAAATGGGATAACGAAACTAATTGAAATTTTAGCACACAATAGTGAGACTATATATCAGGGGTCGGCAAGTAATTTTAGATGGGGTCCGGATACTTTTAAAAATTTTTAACGAGGTCCAGAAAAAAAATTCATATTTCTTACAAATTTTCATTTGAACTCAAATTTAATCTGCTTACTAACCATTAAGAACTCAAAATACACACAATTGTAAAATACTAGAAAAAATGATAAGGTTGGCACTCAAACGTAAAAAAAACATTTTTTAAATAATTTATTTGAGTAATTTATACTTTCAAAAAATTTTTGGCGGTCCAGTATTTTACCTTCCGCGGTCCGGACCTGGACCGCGGTCCGCCAGTTGCCGACCCTTGCTATATATGGTCCAAATTTCAAATTCTTTTGCCCCTACGTTTTCTTAATTATCGGTTTCCAAACTCAGGGGTCTATTTCATTTATTTCAATAATAGAAAATAAAAATGTTACATTTTTGAAATCGAAAATCGTTTTCTCTGTTTATTTGGATATTTTGCCATTTGTAGAAAAAATAATAATTAAATAAATAAAGCCCCTAATGAGAAGGATCAGGCAAGTTATTTTTATGTAACTATCTTGCCTAGGGTAGCCCAAAAAAAACTTTTTTTTTCATGTCTTATGAAAATATGTTAGTTTATCATGTTTTAATAGCCCCCTCAAAAAATCAGCTCAAAAAAAATTTTTTTAGAGGTCGCTCAAGATTTTTAAAAATTTCCAAAATCGTCAAAAATTTAATTTTTTTTTAAATTTTTGTTCTCGTTATTTTATAATTTTCTAGGTTGAAAAAAATCTCGATTCTGAAAATGTCAAATCGATATATTAATTTCTAAAGATCACTCATAATTATTTTAACTTTCAAAATAGTGTACCTCTAATGTTNCTAGAAAATGATAAAATAACGAAAAAAAATTTAAAAAAAATAATCCAATTTATAACGATTCTGGATATTTTTAAAAATCTTGAGCGACCTCTAAAAAAATTTTTTTTGAGCTGATTTTTTGAGGGGGCTCTTAAAACATGACAAACTAACATACATATTTTCACAAGAGACGAAAAAATCATTTTTTTTTGGGCCACCCTAATCTTACCTAATAAAAAATTTCACAAAATTTGAGAAAAAGCAGACAAAAATAAAAATTTTTGATAGGCAATACTAATTTTACAAAAACAACCTGTGTCATTGTATTAATGGTTTATTTAATTAAATTTTTAATTTTTTCACAATTGACAATATATTCAAATAAACAAAAATGTTGTAAAACTATGCCACACATAAATAACTTTTAGACAATACAGAAATTCGAACAATTTTGCGCAATGAATTTGTACTAGAATTTTAAAAATTATACAAAAAAATTAAGATATTATTTTTGCTTTGAAAATCTCCATTTCAAAAATAAAAGTTTTGAATAGCCATTTGATTCGTGTATTGGACACACAAAATTTCACTACAAAAACTTTATTTCTTTAGAAGATATAGATATTTTTTAATTTTAATACCATCACCACGACAAAAAAGTTGTGAATTGTTGAAATGTGGCGATGTAGTTTTTTTTTCATAATCGTGTTCTAACATTTTTTTTAGGCTTGTAAAACCGTTTCGGTTTATATTAGCGGCATCATAAAGGAGATCAAGACCAATCTCGATGGAAATAACGTAACTGCGGTGCTGCAAGAACTAGGCATTCGATTGCACAGAGCGGTTTACGATCACATGTTGCAGTTTCAATACAATACCGCAGGTTGGTTGTATATTCACTAACATAGAAAGTTTATTCCTGTACGTTTTGATTTTAGGTGCGATGGTAGCCATATGCGATTTAAACGAATACAGACTGTGTACCAAACCATTGGGGCCTCTCGTCGCAGAATTATTCGAAACGTTACACGCTCTTTGTAATCTGTTGCTTGTGAAGCCTGAAAATCTTCAGCAGGTTTGTTCGGAAGACTCGCTGGTAAAAAAAAATAGATTTTTTGTTGTATTATTTCGAAAAAATTTATTTTTAGGTCAATTTGGAGAGATCGATTCTTCACAATTTCATTCAGCTAAGAAGTGATTTCAAGGCCCAGAAGCAAACTATATTAAGAGTATGAATGTTATTATTTTTTGTTTTTAAAATTAATATATGATGTTTTAATAGCTATATATAATTAGTTGTATTTACTGTATTATTTGATTTTTTTAATTAGTCAACATATTAAATGAATATTGCCTTCTAATAAATAAACAATTTTTGTCTAAAATCTTTTTTTACAGAAAATATATAAGGTGTTTTCAAAGTTAATCCTTTTTTATAGCTACCTTCGACTTTTAGAAAGACATAAGTTTGTTTTTCATATTCCGTTGTAAAATTGGGATTTTTCTTTCAATTTTTTTTTTAATTTTCATACCTGGTAAATCGACAAGCTAATGTAAACTCAAACACTCTGTTACCATACATCAGATGGACTGATAATATGCAGTTGCTTAAACTAGATCAGTGTCAGAAGTCATTGACAATAACACTCATAAACTAAACACAGTGCTTTAAGGAAACAGTAGCAAATACTTCTTATTAAGAACTTTTTATTTTACTATTTGAAATCTGTCAAATTAGTAAATATTGTTATTACATACATTTTACAGAAAGCAAAAAACAGATACCAATATTAATTAATATACAGTATGCCCACAGACTAGGAGGTGTTGAATAGGAAAAACTTATTAAACCTATTTTTAACTTTATCGAAAAAAGTTATTACTCTTGATAAAAAATTTTGCTGGTTCTTAAAGCAAGATTGGGATAGAAAAATTTAACATTTCTTGTACACGGTGTTCAAAAAATTGAAAATACTTTAAATCGTACAGGAGTAAAGTGCACTTATTTGTGAAGATGTGGAAATAAGTTCTTTGTTAAACTGTATAAAATAAATTTAATGATTACAAATAATAGGCCGATTTTTTCGGAAATTGGTATTAGAGACTGCCTATTACTTTTGAACAACTTTTCCTAGTAACATATTTCCACATCATCACAAATAAGTGCACTTTACTCTTGTTTAATCACTGACAAAGAAAATATGATGACTTTGAAATAACACAGCAGTCATAGAAAAGCATTTTCCATTGCAGTTTTGCTCATCTGTCACTCAATTTGATAAAGTTGAGTTAAAAAGGTGACAACAGGTAACACTGGTAAACTGCCCAGTGGCAGCATAAGCAAGAGTTTGATCGAGTTTAGTCTAAAAAATATATTCTGGGAAATACATATATTACCTTTAACAGTTACATCCTGTATAACTGTTTTGCAAAATAAAGTTAACATTAAATTTTATAAAACTCTAAATTACAGAAAGAATTATCAAAAATTTGATGTTTAATAACACGTTAATAACGATTTCCTGGTAAACGGTTCCATCTATCGCCTGGAACAAAACGTACATATTTTTTTCTGATATTGTTTCTCTTTTCAATAATGTTTAAATTTCTGTGATATCTAGCAAGAGGAAAATTTATGAACAAAATAAATTTTGAGTTCTAGGTAAAGTGCCCTCTAGCGGCGTTTAATGAAACTTTTCTCTGACTGGTCCAATAGAGCTCCATTTTACTTATTTAGTGGGTGTGCCAAATGAAAAACTAAGTGAACTTGAATGAAATAAGCTATTTAAATAGAAAAATTAAAAAAATTAATTTTGACAAGCTGTAATCTTGCAAACAATTGACAATTCGAAAAAAATTTTCATAACATACTGCTATTTTAATCCGTAGAATCACCTCCCGGAGTTTCAGAATACCCTGTATACATTACCCTTAAGAAACTGACCCCCACTTACAGTTACACCCCGTATAAATGTTTGCAAAATAAAATTAACATTAAATTTTATAAAACTAACCTATTAATAAATAACAGTTAATAGTTAAAAGTTTTATAAAATTTAAATATGGTTTCAAATTTCATAATCTTCATAATTCATAGTTTCATAATCTTTAAAAGAAATTAAAATTATGAAAAAAATAAAAAAAAAATTTCTAGTATTTATTAGTTGATAAAAAAAAATTTTTAATTTTATTTCACAAATTTCACTCAAAATTTTTACATTACAAACGATCTTTTTGTGGACTTAGAAATCATCTCCTAAAAAACGGTAAGGGTCCCATCCTTATTTACAAAAATATGATCACATCAATTTTCACCAGTTGCCACTGAAGTAAGGTATTACTTTTTTTATAAGTTAGGGGAAACTTGATCAGTAGTTCTTAGAAGATTTATATTAATGTCCTATATGTGGTGGCAATCAGTTTTAATTTCACAACTCAATAATGTATCAAGTCAGAAAATATCAAAGTAGACCTTTTGTCTTCAAAACTGGGATATGGACTTTTCTCAATATCTTTTTTATAGAAATCTTATATGAAAATGGGACTACCTACACAGAAAATTAATTTTTTGTTCTTGACAAGGCTTACTTGGTTTTTCAGGAACAAAAATATGTAACAAATTACTTTTCAATCGTACAGAATCGTTTCCCAAAATTTCGGCATAAAAATTCATTACCAATCACACCTATGGTGAAGACGATTTGTGCACAGTAAGTGTTCAAAAAGGATTGTATTTTATGAGTTTATTAACGGATAAAGTGTATTATTGAGTGTTTAAAATGAACTACTATATTCATAATTATTTCTTTGTAGAAGACACCCTGTATATATTGGGGCAATTAAAATATTGTTCTACATTTGAATAAATGTATTTTTTTAACAATAAGCTTTTTTCATGTCAAATGAGAACTAAAAAAGTTCCTTTTTTTCAACTCCATCCACGGAAAAACTTCATATGGCAAGACACTCAAGTCATTTATGCTTACAGTTAATTTTTTGAATATATTTATCTACACTACTACAAATTAATGAATGGCAATAAAATGTCAGTAATTTGAATTTTGCACCATTACCAAATATATTAAACTGTAAAATTAAATATCCAGCAAATATATTTGCCATATTGGCTTCTACAAAAATACGTCAGCATTTTGAATAAAAAATTTCACCTTTCCATTGACAGACATTTTAAATTACACAAAAGTAGATTAGATAATCCCCGACTTATCCTCAAAGTTTTAGTTGTATAAATGATACAGATATATAAAATGAAAAATTTATTGAATATCATACAGTGTTCAGTTATTAAATCCTTTTAATTCTTACACGATAAATAAAATCTAATTCACAGATCGTCAAGTACATAACCGAGAAGAGGTATCTACCTGTTCCCAGATTTTTTACAATTTTAAATCTGAACTCATACAATCAAGTAGTATAAAGCATTAATAATTAGTAATTCCAGAATAAACGAACATATTATTGATTCATACACATTTAGATGGTAATATTATTAGTGCAAGAAATCGATCACGAGAAAAATTACAAATTAACGTCTGAAATTCTTGCACTAATTATCAATACTTATAAATGAACTTATACTAATTATATAATAAATGAACTTAGATGGACTAGCTTTATACAGTTTTGATGTAAAAGACAAAGTAATCCGTATTTAAGAAGGTAAGCACTTCACACGAAATTAAGAGCTTAACGCATGCGATATCTATTTGTCTCGTGGACTTCCCCTAGTTCTCCCTTAAAATTAAGTTCGATCACAAAGTCCAAATCTCTGTTGTTTCGAGGATTCGGCTTCATGGTAAAGACACCATTAATTTCTTCGGCCTTTTTAACGGTCATGTAGTCTTCGAAGTAAAAAACGGTTTGCTTCCAGTGGGTATACGGGGCGTCCGGGGCGGTCGTGAAGCCGATACGTTTGTGGCATTTAGTGAATTCCACATTGAAATAAGTAACGAGGGCTTGGACATAGTCATTTCTTCTCACCGTGAGTGTGAAGGGAGACGAAAATTCCAAATCTGCCTTCTTAACCGTGTATAAATCGACCTCTTTGATTAAGGCAGGACCAGTTACGATCTGCTTCGGGTCTACTACGTCTACGAGTGGTTCGCTGATCGCTACTTTCCGAATTGAGCTCATATCAAATCCGTATACATCGTCCCACCAATTTATTTTCTCATCTTTGTACTGACGATCCTCAATCGCAGTAACAAACAATGAACAACGGTCGGGAAACAAAAGACCGTCCGGTTTCAGCCATTTATCACGTGCAAATAATACGGTGTCCAGCATACTTTCGTAAAATAGGCAATATCCCATCCATTCTGATATAATTATATCCACACCCTCGATGCCATCGGGTAAAGTCACCTCTTCCACTTTCCCCTTCACTATGGTAATGACGTGATCTAATTTGTTGGCTTCTACTATTTTCCGAGCGTAATCTACTATATTAGAGCATTCTATGGCAAGAACCTTTTTAGCACCTGCTTTTGCGGCAAACATACTTAAAATGCCCGTTCCACATCCAATGTCCATGACTACTTTACCCGCAAACAAATGTTTGTTGTGATACATGGAGTTTCTGTATGTCAGAGTTCTCACTTCATCTTTTAACATCTCTTCATGTATACCAAAATGTGCATACGAGTCAAAGTAATAGTCGCGAGAAGTCATTTCATCTGCTGGGATGTCTTCCATTTTTTCGTCTTTGTAGTCTTTAGAAACGTGGTTGTTCATGGTTGGGGTGACTTCCATTGTTTCCATACTACGTGATTCGTTGTTTTTTCTGTAACGTAAAACGTAGATTTATACCCGGCATTTTCTACACGTGCATTGTTAAAAATTTACGTACGTTACTGTTGTAATAGGGTGTATCTGAATAGATATAAGAACATGCTTAATTTTTAGACTACTTTATAAAACTTACATTTTCTTTTCTTGGCGCCCAAAGTACCCAAACCAACCGCTTATTTAGCGTTTTAGATTTAGTAAGAACTTGACATTTGTGCTTGCTTGCAACGGGCAAGCTTTTTATTCTCTGCAATAGTGCCAACTGATAAACAAATAATAATTGTAAGAGCAATTTCCATTAGTTCGCATTTTCTGAATATAACTAATTCCGTTTTATCAGTTAAGGCTGATTAGAAGATTTTAGAATGGTAGTAGAAAATACAGTGATTTATAAAGGTGAATCATAATGAAAATGATTGTTTCATAACACAAATAATGAAAGTTGAGATGTTTAAATCGAATTAACTGCTCTTTTCGAACACTTGACAACATCGTTAGATTAGGTATTTTATATTCTGTATATACCGATATAGTTTTAGAATCAAACATTAATGATCTTATTAATCGGGTTAACACGATCAGACCACAGTGTCAACACTGTCAACACACCGTAGGCTTGCTTTGGTTCTGTCAGCGCACAGTCCTAGTCCTAGAACAGTTCGGAATAGTTACCCAACCATATTGTAAGTATGTCTTGGCTTAGATATTCTTATGAATGGAATGGTCAACTAATTTGAACCGTTCTCTATCGCAACCAAAAACACCCTATAATTGGTTTGTTTCTGCAGCAGTTTTAAACTGATTTCATACTAGATATTTTCGACGTTTTAAGTTGTTACATGTTCTCAGAGCTTCTAGGGTCTAGGGTTATCATTTGGTCAAATATTAGAGTTTCTTCTTATAGCTTCAAATCGGTCCTCAACTACTGCAGATACAAACTTAATACAAATCAGTTCAGTATTTCTTCACCGACATAGAATTGTAACCTTGAACAACTCCTCCAGCCCCTTTCGTTTTGACAAAAAGAGTAACTCTAAGTTGCTACTAGCTACTATTTTTTCCAAATCGGAAGGCCCTTATATGGAAGTAGATTCTTCTGTTCTGTGACTCTGAATGTGGCGCAATTTTTAAATTTCATAAAGAAATTACTACTTACCAACTTTTCATTCAAAATAGATAGTCATTATTTTGTTTCAAATAAAATTGAAAACTACTTCATCATGCTCTACTTACTTTGACAAAACGTAAGCAGCTCAAAGTATCAGTAAACTAACAACAAAAACTAAATTTATGTATCAACAATTTTATTTTTAATTTAAACAATATTCTTCCAATATACATTATACATATACATTATATTACATTTTCCTAGATTAGGACTCTGAAAAATTATTTTTCCATTCCCTTACAAATCAAAAAGATGTTTTATTGTGGATATTTTTAAAAGTCAGAGTTTTCAGTCCCTAAAAAGATCAAGTAAAGCATAAAAATATACAAGAGGATCTACCTACAGTTGGGTTTGTTAAATTCAAAGTAATCAATGGTACTAAAGTGGGTCTTCCATGTGCACACTGAAAAGGTAAATCACAAATCGACAACTTTTTCAAAACTTCTTCACAATCGTTATTGGAAAGCTTATCACCAAATTTGATAGCTCCTGAAAATTATCTTTAAATTACATTAAAATAAAAATAATTATGTTCTGCTCTACCTCTACATGCTTCCAAATTTAAAATATTTTGAATTATTTTGGGAAGGTTTTTAAACGTAACACCTCTCGTATCCTTTACTAATTCGATAATTTCTTTTATCAATAATTGTATCACTGCATTTAATGAGCCATCCTAGAATAAAATACAGTCAAATAAAAAAATGAATTAACCGTTTAAATTATATTAATTTTTTATTAATTAGTCAGCAGGACTTACGCTGTCTTTAAATTTGTTATGTAAGCACAAAGGAATATCTACTATGTTTATACCATCCTCAAAAAATTCCACAAATAATCCTAAAAAATTTAGATATTCCTCGTGCTTTCTCAGCAGAGATAAATCATTGCACGACAGAAAAACTATGAACTTGTCCCGATGGCAGGAAATTTTTGCATTTGAATAGCCTAAAATAAGCAAATTAATAGTATAATATGATATATATAATTTAAAAAATACTTTTCAATAAATCTTCCAATCGAATTCTTTCATGTACAGCGTGTTGATCAAAAAGTATGACGAGGTGTTTCGTCTCCTCAACCACGACAATAAATTTTTTATCAAGTTGGCCTATAACAGTTATATTATCAAAGAGAGCTTTATCAAAGGTGATGGGACAACTTAATTCAGAACAATACTTTTTATTATGCAGAACGCTTGGTATACAGTTCTCCAGTGAGTTTAATTTTTCTCTGTACATTTCATTAAAAAATGTTTTTGAATCTAAAAGCAAAAGTGTTATTGATAAAATTTATAAACGATAGGAAATTGTAACCAGTACCATTATTTTTTATGTAATTTTGCCATTTTATAGTGAGTAAATCATTTTGATAACTTTCTAGTATATAATTTTCTAGTTTATCTTTTCTGTTCTGACTTAGAGACTTGTCTACTTCTTTAATTTCCTTTAATATGGGCGATAAACCTTTCGGCATAAACTCAAATCGTTTGTCAATCTTGAAGTTGTTTGATATCGGTTTCGGTGTGTAAAATGTCGTGAAGCCTAAAAAATATAAATGCAGTGTGATGTACAAATGTAGTCAAGTTTTTTATATAAATAATTCAATCAATGACCATTTTTCCGTATAATTTTGCCAAACAGCACCGTTTTCATAAAAATTTGGATTTAGGTTCTACTTACCCTCTATTTCAAAGTTGATCTTGTACCGGGGGTTGCTTTTACCCTGGGGGTTGCTTTTACCCTGGGGGTGAAAAATGTTTCATTGAAAATAACTCCGGAAATGGATATATTGACTAATTCTAAGCAACTTTTGTTCTATAAAGTTTTTTCTGAAAGTAAATTGTAAATTTTTTATCCAAAAAAACCACTTTTTCAGACGGTTTTTGGCGAATAACTCAAAAGTATGTATTTTATCAAAAAAATAATTCTTATAAAGAATGTAGCTTATAAAAAAGCAAAATGAATGGTGTGTGTGTGTGGTCTCTGTAGACCCAATATAAGTGGAGTAATAGCTTGTTGAAGGTTGGTTCTTATTGGTCAAACACCAAAATTGAGTTTGAACGTGAAATAACTAACCAAAAACCAATGCATTTTTCAGGGAAGACTTATAGAACCTTTTTTAAAGTGCTTGAAGGAACCTTTATTTTTATTTTTTATAAAAGTCCCTAGCATCAAACCTAAGCGACTTGTGGCAAAAATAAAGTTGGTCCGTATTTTTTCTGCGACAAAAAACGTGAAAATCACCCCGTAATTACCACCCCAATTGAAAATAATCCTTACCACTTTACAATTTACTTTATTTATGTACTTGTAATATGCTCTAGAAGTTTGACCAGTTTAAAGTGCTTAGTTTTGAAAAAAGTTGAGCTTGAAGTGAAAAGAGAATTTTTGTATTTTTGGAAAAAATTGTCTTTTCTTCAAAATAACTCAAAAACTATTAATGATTCGCAAAATTTTGTAGAGTACAAAATTGTAGGTTTCGCTTTTTTGAAAATTTTGTTTTTTTTTCTATAGGATAAAAATTAAATAAGATATGGCCGTTTAAAGTTTGCAAATGTTCGTAAATAGCAACTTGTTCAAGCACTTTTTGCTCAAACCCTTACAAAAATAAGGACTGAAAGAAAATTTAACTTATTTGATCTGATAGCCATTGAAAAAACCTACAAAATGGTTTTTTGAAGGGCTTGATAGTAAAACTAAGCGAGTTATGGGTAAAAAACCAATCACATATATTTTTGCAGATATCAGAACACGTATATTGAAGCATTGATGAATATACAATATAGCTATATTTTAGTCACAGACATATTTACATCTATTCTACGCTTCTGTAATTCGACATATATAACATGCAGCGGAGACAATTGTTTAAATAGTGCTCCAATTCAAGAGGACGAGGATGAGGCGAACATGGAAAGGAATGAGGATGAAGAGGAAAAGGAAGACAAGAGAGAAGAGGATTTTTGATTATTTATGTTATTTGCAATAAAAAAAATGTTTGTTATAAAAATAAAAAAATTAAAATCCATATAAAAATAAAATTCTTATTTTCCCTATTTTTGATTGCAAATTTTAATCAGTAGGTTTTTTTTAAGGTCTGATAAAATAAATACATTACATTTTAAATAATAAAAAGATTCTATTCTATTTTGAACTATGTAAAAAAATTTTTTTAACAATGTTCGATTTTTTTTGTGGTTTTTTATAAGGGTTGAAACTTATAAATGAATAATAAAAAATTAATTTAATATCGCTATGCATTATTCCAAGTTGCTGAATAATATTTTTCAATATTATTTTTTAATGATTACTGTCATATAGGGGGTGGTTTTTAGGGATTGACAATTTTCAATTCATCATAATTACTTATTATTTAAAGATGATTTCAACCTATTACACGCTCGAATCGACAATTCTATAATTATTTTCGAATAGGGGTAGTTTTCACTCCTAAAAAATAAAAAGCAACCCCCGGCACACGGTCAACTTTGAAGTAGAGGGTAAGTAGAACCTAAATCCAAATTTTGGTGCCAATCGGTGCTATTTGGGAAAATTATACAGTAACGCCGTATTTTACCTTCAATGACTGGACTAAATGTAAAAATTTTTGAAAAATATTGCAACTATGTAAATACCTTGGAAGATATTAGATATAAATAAATTAAATTGAGTTTTTGCGCAATTATATTAAATACTAAAGGGCACCATCAGTACTAACGAGCCCAGAAATCAAAGGTACTGAATATTTTGGAAATTCTGTCAGTGCATTTGACTTTACTTACAAAAAAATTTTTTTTATTAGATACGAGCAGTTTAATGTCTGCGAACCTGTTTTAACAGAAAAAATTAGTAACTGGAAAACAATCCATTTTACATATAAAATCAAAATTTTATTATTTTTCTTTGAAATACTACTATGAAATAAATAGATCACTGAATTTCCCAAAGTCGTATCAATATTCCACCGTTAGTTGATATAATTGTATACAAATTCAGTGAATTTTATCTTTATTTAGTTAAATCACCAATCTAAGTTTTATAAACATACATACATCAAATTGCAATATTTGGTATGTATATTTTCAAAAACTTTTATCTCCATAAATTGGGTCATTTAAGACGTTTTTCTCCTTAAAATAATATAAAAAATCATTATATTTATTATCAGAACATATGCAAGTACAATCCTGTATAAATACATGTATATTTCTAAATTATAGGCCAAAAATAATATTCCAATTACCTGTTCTTTTATTAACATAAAAATTACTTCCAAAATTACTCCGTTTTTTAATCCATTCTCCAAATTCTTCCGACTCATTTTGTTTTGCTTCTTCCTTCTCTTTAGATATTGCCATTTGACTAGCCCATTCTAGATTTAGCTCATTATAAAATTGTTTTTCAGCATTTAATTCTTTTTCTAAAATTTCTTGTTTTTGCCGGTTGCTCAAACTGATGAATAGTTCCTCCTCTTCAAAATCTGGTGTAGTTTTAATCTTATGTGTGCTTGTAATTTTTTTATGTATTGGATTATGACGAACAATTGTATTACTTTTTTCTTCAACAGGTTTTTGTATCATTTTACTTGTTGCTTTATTCTTCGGAGTTACGGCAATGTGTTGAAAACATTTATAGCGGTCTCTAATAAAACTCATATCTGTTACATTTTGTTTACTTGGCAGCTGGTTCATTTGGGTACTTTGATACTGTGGATGAAATAATTCATATCTTCGGTGGTCTAGATCCGAGGATGTATTTAAAAATGTGTTATTTTTAAAATCAAAATAATTTCCAGTAGCTAAATATGGATTTTCACTGTAATAAAAACTTTCATTTACAGTTTCATTTACTGCAAATGGTCTTTCATTTGTTGATAACACACCAACATTTGATCTATTATTATTTTTTCTAAAATAATCTTTTTCCGGCTCTGTAACATTTTCCATGAGCCTTAAATTGTTTTGTTTTGTACAGTGGTCTTGAAATGTGTCAACTGGACTTAAAGGCTTATCATAAAAGTTTAAATTAGAAAAATTATTTGCCTTACGACTGTTAAGTTTACTTTTAGCGTATTCCCTACACATAAAATTACTGAAATTAAAAATATTCTTCCCATGCGAATGACAATTGCAATTACAGTTATCCTCTCTTACTGGCACTCTTGGTACACCGTGGTATAAATTAACAGGGCTTTGATACACAAATCTAAATTTTGGAGTTTTATGTTTAGACCTGGATAAAATTATAGTATAATTTTCAGCTAATTCGCCATTAGCTGGGAGGTTGTTAAGAATACTACTATCGTCATGTTTCTCATACATTGAGGTTTGTACACATTTCCCAACCATCTCATTTTTTTGTAAAGACGTTTGAATCATTTTGGACGTTACTTGTCGTTTTTTGTTCGTATTACATTTTTTCTTAATTTTCCTCGTAATATTAATTGATACCGACATTGTTTTACTTTTTCCATTAACGTTTGTCGTGATGTTATTTTCAAGAAAATAATTTGATTCTTCCTCAAATACCGTGTCCCCACTTTTATCATTTTGGTATTCATCATCGGAGTTGAATACTTGCGTTGATTTTAGAAACATGTCCATAATCAGGTTTTTGCCTTTTTTTTCATCATTTGTAAATTTGGTCAGAGACGATTTTTCATCTGGTGCTCGGGAAGTATTGATATTACAAATTTCAGTATCGTGCATTTTGTAAGGATTAGGTTCATCGTAATGGGGCATACATTTTGCCGAATTAAGATTTTGAATACAGTTCCTATTAAATACTTTTACTGGCAACGGACGTATCCTTTGATTTGAAATATGTCTGACTGGCAGAGGACGTTTTTGTAAATCATTATTGTTTGCACATATTGGGATGTTCGGAACATTTTTTATTTTATCCTGTTTGTTGATAATAACACTGTTTTCTTTATTGCATTCATATGAAAATTGACTTATATTATTTGTATTCTTCAGCGAAACAATATTTTGTGTATTTTTAGCAGGAACTAAATTAATAATTTGCTCGCTAATGGATTCAGAGTTACTAAATATATCTATAGAATGCTGCGGTACTGCTGTTTCATCGTCTTCTTTTCTAGTTCCAGTACTTATTTTTTGCATTTTTCGTGGGGATGTTGTGTCGTCACAATTCATCTTTCGTTTTACTCCGTAACTCTTAAACACCCCGTGTATTTGAGAAATACCACAATCACTTTTTACCTTGTGGGAACCTACGTAGTTTTCTTTAACAGTTTTTTCATTACGTCCGAGGAATGAAAGTATAAACTTTTCGATGCAACTGAATATGATGTCCCAATTTTTAAATTCAACAATCGTTTTTGCAGGACTTAAGAGAATATCTACAAAAGAATGTGGGCACTTAATGCTTACTACGTAAACATGGTGTTTATTTTTGTCGTTTTGATTAGAATGGAATATTTGATTTGCAGATTTCTTGTTTTTCTGAAAGAGGTTATAAATAAATGTTTGTATTTTCGAACACTTTACAGGTCGCTTATTTACGTAAATATACTGCATGCTATTATTTTCCCACAGTTCTTTAAATAACAAGGCCTTTATTGTTATATTATTTTTTGCTACTTTGATCAAAGAATAGTCATCGGTCAATTCCGGATGTAAAGACTTAAACGAAGAGATAACGTCTGTACACTTTCGACTATTCAGAATTAAATCTCCTGTGACATCGTTTCTCAGAGAAAAAGAGACGTTTGGGTGCATTATTATAAAACACTCTATACTTTTTTTTATGTATGCAAATTCCACCTCTGGATTAACACGTTTTCTTCTGAGAACGAGATTATATAAAAAACCTTCTATCGTAACTGTTGTACCGCAACTTGGACGTTCTTTAACAGGAATTGCATTATTTCTAGTAGTTTTTGTAAGCTTCCTACTCAAAGTTTCTGATCCGTTTATAGGTTTGGAAGTGATTTCAACAACTTTTGAAATGTTAATTATGCTAGCTAGAGCTTCTCCTCGAAAACCATAATATGCACAATGTGACTCTAATTGTTCTAAATTATTACATTTGCTCGTCATGTATCTTTGCCCTATAAGATTTAAATTTTCTTTGGTAATGCCATCGCCGTTGTCTACCACTTGTATTCTAAATGTAACAAAGTTTACTCTTACAGCAATAGCCGTGGACCTAGCATCTAAACTATTTAGCACCTGGAAATGGATAAATATATTCATAAAATTTGTTTAAAAATGGACCACATTTACCAATTCTGTTATGCACTGCGTTACACTGTTTATTGTGGTAGAACTTTTTATCTTAGCTACTAAATTAGGTTCTAACTTGTGAACTTCCATTCTAAACCAAGTGACATTGGAAAATGAATCTCAACATGTGACACTTATGACATCAGGACTGAATTTCTTTTGTTTTTTTCCTCAGACGATTTGATTGAATACTTTTTAAATAGAAATTTATTTCACTTTACCAATTTTTGATTAATAAATTACTCAATAAATTGGAAAAGGTACTTATAATTTATTAGCCAATTTTGATTTTTAGTGGCTTTAATATCTATGCAGTACTTTTTGTTACATTTTGTACAATTTTGAGTTTTATTGTGCAAAATTTTAAAGTCCTATGCCTACTTTAACATTCTACTTGATTTTAGATTTTTCTCGAAGTAGACATAACACAGAAATGACAATTCACTGTTAGATAAAGTGAACTATTTCTAATATTACAAAGTTATCTGGATTTTAAGGAATTAAATCATTGTAGCTTTTGTTTTACAAATAAGCAGAGTTGAATCCCAGAAGGTCATCTTTAAAAATAAACATTATTTTGTCCCATTGAGAGGCTTTTCACCTATATGGGGACATGCTCTTTATCTGTAAACCTCGTTTTAATATTTTTCGTTTTTATAATTATTTTTTTATTGTGTAATTAGTCATGTGTAACAGCACAGAAATCTCTTTCTATAAATCTGTTCATGCATTTTAGAAGGAATAAAGATAATGGTTATTATTATTTATTATTAAACAAATATGATTATTGAGTAAAAAACTGGCAAATTAAATCATAGTTAAGGAAACATTTTTGCCTTTTTCTGAAGGTATTAATTAACACAGAAAGACTTTTTGCTAACAAATATAATATAAACAACATATAAAATATAAATACAGATTTGGTATAACATAAAGAGAGAGATAAATGAAATGTACTTATATAACTGGCAAATTTTAAATTGACAGCCATCCTGAATATATAAAGCTAAAACAAATCGTAACCTCTGATTAAAATTAAAACAAAAATTACTTATCGGTATTCGGCTTTGCCTGTTGTTGTCTATACATTTTCTTCAACATCTCCAAGTTCTCTTGTAGCGAAGCGACTTCCTCAAAACGTTGCGCCTTTCTCGCCTGATCGATATAATTCCGGACGATATTCATTTGTTCTAAAAGGGGATCATCGTCCTCAACCACTATACTGTCATTAGTAACATTAGCCGGTGACCACCCTGTTGTCACAGTAACTTTCTTGATGCTGGTTTTTGGAGTAGGCATAATGTCGTCGTCAACAGCTTTCATTAAGTAGTTCTTTTTGAACTTCTCCAATTCATGAACTGTCGGAGGGGCAGGGAGCGTTAATAGATAGTCTTTTATGTAAATAGAAGTTGCCTTTCTAATACTATTCTGTAAGGCCACAGCTTTTGGCGTTTCAGGATCCACGGGTAAGGAAGCGATTTTTTTACTTAAGGTGTCTATCATTTGGGCTTTATCTGCTATTGTGGTTCTTAAGGACTGCAAGTCTTGTAACAAATAAGTGGTTTCACCAGATACCAGCGAAGTGTACATCTGCAAATGATAATTAATTAATAATTACGTAAACTTCATTCATCACGTCATACCTTATTGTACATATCAACTGAATTTTGAATTTGAAATTTATTTTTCTGCAAGTGCGAGTATAACTGGCAAATAATTGGCTGAATCATTTGCTCAATTTGAACACGCCTCCTACACTCCAACATGTCCAAGCAATGGTTACAAATTCGTAGACTATCTGATTCCTTCGCGGCACCCTGTTCTTGATTATTTAAACTGGTCACAGGGGCCACTATTGTTTCTGTTAAAAGTACAAGTTATAAATAAACAGAAATAAAGAAAATATCATTAATACATACGTGCCGTTTCATATGGAAGGAAATACGAGCATGAATTGCACATAATACTACCACACAATCTACAATGGTGTTGCCTTCTGGTAATATTAAATACAGATGCGCATGATGGGCACCTGTTAACAGTAGATCCGTCTAACCAAGCCACAAGTTCCTGCTCCTGCTGTTTTCTATCGGACCCATAAAATCTTAACAGTCTGTCTAATCTGATTACTAATTTATTTGTCTCTGTTGTCCTGTGATCCAGTCTCTCTCTTCTAATTGCCTTAAAATAATCCGTATGCGATTTAGCTGGACCTGGTTCTTGAGGTTCGCTGTACTCTAAGTAGTATTTTTCCAATGTTATTTCTTTTTTAAATAATTCAAGATCTTTGTCATCGATTTTCAGTATTTTCTTCTTAGCTATACCATAAATATCTACAATACAAAGACGTGGAATGTATTACGCTATTAAAAAATATCGTACCCACCTTTAATTGATTTTAGAATGTCCTGCTCTTCGGAATGCAAATCTTGAAAATGCGCTATTAAATTATTAGGAGAACGTAAATCTTTGTGACATATAGGACACAAAAACCCCTCTTTTATTGTGGCTTCAGCCATTACCTTGTAATTTGAGATACCTTCAATTATAGATAGATATTTTATTCCAAAGATATAGATTCCAAAACATTTTCTTCATAATAAATAATTTAACATTATTAAAAACGTACCATTGTTTTATTCAACCGTTTTTTTTACAATTTTAATAGAATGTGAATATTCAAACTATACTTATCTCAAAAATCAACATAACCTCTATAGATATGTCTTGACAGTTTTGACAACTACACTTTAAAAAAAGGCATTCTCTCCAAGGATTGTAAACGTTTAGAGGTATGTTCAATTGCTCGATACAAAGTCCCGTATCTGACGTCATAAGTGGACAATCAATGAGTATTAAGAGTTTGAAAAGGTATTACTCAAAATTTCTCAGAAGCTTATTATTGTTGCAGATGCTGCAACAAATATAATATAAATAAAAGTTATGACAATAGTTTGTACAGAAAATCGTTTCCTTGCTTACTTATAGTAAAATTTTCGGATAATCTTTTATTAATAATAATTATAGATGAAATTCTGTTGTTACTGTATATTTGCAATTTATGTGGTAAATATAACATGTTAAAGCTTCTTTTTTAGGTGTATTTTAAATATATCCAATTGGCCGGATTTGGTCAACTGACAGATTAAAACAAAAAAGTTTGATCAATAGCACGTCATAATCCTTTTCATTTTAAAAGTGGAAGATTAAGAAAATGGATAGCATATTATTACCAAATGAAATTGACATGTATATTGATGCTATGAAACCACAAAACATAAAAAATATTGGAAGCCATCAGTGAGTAGAACTGCACAATTTCTTCTCACCATAATTTTGATACTTACCTAGTGGCTTTTATAATTAATTTCAGTATTGCCTTAATATTTAACATTGACGTTTTAAAGGTGGCTTGAATGGCATCAGAGGCTACAGAAACTTAATCAGGAAGCTCTTATAGAGGCTTCTGCTGTTAGAGAAGAGCATGTTAAGGAATCTTTAGTTTCATTCGGAAAAGTAAACATATTAATACACGAAGCTATTCTAATAAACATTTGGAAACACAAGGTTTTCCCCCACTTATTGAAGATAGAACCTAATCCCGAAAGCACATTTATAGCCTATTCAATTTTTTATCATGAAGCAGTCTGTGTAGCACTACTCGAGCTCGTTTTATATCACCCTAATTGTTGTGAAGCACTGGAAGACTCGGCAATTGATTTATTGGATTATTTAAGCGGCACCACTTCGCAACTGCTATCAGTTACAAAGGAAGATGGCACAAACAAGGAAAACGCTGAAGAAGAACTTCTGCGACAAAGGAACAATTTAGCATTTGACATCGGCATACGATCCCTATCCATTGTGAGATATTTGGCAGATAGTATGGACAGGTAAGTGGCACATTCATTAGTTTCATTACCTATGAATGAAATCACATTTCAGACTGCCAATTAGTATTTATTCACGCATGTACTCGACTTACGATATACCAGCACTCTTTACTCAAATACTGATGGCAGCACCTTGGATCAAAGACGGAAAACAGTACATTGCAGGATCGTGGAAAACTTGGGATAACGAACAACTGTGTCAGTCGGAAGCTCAGGTATATTTTTGTTTGTACAACTTAAGTTTATTCCAATTTTAAAAATAGAAATGGATTTTCATTTTTTTCTTGGTAAAAAAATTACAAATTTAGGTATGGTTAACTTTGCGACAATTACTGCTAGATCCAGAATGTTCAAAATATTACGCAATAACGGAGAGTCGCCGATCTCAGATAATGAAACTTTTACCGTTAATGAAACCAACAATTCTGGACCAGCTTTCACCACTGATTGAATTAAAGCAATGGCTGTGCCGTTTATCAGTGACGGGTCAACCGTCGGCCCCACCAAAACCGCTTCTTCTAGAAACTGTGCTAGAAATTAAAGAAAAAATATTGCAGCAAGCCGGAGGCAAATGGAAGAAAATTGCCGAGAAGCAAGTACCTTTGATATTTACCAACGATCAAAGCGCTCTCCAAGATGTAGCAAAAAAGTACGTTATAAATCACAAATTTTATTTTCTATAAAAATACTGATAAAAGGGTTTTAAATTTTGTATTTTAGATTAAACGAAGCTTACAATACTGACCTACTAGAAAAGTTTGAAGTAAAAGAACAAACGGCATGTGCTCAATGCGGAAAAGGAGCCCTTCAACGATGTTCTAATTGCAAGAAATCATGGTACTGTTCAAGATCGTGTCAAGTTAATCATTGGCCCCAACATAAAGACGATTGCATTAAATAATAATCATTTATTTATATATTAAAAATAAAATGAAAAATTAAGAACTGTATCCGATTGTGTACCTTTGTAAGAGAGTACAATAAAACACGTTTCTTTTAATTTCTTATATTTATGTAACAAACTCACTTTGCATTCTTAAGATAATCTTTAAGGACATCTAAAGCTGGTGACTCTTCTCCATAATCCTACAAAAAAAAAAAAAGAGTTAATACAAGTAGTATTAACAAAAATATTATAAACATCATACTGTAATATTCAGATGGCGATTAACAGCATTTATTTTAAATGGGTAACCTCAGAAGAGGGAGCCGCCACAACTCATCATTTAAAAAAAATAATCAAAATTTCAAAGACTACGGTTCCATTGAAAAACACAAAAATGACGTGTAATTTTGATTTTATGGTTGTGTTTAGCGAATGATTGGATTGGTTCAGTGAGCAAATATTTCAATAGCCCAATCAGCTGATTGGGACTACTGAACAGGTTGTAAAATATGACTACTGTGGCCGCGATCGTTCAGCGATAAAATTAGAGCACCAACAATAATTACAATACAAGATTACAATAACTTGTAATGTGGATAAAGAATAAAGATTATTAATACTAGCATAACAAGACTTTTTAATTTATGTTTGAAAGCAACACAAACAAGCCACGTACTAAAAATGACCGACCATTCGCTAAACACAGCTAAATAGTTAAAATAATTAAAATTAATAATTGAAACACTCACCCGAATTACCACACAAGAACTTCCTACAACTTTACGAGCTTTCCCCGTGTTATCTATTTTACATAATCCTGACCACTCTCCCAACTTTTTGTTATTATCTACTTTGATGAGAGGAATTTGATGTTCGGAGCATAGAGCAGACACTAATTTTTTATACATTTGCTCGTCACAATTTTCTGCGAGAACACATAAAACTGCTTGCCTTTTATCTAAAGCTTTAGTTGCCTCGTGCAGGCCGTGGACTACTCCGTCGTGAATTAAGGCAATTTTAAGAACTTCTTGTAGAGCCTGATTGACATCCATTGGCCCCCCAGATTGTACTGGGGCCACCGGCGCTTCGTCCCTACAATAAACAAATAAGAACTTACTCGGTTGCAATTAAACAAAATATATTTATATTGTTTATAGTAGTTTAATCTTTAATTTTTTTACATAAATAGGTTATGTACTCACACTTCAATATCAGACATTTTCCCCGATTCTGAAACAAAAATAAAGTAATTAAGATACAAGTCATTGCTTAAAAAGTGTAAATAGCCACCAAAGTTTCAATGATGTTTAAAAATATTTAGTGCAAATTTAAGATTTTGTAAACATTTACCTTGCTGCTCTCGAGTCAAGAAATAAAAGGAATTGTTTGGGATTTGGGGAATTTTAGTTTTCAGTTAATTTAGTTCCATTTCGGCTTCTTCTTCGTAAAATTACATATTAATAACGGATTGCAAGAGATTCTTAAACCATAAAATAGTCCTTTTCCTCAATTAGAAGTTAATCAAAAGGTCACGTCACAAGAGTGGTATAAAGCCTTTCAGCAGGTGTTGATATTTAAAGTACGATGTTTTTTTTGGGTTATTACATTAGTACTATATTTCTATGGTTATTATGCAGTGGCCTATGTACCTGGTCGCCGTAGCCTTATCTAGTAATTTTGGACCTGCCCTTGTTATTCTTGGGCTAGGCTCTGTAGGGGCAGACCCGTTATCTCAAGGCATCCTTGATGTACTCAATTTTTTTATTAATTAATGTGAAAAGGGTAATTTACATCTTTTCCTTGCAAAATTGAAAAAAAAACAGTGGGCCAAAGTAAGATATGATCAATTACTTCATGTTACTGAATTTTAATTTAAAAAATTATTGATTTTTCAGAAATAGTACCTAATCAAAAATCATGGCAAGCCTAGGATTAGCAAATTTGGGGAAGTTGTAGTTTCCAAATATGCCCGTTTTTAAAGTTTCTTATTAAAAGCACTGTAAATAATTCATATTTTTAAATAATTTTATTAAATATAAATATTTCATACAAATATTTTGCTACTTAATAATTAACAGTTTGTAGAATTATGAGAGATTATTAGAATCACCGATAAAACAAAATGCCAAATTTGTATTATCACACGAACTATATACAGACATCAGTCTAATAAACCTCTATTTAAAAAAAACATAAATATTTAAATAATTTATTACAAAAAGATAAGTGATAATTATTCATTCTCTGATTGTTCTATTTCTTCTCCGTCGCTGTTAAATTGTGATGACACCCAAGCTAAACCCCACTTAAGATTTGTTAACATAAATTTCAAAGCTTTCGTCCACTGTTCCTCGGAATTTAGCTGTATCCTTAGAAAAAAATCCAAAACATTAAATATACAGGGTGTTCAAAACCAGCATATAGATTATTTAAGACGTGGCTGACAATTTTGTGAAGAAAATTTCATATAAAAATGGTGTCTATGATTTCATTTGATAACTTTTTTTAATATTTTTTTTTAAATGAGTTAGTTTTAACATATAATGAAAAATGATTTTTTAGGCAAAAGGCATTTTGGGCCACATTATAAGAATTCTTCTCCATAAAATCGCCTTTGCAACCTCCTTCTAAAACATTAACATGCTGTTTTGGGACACCTGTACAAAAATATTACTTACTTTATCGAATAACTCGCATCCTTGTCCTCTATTTTTCCCTTATTAGTTCGATATGGAAAGCAGAAAACTTTATTAGCCTTTTCCAGCTTTTCAACTTTCTCTTGGAACTGTTGCAAGCAGTCCAAGAAAGCCACCATTCCACTGTCGAATTTGGTATCCCATAAATATCTGAAGCCACCCGACCCGTACAACGGTAACTCCTTCTGTTCTCCTATCACCTAAAATACACGTTTTGACGTAACGGACCAGGCTTTCTGTTTTAGATCTTATTAAAACAACAAAAAAAAACATAAATTTACCTCGATATACGAGTGGTTACCATACGGCACAAGCCTATATTTATCGAAAGTTAGATTTATCTTTCTGGCTAAAGCGGAGAGAAGTAGAGCCGTTTGTCCCCAGGCGGCGTTTATTTCTGACCAGTCTACGGGAGCAGAAGGCAGCCGTCCCAAACGAAAGTTGTTGATCGTCCCAAAGTGTCCCTTGTGCCAAATATGAAATGTCGCATTAAAAACGTTTGTTCTTTGTAATTTGTCTAATTGCATGTTTGAGTAGCTCACTTGACATTCCAGGCTGAAAGCAAGTTATAAACTTCTTCAAAAATTTTAACAGGATGCTAAAATTTTGAGTCGTTAAAATTCAATTGATATCGAGTAAATTGCAAAGCATTTTAAAATTTGACATATATTTTGATATTTTGGAAGTGGTGATTTTGAAACATTTTAAATGCATTTAGAATGTAACATTTACAGAATCGCCCTTTAAGTAAGAACTAAATTTACCTCTTTCCTTCTTCCTCGGTAACCATAACATCCCTTCGATGCCTTGTATACTCTTTAAAGTACCTCTCTTCTTCTTGCGACAGCCTTTTCGAAATAGCTTCTTGTTCTTCGATCGCCTTTAAGGTTTCAGCTTCTTCCTTTTGCAGCGCTTCCAATTCCTCCAACAGCCTTTTTTCTTCTGCCTTTAAATCACCCAATTCTTTCTCCAATTCGTTTAATTTTGGTTCATCTTTTTCATTTTGTAAACTAAAAACATTTTAAAATCACACGTAGTTCCTGTTATCTGGTTAACCTACGTTTTATAATAATTACTATAATCATCGTAATCCTCTTGAGTTATTTTAAGTTGCTGTTCCAATAGTTCTATCAAATTATCTGCACACTCGTCACATAATGGATGGTCTATATTGGAATTACCTGAAATCGTGTCAAATAACGCTACTTTGACCTTAAACAGAGTAAAAAGGGACAGTTGAAATTATGTAAAACACAATAAATAAAAAAAATTTAGCTTCAATGTGCCCGGAAGAGGTTTACGCATATTTTGTGAAACCGAATTTAATTTATGTTTACCTTGTATTGATGACTGAGTAAATCAACTTCATTTTCATCCGAAATTAACATAAAACCATTAGCACCATTCCCGGAATCGGAAAGCCTACACGGAGGTACATAATGGTCAAAACTAGTTGCTTGTGATTCTAAATCTACATCCGGGTTGGAATGTATTGGCACTGAAATATAATTATTAAAATATTAAATATTTCTCAAAATATTGCTTCACTGTGGAATAACAATATTATCAATAAAAATAATTGCTTTGCTTATGAGTCTTTTCTTTTTTTAACAGATTCATGGGAATTGGGGAATTAAACTTACAATTTAATTCTGCTGATACATGTTCACTAAAGGAATTCAAAGAGTCATCTAATCGAAGAGGCTGGGAACACCTCTGACATGCAAATGATACAAATAATTTCTCTTCAGCCATTTGTATTAATGCCCTGTAATATTTATTTCTAAGTATAACAAATGATAACCATATTATTGAAATTTTGTATCAACTGCAAACAGATGATCAGTTTATATTTTCTTCACAGAACAAAAACAATATTCTGTGAACGTGAACTATCTCGTTCATTCTGTCTTTTGTGACGTGACATTCGTGACAAGTTTATATAAGTCTATAGTCTATGGTATATAATTTTCGTAATGTATTTTCTATGGGTACGGTTGCGATTTCTAAAAAAAGGCGAATTTTCGTACGTGTCATAGGTATTGCAAAAAATACGATGACGTCTAGATTGTTGTATTCGGTGAAGAACAATAATTAATATAATGACAGTGACGGAGAAGAATTAATGCCAATCAGCAATAAATCTATATATGGAAAAAAAATAAATTTCTATATGTATCCTTACATGATTTTATATACCCCGGATTAAATAAATACGGCCATTAAAGATTTTAATTTTCCTGTATCTACCAAACTGCAATGAATGTTAAAATATTTGAAGAGCTTTAGAAACACTGAATCTGAGCAAAAATACAATATAAAATACAGTAAAAAAGAAACGTAAAATACAAATATCACATTCTCGATATTCAAAATTATGACTTGTTTTCCCTATTAATAGAACAAAACAGTGCTATCTCTTATTGTTTGTTTGTTTCCGCCAACGAATTCTAACCACCAATTTCTTGGTTTCCGCCATTGCGAAAAAGCGAATAAATGATGTGCAAGAATATTTAGAAGTATTTAAAAATATAAATAAATGGTGAAGCAGTTGGTTAGTTGAATTATGGCAGAAATTTAAATTCAACCAATCAGCTGCCATGATTTCAAAGTTTTCAACATTACAATTATGAGTTATATTTGATGGAAACTTCTTTAATTTCTTGTTTCTTATTAGTTAAGTATATTATAATAAAATACGTTACTTATCTAGAAATACTTGACTCAAAAACCATTTTTATCACAAAATATCCTTTTGTTTTGCACGTCACTGGTGACTGTTTTGATCGTTAGTACGTAGGCGGCTCGTATATAGGAGATTTGAGGTATCGTCATCGGTATATTTCTGTATTTTTGGGGATTATAGCCAAGAATTCCTATTTTCTTTGCTAGTTGAGAACATAGAGTAGTTAATGTAGGTAGGGTATAATAAGGACCGTTAAATAATGACTGAACGATTACGAAGTGGCAGTTTTGTAAATTCCGCAAATATATCGGCGAAAATGACCAACGACTTGACTCCTCGAAAAACGATGTTAATATTAGTGATAGTGGTCGGTTGTTTTGCAGTGTTGTGGCCAAAAGTCTTTTATCCCATGTTAGTAGGGTCTGCAAATCAGCATATAAAACCAAGCCCCATCGACAAAACTACAGGTAACATATTTATAATTAACTATTTTTTATTTTTCTTTTATTTATTCTTAATTTATTTTTAATCTAAATTTAGGATGCTGCGATGTGATATCAGAAATTGATGTCAACACCATTAAAATTATGTCTGAATTATGCAAAACCATTATAAAAAAGGACGAAGATGTGCCCTTAACCGGGAGAGAAATAGTAGTGAAATGTCAAAGTGCAGTTTTAGAGACTTGTGGTATCGATATATCGTCAGTATTACAAGACCAAGTTCGGTTGGGGCAGTCTGTAAAACAAATTCTAGATGAAATAAGGTCTTTGAACGGTTCGTTATGTTTAAAATACAATTTTGGGGTAGCCCCCTGGAGGCTAGGTGTTCCGCACAGAGTTACCGTTAAGATGCCACCTTCCAGTAAGCATTAAAAGTGTGCTTATTTATAATACCTATTAACTGGATTGCTACTAACCTTCATAACTATGTAATATTTTTGAATTCTTACTAGTAATACTAATTTTAACATTTTCTCCTATTATTCAGTATTTTTAAGAAGTATATTATTGTGCAATATGTTTTGAACTTTTTCATCACCAAAGCATATGTCACATTCAAATAAGCAAAGCATCAATTTATAATTCAATGATTATACTTTTAATAACATAAGGACATTTTTTTGTCATAAGAAATGTGATTTTCCCATAGATAGCATGTAAAAATGTTATAGATCCTATGGCAAGTATTTTATTCTTACTGTGTTAAAGTACTATAAAAAAAAACAAATGTTTGCATAATGGTAAATGTTATGTGAATTAGAATTTCTTCTCGTATAGTAATGACGAATTTTAGTAAGTGTAGATTTTGCGTAAATTGTATTTTCACTTTTGCTTTCCCAAATTGTTGTTTGTATTGAAGTAAATATTCAGTTTCTTTAATCAAAGTGATCTAAATTCTTGCGGAGACAATTATATTTTGTTAATTGTTCTTATATTTGTTCTTTACAGACATTAGGCAAGAAAGGCCAATGCATCTTCGATCGGAACTTATACATCCAGCCTTTAGAGAAAAGGGTAGAGCAATACCACAACCTCAAGTCAGCAGTCCTCGGGCTACTACAAGGGTAGTTGAGGGAAGAGTGAGTAATTTGCATTTCAATATATATCTTCCAAATCGATAGGCGCTAGATATGAAAAAGTTTGTGTATTTTTATATGAAATACGACTGGATGCTATAATATTTGATTTTAGGAACGTATTTACAATATGCACCAGTTTGCAGTTAGTTACATGTAGCATTCTTTAAATAAATGACAGTAAAGTGTTTATAATCTATTTATATTGAGCAAATTTGTTGGTACAGCTCCAATATTTATTTTTAAAATGAGTATTTTATAATGTTGATTTTATTCCCAATACTAGTTTACTTTTAGACGTGTAGAAATTTAAATAACTTCAAGTTATTCACACATTTTAGAGATGACAAATTGTAGAAAAGCATTACACGAAATATTTTAGATCATAGAAATGTTCCGAAATGTAATCACTAATACCATTGTAATAATAACTACCTATCTGTTGTGGCAAATTTCTTCAATTGAATTGTTAATATTTAGAAATTCTTAACATATCTGTGATTTCTGAGGTCATGAATAAGTTCTAACTTTGCGTCAATTATGTTACGTTTAGAACAGACTGGAATTGGAAAGAATCTAAATTTAGATATCCTGTAGCTGAAACACGAAATATAATTTTAGGGCTATAAATTTATATTTGGTTTGGAACTGACGAACGGAAAAATGTAAATATATATTAGATTAGTTAAAAATAACTGTTTATTAGGACCTTCAAAACCCAAAAAATGAGGTCAAATATGTTTCTAATTGCAAAGTTGTCTATTTTAAGTTCATGAGGCTTTGGAGTTATTTTATAAAATAGAAATATTTTTTGCTTATTTTCCGTCTGTTTATATTATGTCCATTTTTTTTCAAAATATTTGGTAAATATGTATCACAGATTTTGTCTTTTTTTTTTATCATTTTATGCAACAAAAATGTACAAGATCCTAAGATCATTCATCAGGAGGATCTCTAGAAATATACCAGTTTCGAACTTACAATGATTTAACAATAATGCTTTAACTGTCATCAGCTTTGTGTAATTAGTTGCCATGACAAATCTGTACTGTCAGGATTAATTTTAACACCTGCAGTTTACAGAAATTATGAGTATCCACATTTCAAGGGTATTTATCAATTTAATGAAAAATGTATGTACTTTTAATCTGCTATATTAAAACTTTAAAATATGTGAGATTTATATCATTCCCAGTCCACAGAACGTAATTTTTTGAATTGGTAATTCTGAAATCTTTGTTTTTCGGGTGTCATTGCATTTTTGAGAAAATTGTGTTCTAACACATCAGCAATAACTGTCTGCTATTTTACTTTTATAACGAGAAACTCGATACCATACTGTTTTTAGATTTTTAATTTATAAATTTAGAAATAGTACATATACAGAAACATACACCTCATTAAATATAGCCAGAAGCTGTCAATTATGTATTCAACAAGATGGAAGACAGTTCGAACAATTTTTATAAGATTTTTTATTGTTACATTTTTGTTTTGTTGTTGATCTGGTATCTATTTGTTTTGCTTTGTTGTTGTTACTTTAGACATATTTTGTAAAAAAATATTTTTTCCATAAAATATTTAACAAATATCAAGTTGTAATATATCGTTGACTGCAGAAAAAAATACTGTATCGAACAGGCCAAAAAAAAAAATAACGTGACATTTAAGAAAAAACAATTGAAAATCGCCTAACGATGATGGCAAAAAAAATTAAAATCAATTGTACCTAGTATTTGTCAAGCCATTAACAACAGTCTTTTGTTTTTTAAATAGAATAATTATTAACAGAGTTACAGCTTGGGGCGTTTTTTATAAGACAGCCTGTATATCTTACAGTTAAACTTAAATATCCAGATTTGCTAAAATAAACGAAATATCAAAAAATAGCATCTATAAATGTTGACTCTATTTCAGCATTTGAATCACCATCATAAATTTAGATTATCTGTTTTTTGAAAAAGCAGATGGGCAAATAGATTTCAGGGGGCAAATGTTTTTATATTTTTTTTTGGGTTTGTGTATTGATTTCGTACAATACGAATTGACAAATGTAGGTTCTCAAAAATGATTCAAACAATTCAATTGTTCAAAGTGCATTTACATCCTTTTTTAAGTCATTACATGAAACTAATTTGAAGTTAGCATTAAATTGAGAATTGTACATTTTACATCAAAATTAACGCACCACTAAAAACAAGAAAGCCAACTTTGATATCGAGCCCCATTTTTAGTAGTATTTTGACCCGAGTATACATTCAAAATATCCTTTTCAGCCGGGTCCTATACCTGGAATGCGACCGACCTTAGGAGGAGCTGGCCATGTTGTCCCCCCGCCAAAACAAGGCACGGGCAGTATGGGTCTTATTATGCCGATATATACAATAGGAATCGTGATATTCTTTACGTACACAGTGTTAAAGGTCTGTAATGTTTTTTTTCCCAAATCGTGTAGCTACATTCTTGTAAATTACGTCTGTCTCCGACTGTACCGACTTTTGAGAGTAAACTTCATTTTAGATTATTTTCAAAAAACAACCCGAAGCATTATACCCTCCGGTGGAACCAGATCCGAACTTCAGAAGAGAAGTTTTTGAATCTGAGAGAAGCCATGTGCCAAAACTAACTAGAGAAGGAGTCTCCAGTAAACTAGGTGAGTAAATACAGTTTACAAAATTAAACCAAGTCTATCTTTATCTACCGTTACTGGAAATATTTTTTTTCTTAGTCCTTAGCGGCAAATTTGTTATTACTACGTGAAAATTATAGCTTTGCTGCATAAATATTTAAACTATTTCGTGAATTGTCATCCATTATTTCTTACACAGTGTTTAAGTAAACATCAATCATAAAATGAGACCATAAAGTATGGGTAACTTTTCCTCTAGACGTTAAGGCCCTAATAAGATTGCAACTTAATTGTATCACATTAATTTATATTAGTTTTTACATTCGTAATTAACGCAATGTCCTGGGCTTGCATTCACTTGCTGCAGACTTACATCTAATTAACATTTATCTGCATTGCCGTTTCTTTGCAACTCCACATCTATCTGGGTAGTAAGAAGAATAATATTTAAGTACAGTTCAACTTAATTTCATCTGGCTGGTGTAGGTCGGATGCGCAGTGGCAAAGTTTAGGGGGAACCTGCAAGGCTCATTTCTTTTCAGCACTCATAAGACTAAGAGGCCACATTAAAAACTTAAAATAAAATTTTAAATGAACGAAGCAAAAAAGTAATAACAATTGAATTTTAATGCATTTAAAGGCAGTTAGAGTAATATATAAAGCTTTCTCTGCCGATTGTATTTTAGGTCCCACCACTCGATACTCAACTTTTTATATGTAAACATGTTTGATCACGTTTACGCATCTCACCGACAAGATGAAATTGATTGAACTTTACCACATTGGGTCTAAGTTATGTTGCTATAACATGCCGATATTTCTTTTCTTTTGTATATTTTCTGCAAGTATTTTATTTTAATTGTAAATATATTCATCCGCAACTTTTTGTTCCTTTTATAGTTATTTCTAATATTAACGATGTTTATATACTCTATATTTAAATGATTTATGCCACCAATGTAACAGGATGGAAAGAAAGGGATGCAAGTAAGTTACATTGTACGATCTTATAAACACACTGACTGCGTTATTTTATATTGCTTACTTCATTAATTCATTTTACATCTTTCTTATTTTTGTCGTATTCTGAATTTTTATAAAACATCAGTGAAAACTCGAATGACTTCACAAATCTAGTTCTGTTTAAAATATATTTTATTCATAATCAGTTACAGTTTTTAGGTCTGTCATCATTTTAGATGTATTATTTATAGTTTCCTTAAAAAATAGAAATATCACTACATTATTGTTAGTTTTATCAAAAAATATTTCATTAATATATAATTTTTGGAAATTATATTTGAGTCTACAATGTGATCAGTTTTTTTAAGTACGACATTTATTACATTCAAGTATTTTAAATGACTATTATATTTTAACTATATGATTTTTTGATAAAACTACAATTTATTGAACTTTGAGGAGAAAATCAGTTGTATGTATGTCTTTTAATTTATTTAGGGTGATTTTTAAGTTGAGACTCCTTTTATGACAGTGTATGGAAGTGAAAACAAGAAGTACTTTATCAGTTTTATTCTTATTTTAAGAATCATATCAGTTGTTCTAAATTAGACTCATTTATGTGGTTATTTTTGTGAATTGTTTGTGCCCAAGTTGCTCTTACAATAAATCATGACTATAACAGTAATCAGTAATTCACTAGTGAAGATGATTTTCATTTACCGGGAATGTAATCAAAATGCCGCGGCAGCGGTACACCGACCGCTGTAACTTTGTAAGAAGGACCATTGTAAATAATATAATAATTGGACCATGGAACATTTATTGTTTAAAACCTCAGTTAATATGCCTGAACAATAATTGTTTTTATATTTTAAATACAAATCCCTTAAGAGTTAATATTTCAACTTTAAACTCACCCTATATATGTAATATGTACGTGTCATCAAAGTGTAACCATACTTTTATAGAACCAAACATTTCAGTGACTACGGTTAGACTTTAAAGAATTGTAAGGAGAGAATGCACCATCTATCTAAAACTCACAGACCGCCACTACCGCTTTAGTCCATAATGTATTACTCCTAGAAATAATGTGTGAATGGTAATCTATGTATGCAGTTATTTTATCAGGCACATTTTTTTATTAAGTAAAATGTTGAACTGTTTCAAATAATAATTTAATGTTATGATATATTGTTGCGGAAGCAACATTTTTTTGCTGGTAAAGTTTGGATAATCGGGATCAACTAAAACAGGAGCCGTCATTATTTTTTCTGCAATCTAATTAAAAACTTATCATATTTAAGGAAAAAAATAATGAAAAACTGTGTCCTATTCAACAATTGTTCTGTCAAGTGTAGTACAGGAGGGAGAAAGATGCAATAGCCTTTAAGAGTTCCATTCTAGTCTAGTTGATGTGTTGTATCTGCAGGGGATGCAGAACTGGATCAACTTCGCCAACGTCTCCGTGAAACCGAACTTGCCATGGAGCGCATCGTCGAACAGATGGCCAAAGTGCCACTCAAGTTGCAGGTGCGCTGCCGAGCCGGGCCCCTCCTGATCCGCACTATCGGCAGCTTAGCTTTGCTTCGCTTACTGCATGCCCCCCCAGCCGTCTTCCATTTATTACCACCGCGGGTGCATATTTTTGAACGTTATTGTAACATCCGACACAACATTGAATTTACACACTTTCTAAGGAACACGTTTTAGTTTTCTCGACACGATACAAAGAATATGTTGTAAATGGTGATTAAGTAGAATGTACAAGGGGTTACTAAGCGCTTAATTTGAAAAGTAAGTGCTGTAAGGGGTGTAAATGAATGATGAATGGATGTAAATGATTGTAAGTGATATTTGTCACGTATGCCAGTCATACCAACATGTAACAATTGCAATTTTTCATTTAGTGCTAAAAAAATGAAATTTTGATACAGTCATGTCTATACGTAACAAGTAAAGTGAGATTATTTTACATAAAAGTTATATTATTTTGGTAATATTTTTGTTTTTGAAGGAACATGCTACTTAATCCAGACATTAGATCCGATTCACTGATTAAAGAGTATAAAACATGAAACTGAGGTTTCTCAAAACTTGGCTGTGAATGTTTCACTTTTCTCAATACTTTTATACACATTTTTGAGAAAACTTGTAGCTACTTTAGACGTAATGAGACGATTATCATGCCCATCTGAATAAAGAAATTTTGAAGGATTATTTACGAAGGCCTCAACGTTTTGCGCATGATATTACTTCATAATAGCAATTATATTTCTCGGTACAGCAATAAAATGTACCATATGTATTTATGTATTAAAATATGTTTAAAATTCAATGAAATAAAATTATATATTATCTTTTAGCTAAAGAACATGAAAATAGAGTACTGCATAACATTTATTAAGTCTGGCCAATTCGAATTAGAAATATGCTTTAAGAAGTAATGCCATTTTAGAGGTTGGGAAAAAAGGCAACTTTTGGGAATTTTTAAGGAAAAATCGATACAAGATATAGTGTCAGGGAACAAAAAGGCTTAATTGTACATGTTTCTAGTAGTATTGTGAATTTTTTTAAACTATTTGGATTCAAAATGGCAGCTGTAGGCGATGGCAAGCAACGACACCATTTTTCGGACGGCTGTGTCGGAACAAAAAAACAAAGATTTCTTTTATTTACTAAAAGCTAGGGAACATCGTAGGGAAATTAAAAAATATTAATAATTATTATCGATTTAGTGAACATTCAAAAAAAGTAATGAAAAACGAAAAATTTTGTTTTATATGTTAATAACAATGAAAATTGTTAATCAATCGAAAAACCCCTACAATGTTCCCAGAGTTATGTAATTGTGAAGCTCTGTACAAAATTTCAACTCAATTTGTTTCCGGACAGTTAAAAAAAGTAGTTTCTCAAAAAATGCTTTTAAAGTTATTTGTTGCCAGAATCAAGAAAGTACAACTACCTATTAAACTCATGTTTATTTCATATTTCATTAAAGTTTTTGAGAAATTTGGAATATGACCTAATTAAAACAGCTCTCTAGTTTTTCTTAACTTTTAATACATTAATGCAAAAAATGAAAGGGTCAAAAGAATTTCCGAAATTTTTCCGTGACTTTTGACAGACTTTTAGGTAAAAAATTGTCGTATCGGGAGCTAAAAAAAAAAACATTTTGAAGCTCTAAGATTGTAGTTTTTAGATCTTTCTGTCTAAATTTCTTAGGATCTACGGATATGCAATTCTAAGAAATAGTTCGACAAAAAAATTTTACAAATTTTCTTTTTTTTTCCGAGTCCACGGACTTGGAAAAATTTCTTTCAGCTAAGCCGTTGTATGAACCAGATAGCTTGTTTATTCCTTTTTTTTAATTTCGATACGACCATTTTTCATCAAAATATCGGACTTTTAATGCAAAAAGGATCCTTTTGTCTTTAATCATCCATAGCTCAGCGACAAATGGTCGTACAGAGAATTGAAGGACAGTTTCGAAAACTGGAATAAATTTCCTATAACATGCTGCCGCAACTTTTCGGAAAAAATATTTTTTCGTCTTTTACATGAACTTTAAAAACCAGGAAAAAAAAGGTAATTTATGGTTTTTTAGAAAATTGACGGCTAAATTAGAAATATTCATGAAATGACTAATGTTAGGCATGACTTTTACAGTTCGATATACCCAGAAGAACCCTGTGAAGTTTCATCTCGATCTAGCAAACCGTTTCATTGTTTCAAACAGTAAAACTTTTGAAAAAAATTTAATGATCATGTTTTTTGAGCTTAAACACTTCATAATGATTAAAATGGAAAAAATTTTTTTTTGAGGTTTTCTTACATTTTTACCGCAAATAACGTTTAAATTGATGAAAAAATTTAAATTTTTCGAAATTTTTTTTTTTTATTTTTTTGGAAAACCTTCCCGATATTGAAATGATCATCTGTTCATCAACTTTTAATTAAATTAAAATTAAAGTTGACCCAAATCAGATTTCGACCCTGATTCATATTGTTTTTTGAGACAAATTTCAAATTAATTTTTGTGCAATCTGTAGTCACTTAAAAAACAGTTTTTTTCAAAACTACCCTTTTTCTTCTCAGAAAAAAAATTCAAAATGATAATTTTTTTTTCATCAATTTAAACATTATTTGTGGTAAAAATGCGAGAAAACCTCAAAAAATTTTTTTTTTCCATTTTCATCATGATTATGAAGTGTTTAAGCTCAAAAAACGTGACCCTCTTAATTTTTTTCAAAAGTTTTAAACAAAGAAACGGTTTGCTAGATCGAGATGAAACTTCACAAAAGTTTACCGTCTGAAGCGCTTTCGGTTAACCGAGGTTTCTGATGACCGGCTTTCGGATAATCGGCGCTCTACTGTATATCTAATTCAGCCGTCAATTTTCTAAAAACCATAAATTACTCTTTTTTCCTGCTTTTTAAAATTAGGATGACAAAAAAAAATTTTTCCGAAAAGTTGCTGCAGCATTTTTCACCTAAATACAGTCTGTCAAAAATCACGGAAAAATTTCGAAAATTCTTTTGACCCTTTAATTTTTTGCATTAGTTTATAAAAAATATGAAAATTAAATGTAATCATTCTGATCTTCAGAGTTTTCCCACTCTCCTGATAATTCGTATATTTCCTTCGAAAATATGTAGCCTGAAATGTTCTATTTTTTTACATCGTTAATAACTACCTGTGTGGAGAGGGTTAAATTTTGATTTACAACAGTGTGTTATAATTGCAAGTCTAATTAAAATGTATTCGGTTCAAATTATTACAAATTTTGGGAAACCAGCCTCGTGTTTTATATTAACAATCTACTTGAGGAATAATAATAATTGTCCACTTTGTACACTTACACTCTTGACTGTCGTGGGAGTTTAGTGTTTACATTCTCTATTCGTAGTTGTTAATGCCATGTCAGCACTACTGGACGAAGTCGACCAAGAAATCGAGTCTCGACGTTACATTGCTGAACAGGTAACAGTCAGTGTTACCAGTATATATCTATATATATGCTGATTTACCAAACGCAGTTTTAACATTTGTGGAGTTTGCTGACTTGACTTACCTTGCAAGCTGTAGTAGTGATATGATTTTTACAGATTTTTGTTTTTTTTTCTTTCTACATATTTTATATAAATACAGTAGAAAATTATTTACAAAATTATTTTGTTGTGCTGTTAATTAGTCTACTGCATTTATATATTTGACGAGCATGCCACTTTTACGTATTTTTGGCTTAAAAAAATATTTCGACAAAGCAATAAAAACATATTAGAAATTACATCAATTTATAGTGTTCTTATTGGTATTAACTAATTCACATTCATTTTCTGACACAATTTTTCCAACATAGGTGTAACTATGAATGAGGGTCATATTTATAGGGAAGCTACCGTACACAGTTCGGTTATTAAGCTTTAAGACTGATTTTATTGTGGCGAAGTGCGCGGCGCTATCTATGTGCGGTTAATGGAACTATGTAGTGGGAAGTTTTCTGAGCAACAATAAAAGAGTGACCGCAAAAAACCTGTGATTTTCACCCGTTTTTTCACAATTCGCAGAGAATTAAAAAAAAATCAGAAAAATATATTTTTGGTCGCAAATTACTTGTCGTAAAAAACTGAAATGAGCATATCTTTTAGTATTTTGAAAATTTAAAAAACACTCCCTTAGCGCGCTTAAGGGTGGATTTTCTAATTCAACATGCTTATTTCAGTCATGAGAATAAATCTTTCTGTGTATCAAGAATCATTCGATAGAAAAATTCACATGTTAATAGTTTTTATATTCAATTCTTCATTTTGGGTGTCTTTTCAACCCTTGGAATAGGGGCGATTTTTGAAAATTTTCAAAAAACTAAAAGCTATGCTCATCTTAATTTTTTATGACAAGTAATTTGAGACCAAAAACATATTTTTATCTATTTTCTTTAGTTCTCTACGAATTGTGAAAAAACGGGCGATTCTTGCGGTCACTCTTTCATCGGTATACGTGTATCTACCACAAAGTTATAACGTTATGGGTGTAGCGAGTATTTGATAGTTGTCATGGAAATGCACATTGAACAGTGTATAGCAGTAAAGGTCTGTTTTAAAGTCGGTAAAACAGCCACGTAAACATATCAACTGTTACAAACGGCCTAGGGTGAGGAGTGTGTATCACATCTGACTGTGTTCCTCTGATTCAGAAGGTTTTGTGATGGCATGACGATGAAAGGGCGTCCTCGCAGAAGCCGAACAAACAAAACAGCAACGTCTGATCGTCGATTAATCGTACACGGACTGTCAACATTCTGATGATTGTCATATATTTTTACAAAATCGTTTTCGATCTCTGGCACTCCGTTAGTCTTATATAGTTGCTTTAAAAAGGATTTCGGGAGCTGCCCAGTGATGGCATAGACAAAAGTTTAAGTGCAGTTTGAAATATGAATTAAAACTCAATTATTATTTGGTTAAAAAAAATATATGTCGGATAAGTATTCTGGGGATTACGCATTTATTACTACAATAATACTGACCCCTACTTAACGTTACACCCTGTATAACAATCTTCAATGTTTCTTTATGAAATAGCACATAATTTATAAAGTAGAAATAAGTTGATGTAAGTTCTAAACTTCCAGTGCATAATATCTAATAGTTAAAGGAATTTTATTTGAAGGTATTTTAACCACTTTTTTTGTGTATTTCAAGATCCATACGTTCTTCCAATTCAAATACTTTTCTTGTAGAATGTAGTGGCTAATGGAAATGTGCCGCAAGACGAAGACCAGCCTTCTGTGAAAGTTCTCGGCATGGAAATGACTGCCAGCTGTGAAGGTGGGAAAAAATGGTCACGACCGAACTCTCCGGTTTTACCTGCCTCGTCTCAGGCTCCACGGGAACCACCCGAACTACCCCAGGTAGGCGTAAAAGAATTTATTGCCAGAGGAGAACACATGTTTTTTACGTTTTCAAATAGCAATCTGGGTGTATTTTTGTTTTCAGGAAATATTCCTGGAAGGGGCGTTACCGGCACAGTCACATTTACTAGTGGCCGATTCAGCAACCGAAGCCGAAAAAACTAGCTCTGAGGAAGACCCGGCCGTTGTGCTTGCGGGAAAGATGACTTTGTCCGTTATTAGCCTCGATTCTTCTGGTAAGTATTACAAGATATGAAAATGTATGAATATGATGTGATTTAATTCAGTTCTTAAGTCGTAAACAAAGAGAATTCTGTATTTCAGTTATATACTTTTTGGAAATGATTCTCATGATTTTGTTAATGAATTTTTGTTTGTCTCCACTATTGTAACGTTCAGTCATAAATATAATAACTAAAGATCATAAAATATATAAATTTGTTGATTAAAAGAAAGCATTATATTTTATTCCCTGAAAATTAAGATACTTCGGCAATACCAAATTTGAAAACATGCCAATAATTGAAACAACGTGAATATATTATCAGTTATATTTTAAGTAATTTTTTTTTTACCAACGGTAACATTTAAGGTTCTAATAGCAGTAAACTTTAATTCAATAATTATTTAATAGTGATTATAACAGTACAGAATTTTTTCTAGAATAAATGATATAAGTCTATCACTTCCCAAAAATTGCAGCAGCAAAAAATCATATATCGAAATGTTTATTTCTTCATTTTTAATTACTGTCTCACTTTTAGTTAGCTTAAGATATGAACAGAAAGAAAAGGTTGTAGAAATTCAAAGGCCAGGACTTATTTTTGTAGTTATTCTGCTAAACTGTCGAGAGATTGAAAAAAATTATTTTAAGACCGTAGAACAAGTAGCGGAAGAAATAGTGTCAGCGTTGTTATTCCTTGTGTAAAAATGAAAATCAGAGATTTTTTTACTTATAACAACTATGCGCGGTGACCGACATTGACAATGTAAAATGTCTCTTCAAGTTTGTTTTTTGTTAAAAAACTGCAACTGTTTGACAAAACGTCATACGAGTATATAACACGTGAAAGTGAAATGGTTTTATATATTCGTCAAAACTTCTCACTTGCTTATAATGGCTTATTTCACTCGCACTATGATTATTTATATGATTTGTGTCCCATTTATACATAAATAAAATTGGATAGGGTCTACAATATAGAAGACGACAAAGTTCCTGCATATCCTACACTAATGCAAAAAATTAAAGGGTCAAAAAGATTTCCGAAATTTTTCCGTGATTTTTGACTATTTAGGTGAAAAATGGTCGTATCGGGAATTAAAAAAAAGAATTTTGAAGCTCTAAGATTCTAGTTTTTAGACCTTTTGGTCAAAATTTTTTAGGAGCTACACTTATCATGCAATAGCTTGTTTATTCAGCTTGAATTTCTTTTTTTTTTTAATTTCGATATGACCATTTTTCATCGAAATATCGTACTTTTAATGAAAAAGGATCCTTTTGTCGTCAATCATCGATATCTCGGCATCAAATGGACGTACAAAGAACTGAAGAACTGTTTCAAAAACTGGAATAAATTTTCTGTAACATGCTATAACAACTTTTCAAAAAAAAATGTTTTTTCATCTTTTACACGAATTTAAAAAATCTGGAAAAAAAGGTAATTTATAGTTTTCTAAAAAATTGACGGCTAAATTAGAAATATTCACGAAATGACTAATGTTGATCATGACTTTTACAGTCCGATATGCCCAGAAGAACCCTGTGAAATTTCATCTTGATCTAGCAAACTGTTTCTTTGTTTCAAACGGTCAACCTTTTGGAAAAAAAAATGATCACGTTTTTTGAACTTAAACACTTCATAATTATGATTAAAATGAAAAAAAAATTTTTTTT